TCACATGGGTAGTTAAGTACCTAAGTATGTAAATCAATAAATAGTTCAGCATAATGTGTAAAGATTAATGAAATATTCACATTTAAATAATAATTATTTACCTTCAATTATTTTAATTGGAAAACTAACTATAAAATACCAGATATTTCATTAAAAAACATCTTATTAAAAAAACAGCTTTGTCAACCTGCAGAATTCTCTGCAGCTCTGAAACGGTAGATACGCCTCGTTATTGTCGCATTCATTATTCATATCGAAAATATATCTTGATTGATGAGCAGATATTCATAATAACCAATAGATATCGACTCAATTAATGTCTAAAGACTTTTTTCTTTGCCTACTTACGAGTATGTTGGCGTCGCTATTAAAATTTAAATCAAACAACTTTAGTCAAATGACTTAATAACAGAACTCAGACAATCCAGTTACAATGTCAATTGGTCATAAAATGGATTAACAGCTTAAAATGCCGTTATGTGCTGTAAGTTTTACTTAATTAATGCACACGTAGTAGCTTATATTCGGCTGAATTTCATCAACGTTAATTAGCCAGTTTGCGTTCTAACTTTTCTTCGGTGGTTAACATTAAAATCATCGTAAATAGTTAATACTTAGGCCATCACAATGTTGTCTAGGGCAACGGACTCGAGTCAGCAGAGGACATAAGGTAGGAAACCCATAAATTCGTAGTGGTTAGAGTAGAAGATGCCTCTTAAGGTTTAGTAGACCAGTGGCTGAGACCGGCTGAGTAGATACTCTCAATAACGTATTTTGTCTACCACTTGATAAAAATAACAAGGAAAGCTCTAAAATGATTCATAAACATTGCTACTTGCATTGCTAACTGTCCGAACACACGGCAGACTAAAAAAGGTGAACTATTTACAAATGAAGTCTGCACAGGCGGAGTATTTATGAGTCGTATGAATTCTAAAAAATGAAGCTCTCGAGCTTAACTCGAAGAATATCTGCAGCACATTAAAAACTTCGGCCGGGTCAGGTTTAAACACGAATATCTTGCTAATAGACTTGCTATTTTTACGCAGACTTAAAACCATCGAGTGAATATTGAGGCATGAAGTGTGTTACCTACTTCGTTTATTGGATAATAAAATGGCAGTTTAAGCGAATTTAATAACTAAATAACGTATAACAATCGAAGATCGATTAAGCATAATTATCACAACCCACGCGTCTTGTTCACACATCCGATTCTGGGGCAAAGACCTCTTCCATAATGCACCATTACATAATGGCATTTTAGGCCTTGGACTTCATGGATCCAGTCTCAGCTCGGATCATGCGGATCATTCACACAACGATCGGGCGTTTCCTCCATGAAAGCTTTACAATATTTAACAATAAAACTATTAAATACTTATTAAACAAGTTTAAGCAGATAAATTACTGTTAGTAAAGTGTAGCTAATAGTGGTACCTAATCATTTAATTAGTGAGTGAATACCTCCAAAAGCAAGTTCCTAAAGTAGGAATTCCATTAGGCAAGCCATTATTTAGCAGGATGAGAGCTCTTGGCCTACGAGAATAAGTGGAAATTATTTGAAAGCATCGCTCGTAGCAACAACAAAATGGCAGACATATCCCTTTCTTAGCGTCGTACCATTCATCGTTATTACCTCTTCAGTGCTACGGGAAGGTTAATTAATAATGAATGTTGATACATTAAGCACTATTTGGGCCGAAATATGAGACTTGTAGGAGTCTAATTATATTTATTAACTTATCTATTACCTATCTACTTTCGGATATGTTCCGTTGAGTTTAGCTATATTTACTTACATTACATGAGCGTGGTCTACACTTATTCATTACTATCAAAAGTGTGGTGATCTCATCAGCATAATATACTAATTTAAGGAGATAACTAATTGCATACACTGCATTTAACTTTTTTGTTTCTTTGGAAAAGCTTTTAATAGGTAGGTACACAGAAAATACTTATCTGTTAAGAATGCTTAAATGCAAAACTAAATATCCAATTAATTATCCTCGGTTGATATAAAGCTAATTATTAATAACAATAATATTGACATTTACGTAGTGAGTCGTAACTTTACACGCGAGTAAACAGCGTACTATGCACGTTATTATTACTCCGATGGTCATGTGAAGAAGTCACTGCATAATATTCCGCCATTCATAAAAGGCAGTAGGTATTTCATTATGGGTCTGAAAAATTACGCAATTATAAAAGAATTTTGCTCGTGCAATCTTGTAGGACTGGCCAATGCAGAGATGACATTGTAGGTTTTTATCGTAACCTATTTTATAAACTCGTGTAAGTGTACCTATTTAGTGTCTGTATAAGAATGTTAATTTATCTGACTCAAAGTTAACTCAAGTTGGTAAAGTGTGAGGATCCTAGCTATCCTGGGAGTTACTGCCACTGACCTTCAATGAAATACGAATATACCGAACAATAGAAATGCAATTTTTATTTACTTAAATTTCCCAAAGCTAACACGTTTGCCCGAGCCGGTCAGTGCGCAGTAACTGGCCGACTCTTTGATTCACACGTCACACAAGCATTCGAAATCGCTGACATACACCTTTCATACTACATGTGTCCCTACAACATTCTTTCTTTCTTTCTTTCTTTTCAGCCAAATGACGTCCACTGCTGGACAAAGGCCTCCCCCAAGGTTTTCCACAATGAACGGTCCTGCGCTGCCCGCATCCAGGCTCTTCCCGCGACCTTTACCAGATCGTCGGTCCACCTAGTAGGAGGCCTGCCCACGCNGACTGTACATACTAGCTGTGGATTGGAGGGAAATCGAACCTTAATTTCGATCTCCTATGTTCTTCTGATTGATTTCGTTGCGGGTCCAATGACAGTTTAACTTTCCCCCGGGACAAACTTGACCTTCACTGGTTGTGTTATTGGCGGTCAAGCTGTAGATCCTGGCTACACAGGAGTTGCAGCAGTGGGAACGAGAGGTGGGAATAGTCAAATAGTCCAAGCTGTAGATCCTGGCTAGGTGGGAAGTGGGAATAGTCTCACCTTGACATAGCTAGCGGGGAACCAGCCCACTTGTCTGTTCCTCCTTTGGCCTGGAGTTCTCCCTCCCACCAGCCGCAGTTATATAGTTCCAAAATACTGAACTGTCCTATCCATGACATTGACAGTGGGGCGCCACCGTCAATACCGGATCGCTGGTTCCGATGTTTGCCATGTTGGAAACCATATAGTTGAACGATGGTAGCGCCCCCCTGTCATTGAGTTTGGTGGGACAGTTCAGCTTGGGTCATCTATACTAGCAGTGACTGACATCTAATGACACGGTGACAGCAGTGTTGCCACCTCAGATTTTTTACCCTAACGTTTGGCGAATTTACTCTAAATTAGGCTGATTTATTATTTATTACCCTGTTTTTTGTTAATGAACCATATCAATAAATTACTCAATTAATTTATTATAAACTAATATCTAGTTTCCAAACATTCTTGGAATGCATCCATAGTAGTCATAGAAATGTCATCTGCAGTATTTTTCTTCCTAAAATCGTACATTTCATTGGAAAAAAAATATATTTATTTTACCCTGATTACATTAAATTATTTTCTACCCTAAAAATACCATAAATTAGGGTAATGCCAGGTGGGGACACTGTGAATGACACTCACCTTGACATAGCTAGCGGGGAACCAGCCCACTTGTCTGTTCCTCCCTTTAGCCTGGAGTTCTACCTCCCACCAGCCGCAGTTATTCTAGCAGTGACTGACATCTAATGACACGGTGACAGCAGTGTTGCCACCTCAGATTCTTTTACCCTAACGTTTGGCGAATTTACCCTAAATTAGGCTGATTTATTATTTTTTACCCTGTTTTTTGTTAATGAACCATATCAATAAATTACTCAATTTATTATTAACTAATATCTAGTTTCCAAACATTATTGGAATGCATCCATAGTAGTCATAGAAATGTCATCTGCAGTATTTTGCTTCCTAAAATCGTGTATTTCATTGGAAAAAATTTATATTTATTTTACCCTGAAAATTACATTAAAGGCCTATTCAAACATGAGCGATATTCGCTGCCTCTGTAGGTAGAGGTACATAGGTAGACGGTAGCGAATACCGCTTAGGTCTGAACAGTATTATTACCGCATACCCACTGGGTTTTCTCTGCCGCAGACGGTAGCGAATACCGCTTAGGTCTGAATAGGCCTTAAATAATTTTCTACCCTAAAAATACCCTAAATTGGGGTAATGCCAGGTCGGGACACTGTCAATGACACTCACCTTGACATAGCTAGCGGGGAACCAGCCCACTTGTCTGTTCCTCCCTTTGGCCTGGAGTTCTACCTCCCACCAGCCGCAGTTATACTAGCAGTGACTGACATGACTAATGACACGGTGACAGCAGTGTTGCCACCTCAGATTTTTTTAACCTAACGTTTAGCGAATTTACTCTAAATTAGGCTGATTTATTATTTTTTACCCTGTTTTTTGTTAATGAACCAAATCAATAAATTACTCAATTAATTTATTATAAACTAATATTTAGTTCCGAGGCCTTTGCCAATTGGCAAACGGGCCTACAGAAAATAAAGAAGCACGAAATATATCAATGAATAAAATTGTATAAAAAAACATATTATTTAATAGTGTGATGATAAATGTACAGTAAAGTATACTGTTGTCCAAATAAAAGGCTTAATTAATTAATTAATATTTAGTTTCCAAACATTCTTGGAATGCGTCCATAGTAGTCATAGAAATGTCATCTGCAGTATTTTTCTTCCTAAAATCGTATATTTCATTGGGAAAATATTATATTTATTTTACCCTGAAAATTACATTAAAGGCCTATTCAAACCTGAGCGATATTCGCTGCCGCTGTGGGTAAAGGTACATAGGTAGACGGTAGCGAATACCGCTTAGGTCTGAACAGTATTATTACCGCATACCCACTGGGTTTTCTCTGCCGCAGACGGTAGCGAATACCGCTTAGGTCTGAATAGGCCTTAAATAATTTTCTACCCTAAAAATACCCTAAATTAGGGTAATGCCAGGTGGCGACACTGTCAATGACACTCACCTTGACATAGCTAGCGGGGAACCAGCCCACTTGTCTGTTCCTCCCTTTGGCCTGGAGTTCTCCCTCCCACCAGCCGCTGTCTGCCTTTTTACGGACGATAAGGAGTTGGCCCTTAGTCAGGGATAACTGCTCGGCGCTGGAACAAACATAAACTGTTAGGCTGAGGCACCTTATTTTAACTGTAATATTACCTGTAACCGTTGCTTTTTCTCTAACAGCCTCTTCTTCTCTAAGGCTGAGTTGCACCACCTAACTTTAACGGTAACTATGACGATAACCGGTGCTTTTTGTATGGAGTTTGACAGATTTTTGACGTTTGTTAAAGTTAATACAAATACAAAATCATTTATTGTGAATCATAGGAAAAATGGTGACATGTTACATTAGGTAGTATCACTATGTTCCGCTCAAAGAGCATACAATTTGTCAGACAACAATAAAATTTGGCAGTTACATAAACTAATTAGATTTATCGTCAAAGAATTCAGATATATTATAATAACATTTATTAATTAAATAAGTCATTAAAGTTTTTTTAAATGAATTTAAATGTTCAATTAATCTAAAAAATTTAAAGTAAGATGGTGCATCACCCTTACACCAGTTGTAGGGCTTCCTGCTGAAAACCAGTGTCGAGAAATCCTACAAGGTGTCCTAATTAAAACTGAGCGGGCGCCCTATTAACATACATTTCTTTCTTTTAATAGTAAGCTTTGTATTGTCTTGCTAGATTGCAATATTGCGCAATTGTTTGTTATCCCCGGGCTGCGGCACGGTGTGACGTCACCACAGTACCTGGCGGCGGTGTAGGCAGCCACGGCCTGCGCCACCTCGGGCTTCCGTCGCGCGGTGGCGGAGTCCCGGCCCGAGTCGCGGCGGGCGGCCGACGGCGGGCGCGCCGCGTCCGTAATGGCTGCCACTTCTGATGACACGGGGGTTGAGGACTTTTGCTCCTGGAAGGAAAGAAAATTGGTTTTATGCAGGGTGAAACAAAATTAGCACGTCACATTAATACTGGAGGTGAAGACCGGTCGCCGAGCACGAATTTCGTCCAATGACCCCAAGCTACCTGGCATAACGCTCGCGCGTAATTATATTGCTATCGCGCTCACCCACTCACTGCGGCCGCCCGCCGCACAGTCGCGACAGCAATATAATGAGGGTTTTCGCGATTGAAAAATCCGCCAGATGGCAATACGTAGACGCGAGGTCCAAATGCTGCATGATTGGTTATTTTTGACATAACATTGACAGATATGTCAAAATCCACCAATCACGCAGCAGTCAGACCCCAAATCCACGTCCGCCATCTAGCGGATCTTTCATTCGCGAAAACCCTCATTGCTCATAATTTTTTTACTCTGTATGTTTTGTCCGCTAGAGGGCGCCACATTAGATTTTGTGAAACCCCATATAGCCGATAGCCAGCGGACAATTAAGACGCTTCTAATGATATGTCATTTGTCGAATTCTGATAAGTAGTTTATAAGTTACGAGGGAACAGATGAACATACATACATACATAGCCTGTCAAAATAGTATGTGTGTGGATTGAGTGATCTTTTCAAAAAAACTCATCCAACCACAACCAAATTTTGAGAGGATTTAGGAAAAAACTGTGAAAACTTCATGGCAAGGTATTAAATTTGTAAAACCTAAACAAAGAAAGTTAGAACTAATTAACTGGATCACTCAATCTGGACACTATTATTATGTCACTAGGTAGATCGACCATCTACTGAAGGTTCCGGAAAATACCTTATCATCATCATCATCATCATTTCAGCCCCAGGACGTCCACTGCTGGATATAGGCCTCCCCCAATGACTTCCACATCGCACGGTCGGCCTGTATCCAGCGCCTTCCTGCTACCTTTTTCGCTTCACGCTGCGTTTTCCGGTACGAAAATACCTGGATGCGAGTAATGCAAGACCAATCATTGTAGAAATCCTTAGAGGAAGCCTATATCCAAGCTGTGGAGGTCATTTGGCTGAAACAAAATACCTTATCTAAGTTGTTATTCTCCTCATTTCTGATTCGATCACGCAAAAACAGAGCATAGCCCGCTCCATCGCCCTTTGGGTGACCTTGAGCCTTCTTATGAGGCCCATAGTAAGCGACCACGTCTCAGATCCGTATACCATCACTGGCAACACACACTGGTCAAAGACTTGTCTTGAGTCACTGCGGTATTTCGGACGCGAGAATACTTCCCGAACGCTGCCCAGCCGAGTTGGATTCGACGATTTACCTCTTTCTCGAACCTAACTGGACTGTTTGTCCCAGGTATACATAATTGTCAACAACTTCGAGTGTAGTGTCTCCAACCTTCAGAGGAGTGGGTACAACATGGGCATTTGACATTTCTTCTTCTTCGTTTCAGCCGAAAGACGTCCACTGTTGGACAAAGGCCTCCCCCAAGGTTTTCCACAAAGAACGGTCCTGCGCTGCCCGCATCCAGGTTCTTCTTTACCAGATCGTCGGTCCACCTAGTAGGAGACTTACCCATACTAGTCCTGTGGTCGCCACTAGAGAACTTTTCTGCCCCAGCGGCCATCTGCTCTACGAGTTATATCACTGCTACTTATCACTTATGTTTGGCAGTTCTGCCCCTATCGCCCATATACACAAACTACTATGATGTCTCACAGTGCGCGTGGGCGCACAGAGTGACACACGGACCAATCGCAGAGCTCTATTCAACGCTGTGCGTTCGATTTGCTGCTGCTCTTAAGCAAGCATCGTTTGTGAATATGGGCGATAATTTATTATTGTAAATAGGCTTTCAAAAATCACATCGGCCAATCACGACGAACACAATCATCGTCGGCCGTTTGGTGTAGTGGTTCGAAACGGACTACTATTCCGGAGGTAGCGGGTTCGATTCCCGCACAGTACAAACATTTGTGTGCATGAACATATTTGCTTGTATTGGACTGGGTGTTTTCTATGTATAATAAGTATGTATTTACAAAAAAAAAGTATTTAAGTATGTTTATATCCGTTGTCTAGTGCCCATAGTACAAGCTTTGCTTAGTTTGGGACTAGAAGCGCAGTGTAAAATGTCTAAGGATATTTATTTATTTATTTTATTTACATTCCCAGTATAACCCTACCACTGCTAAAAAAAGTGAAAAAGTCCATTCCTTCTTCTTACCTGCACCAAATCCGGTTCCGGCGCCACGGCGACGGGCGCCGGTTGCGGCGCCGGCAGCGGGCTGGCCGGCTCCGGTTCCGGTTCAGCCGCCTCCGGTATAGTGCTGATGGTGTCGCCGGTGGAAGAGGTTGTGTCTTTGGTGACGTAGTTTGAGGGGAATATGCCCGTTCTGGGGAGAAAAATGATTACTGATTAAATTAGGTTTTGACAATTTTAACTACCTAGGTAGCATCAATACTTATGACTATAATTTGTATATTTTAAAGATTGTAAACGTAAAAGGAGGCTGACAATAGTGACTGAGTTTCTTGCGCTGCTTCTTCTCAGCACTGGCCCATTTATTGTCCCGAAGCAGTGGTAGGGTTAATATTGGGACGTGTAAAAGTGCTTTTTAAAAGCCTATTTGCAAAAATAAATGAGTTTTTAGTCCTGTGTAATATTAGGGATTGGATAGAACGCAAGTCGGCCGTAGTAAGGACAATCTGGAGCATGTTATGTATCAGATACTGTATCAAGTGAGTACATAGGCACGAGCCCGCTGCGAGATGCTCGCGCGTGGTTCGCAGGGAGATTGCAGCGACCCGCCGAGTGGCGGTATCACTGCGAGCACAAAGGCGGCTCGCAGTAGGATCCAGGAGCTCGCAGCCAGATACGCGATGACCGTGGACGAGCCGTACTCACTTGAAGTTTTTTTTCAGAAATCAGAAATATTTATTTGCTATTACATGGTTTTACAAGATATTACAATTTGGACACGTTATTTATTTATTTAAAGACTTTATTGCACACACAACAATGTTCAGTGGGGCCGTTCAAGTATTACGTAAGCAGATTTCTTACCATTTTTTACCCCCCCGCCCCCGTTGTCATCAAAAGTAAGCAAAGCACTTACCCCCTCCCCCTATGCTTACGTAAACATTTTTAGTTATAAATGTTTTTTATCAGTGTGAGTCAGGTTAAAGTGTACATATAAAAATAGATGAAACTAGATATTTTTATCGACAAAAAAGAGGTAAAAATTTTTGATATTTTTTTAATTTTTTTTATAGATTTTTTTTTCTTCCAATTACTTATTGTAAAGAAAACGTAATTACTTTTAAACTAAGCGGTATATCCTGATAAAGTAAAAACAGTAATAATGCTAAATAACAGGCGATACTAAAAAAAAAAAACATAAAATACACAAAAAGGCCAACAAATAATAAAAAATGATACTTTTTGATAAAAAAAAACTGCTTTTAAATTCGTGTTTTTTTGGTTATCTAATAAATTTCTCCAAAAAATGCCCCTATAACCGGTGGTTTTTATCACTTTGTATTATTCTCTATCGTATTACCTTCGTAAAACCAAAAATCGCATGTCTCTATCCCTATCACAACGTTTGCAATGATGAAATAACTAACGATGACGTAATCATCATCTAGACCCCCCTACCCCCCATGTCATCCAAAATAAGCAAAACAGAGACCCCCCCACCCCCCCTTGGTGCTTACGTAATACTTGAACGGCCCCAGTACAAAACAGCGAGCTTAATGTTAACGTTACATGCTACGTTACGTGCTACATGGCAGATGGGTACCCTGCTTTTGAGTGCAGTTGCGGTTTTGTTCCCCAGTCGATGAAGCACATGACGTCGTGCCTTGAGTGCCCGAGCAACTGCACGCAGGAAGATTTAATGAAGGCTACTGACAACGCCACTCTTGTGGCGAAGTTTTGGGCTCACACTGTGTAGGTTTGTTGTCGACACGATAAGAAGGGATTGTTGTTGGCATTAACAGGTAGAGCAGTTGATATTAACTGCTCAACAAGTAAAGCGCACGCGACGTGAAATGAAGAGTACGGGCGGATAACTGCGCGAGAGCTGTCGACAGCTCGAGCAGTTAGTGTATGCCTGGCGATTGCTTAACCGCCTGAAGCAGTCCGCTTTAACCGCCTTTGTGGTCTAGTGGTAAGACCACCTGCTTCAGACGCAGAGGTCCCGGGTTCGATTCCAAGTGGGGGCAGATTTTTCTGTTCGGTTTGGTTGGTGGTAGGGCTTGTTCCAAGTCCGCCTGGTTAGCTACCACCATCTTACCTAAGTCTGTCGCCATAACAACAATGTTAACAGCATTGTTGTGTTCCGTCAGTTGAGGTAAGATAGCCAGTTCCTCCGTGGTTGAGGATTCCAGGTGAAGCTCGCTTCCACCTTCGGCCTGATCGTCACTTACCATCAGGTGAGATACAGGCCAAAAGCTTCCTCGTTGTGGATAAAAAAAAAAGGCAAAACTGCTCCTGCGGTTCCGTGTATTGTGTACGTAGAATACTGCAGTTTGCAATGCAAAGCTGTCGACACTGTTTCAAGCTGTCCGTCAGATGTCTGGGGTAAATTGAACTTTAAGACTAGGGATTAAGACTTACGACCTCATATAGGTAGCAAGAAGGCGCTGGATGCAGGCCGCTGCCAACCGTGCGATGTGGAAGTCATTGGGGGAGACCTATGTTCAGCAGTGGACGTCCTGTGGCTGAAATGATGATGATGATGAATAACTTACCGGATCCCGATCCGTCCGGTCCACCAGTCCCCGTCCCGCCTCATGACTTCAATCCGTTCGCCAGCTTCGAAGGTCAGGTCACCAGGCTCGGCCGAAGTGTAAGGGTACGCCGCTATGTAGAAATCTCCACCTTCTGTAGCAAAAATGATACATAATACATACATACCATAAAGTTAATATACTCGTAGCTATAGTCTGGTCTGCGAGCACGTAGAATTTTGTCCAAAGACCTCAAGCTACCCATCCTTATCGCTCGCGCGTAATTATGTTGCTGTCGCGCTCGCACACTCACTGCGGGCGCCCGTCGCACAGTCGCGACAGCAATATAATTACGCGCGAGCGATAAGGATGGGTAGCTTGGGGTCATTGGACAAAATTCTACGTGCTCGCAGACCGGGCTTTAGCGGAATAGAGCAACAAAGGACTGAGCGAGCGAGATGTCACTAGCAGCCACACTGTGTGATAAAAAGATGCGAGATGCGAAGTAACAGAACCATTTTTTGCAACTATTTGACAGTCCGTTAGCACTCATTGGCACGCTGAAAACTTGAACTATTCGAGATTTTTTAAAATTTTATGTGAGTGTAATCGTAAATGTTTATGAGAAATAGTGCTACAGAAATAATGATCTTTTGATTATTCACGACACTGCTCGGGCCTCAATGTATCAGACTTACCAACAACAGGCATCGCTCCGCCCAAATCGTTTGCAATCTCTGCCTCTGGCACTTCTGCTATGCCTGAAACAATTATTTTTATTTTAGACTATCATTTCAGGCATAGGACGTCCATTGCTGAACATAGTCAAAGTCAAAATTTCTTTATTTGTATAGAGTAGACTATTAAATAGTTCTTACAAATCGTCAAATATTTTGCTCTTAAGGAGCCTCTACATGTTTCAATCTTTTTAACCTACCAAATGATATCTACATCGGTTGGTAGCGGCCTGCATCCAGCGCCTTCCTGCAATCTTTATGAGGTCATCTGTCCACCTTGTGGGTGGACGTCTCACGCTTCGCTTTCCGGTACGAGGCCTCTACCCATTCATATAGGTCGTCAGTTCTGCGAGCTATGTGTTCCCGCGACCTTCACCAAATCGTCAGTCCACCGAGGAAGATATAATGCTAAATACTAAAAACACCTACCTTCGAGCTGTGTCTTGGTCTCCATAGGCTCGATGACCCTTCACCAGATCGTCAGTCCACCGAGTGGGATAAGCTAAGTCCTTCATTAAAGACTTACCTTCGAGCTGTGTCTTGGATTCCATAGATTCGATGACCCTTCACCAGATCGTCGGTCCACCGAGTGGGATAAGCTAAATCCTACATTAAACACTTACCTTCGAGCTGAGTCTTGTACGGCTAGCACGTTTGCGTATTCGAATCGCTAGTGTCGTAAAGTGAACTTAAAATGAGAAATAAGAAGCACGAAACTTATTTTGAGAGTCAAAATTGTCACGATATCGTTTAATTTGAAGGTTGAGTGTCGAATTTTGTCGAATACGCAATCGATTCGAACTCGGAAAGTTTTTCGTGCTAGTCGTACTGATCGTTAGTCCACCGAGGAAGATATAATGCTAAATATTAAAAACACTTACCTTCGAGCTGAGTCTTGGTTTCCATAGGCTCGATGACCTCGGTAGCATAGGCGGCCACCGCGTTAATGTCCTCAACATAGGATTCAGGGAACCAGCCCGATTGACCTGTGGCAACAACATGCATTTGGCACGTTAAAAAAATCATTAAATAAATAAATACATATCATTGGACATTTTACACTGCGCTTCTAGTCCCAAACTAAGCAAAGCTTGTACTATGGGTACTAGACAACGGATATAACATACTTAAATATATTTTTTTGGAAATACATACATATTATACATAGAAAACACCAAATCCAATACAAACAAATATGTTCATACATTCAAATGTTTGTACTGTACGGGAATCGAACCCGCTACCTCCGGAATAGTAGTCCATTTCGAACCACTACAACAAACGGCCGACTTAACAGTGTCTTGTTTTTGGATGCTGCTTCAAAACGCTTTTTTACAGCTACTCGCTTTATAATCCTGTTCAGAAACGCTTTTTTTAGCTATTTGCTATAGGTTACCATCAGAATCCTGTTTAAATGCTTTTTTTCAGCCACTCGCTTAAGGATCTTGTTCAAACATGCTTTTTTCAGCTAGTTGCTTTAGGATCCTGTTCAAAAATGCTTTTTTTTTCAAGTACTTGCTTTAGGACCCTGATCAGAAAGTTTTTTTTAGTTGCTTTAGAATTCTGTTCCAGCCACTCTCTTTAATAAATCTATTAAAAACACTTATGTGTGATATAATGATAAGCTTATTCTTTTCATCATCATCATCATTTCAGCCATAGGACACGGTAATACTATCATACAGTATTGTAACTTCATATAAACGGACGAAACGCGAGCTTTCCTTCGAAATTCAAATCTCGGTATGCGCTCGACATGCAAAAGTCGGGGGTGTCGCGAATGTGCCACAGTAATAAACTGACGATGTGTTGTTTTGTAAACAGTAAGTGTTGATTTTATAAAAAAATATTACAAGTACCTATTTATACAGGGTGTTAGGTAAATGGGCTACACTAGCCCATATTAACATTATATTGTAAATGGTATGGTGTAGTCAGTGATATCAATTTTTTTTTATTTTCATACAAAATAAAATTATTAAAATCAGATTTTTATGAAAATTAAAATTATTAAAATGCTGATATAATTTCTGACTTCACCATACCATTTATATGCACACGTTAACATGGGCTAGTGTCTGCTTATAAACCCATTTACCCAACACTCTGTATAATAAATAAATCAAGCATTTTGTACGCCTCGGTCGAGGAGCATACATTTTACAGTCGCAAATTTATAAGATTTGTTACTAAATCTTAACACAAATATTTTTTTTAGTTAAATCTACTAATGACAAGACAACATGCATTTTTATCCTATTTCATTCACAAAGTATTTTGTTTGTCAAAATAAAATAAAAAATTACAATCACGTAGGCAGATGTAGTGAAAATAGGGTCTGCAGGTGGGCAGCCCTATCGCATGTTGTCATAGGGTGACGTACCGCTCGGCTGTTGACATTTATTTCAAAAATATGGCCGAGTTGGAATACTGTATAGATAGTATTACCGTGCATAGGACGTCCACTGCTGAACATAGGCCTCCCCTAATGCTTTCCACGTTGATCGATTGGTAGCAGCCTGCATCCAGCGCTTCCCTGCTACCTTCACGATGCTACCTTATTCTTTTAACACCCTGTATATTACCTCTGGCTGTGCCCCACCGCCAGCCGGGCTCGGCGTCGCCTCTAGGCGCCTGCGCGTCGCTGACCTGATGGACAGACGATTTTATATTACACTTACAAAAACAAAGGCGTCTCACCATAAGGGCTCTCTCCCACATGGACATGCGGTTTTTTGCAAGTACTGTTTTTTGCAGGATACCGTTTAGGGTAGTATTGCATGTTTTAACTTTAGTCCGTCAATTTTATTATCAAAAATATTTGACACATTTTTATTTGTCAATCAAACAAGTAATCACGAAGTAATCGTGCGTTGAAGATCCACGTGACGTCACAAAGTGCTACATTTTTAATCACGCCTTGACGTCACCTCTTCTTTTGAACTTTGGCGCGCTTTATCTCTTTAAATTTTCATTAGTATGAAAAAGTGAAAAATACGTGTCGAGTATTTTTTGATAAGTTAACTGAACGGCTAGCACGAAAAATTTTAGAGTTCGAATCGTTTGCGTATTCGAATCGCCATCAAAAGATTTAGTACGAAAACTACAGCAGCGCCCTTGTGAACGTGTCGTAAAGTGAACTTAGTATAATAAATGGTTGCACGAAATTTATTTTGAGAATCAAAATTGTCACGTTATCGTTTAATTAGAAGGTTAGTATAGAATTTTGTCAAATATGCAAACGATTCGAAGACGAAAGTTGTTCATGCTAAAGCCTGGTCCGTGAGCTCGTAGAATTTTGTCCAATGACCCCAAGCTACCCATCCTTATCGCTCGCGCGTAATTATGTTGCTGTCGCGCTCGCACACTCACTGCGGGCGCCCGTCGCACAGTCGCGACAGCAACATAATTACGCGCGAGCGATAAGGATGGGTAGCTTGGGGTCATTGGACAAAATTCTACGTGCTCACGGACCAGGCTTTAGCTTCAATATGGTCCCGGTCAAGAGGGCGAGCAATTCGCAATCCTCATCGTATAATAGTTCCTGCTGAAAACCAGCGTCTCGACATGGCGCATGTTATGTCGCGAATATAGCTGAGCGGACGCCACTTCAGCATAGTTTATAGTTTAATGTCATGGTACTGTATTTTTATTTTATTTTTTTCTATGCTGAATAAAGTGTTCTTGTTCTTATTCAAAATCAAAATCAAAAGTATTTATTCAGTTTAGACCACAAGTGGCACTCATGAACGTCAAAATATTATTAAAGAAAATAATAAAAAAAGAAAAGGTAGCCCTTATGGGGCACTTTACATGTCTCCTTATCTTTTGGGCCCTACCAGCGCTTCGAGACAAACATATGGCAAGTGCTGAGAAGAAACGCCGGAACAAACTCAGTCACCACTAATTGCCAGGAATTATCTAACGGTAGGAATAACCAAATTCGAGTACATCAAATATGTGCAGACTGATTCTTAAAACACTTGTTTTTTTTACTTAGGAATCCCTAACTGTCAAGCTTGACACGACTTACCAGATCACCCGGCTGCAAGCTAAGCTCGTCGGGCGTTCGCGCGTTGAATTCGTACACGCAGCGCCATCTCGCGGCCGATGGCGCTGACGTAGTTGACGGAGTTGATGTCACGGGTTCGGTTGCTGGGAGGGACAGGTAGTACGTCATTATTAGGGCATTTATGCGGCACGGGAGGGGTGACATAGACATAATATACATGGTGAAATTTTGTAATGCCACCTGGAGGGAAAGTACTCTTAATACTGTAGATATAATTTTTTTCTCAAAGAAAACATTCCTTTATTTTTGAAAAGAAATGGAACTGCATTCAAAGATTTCCAAAAATTTGCTTGTTACACCCGGGAATCGAACCAACTAAAATCTGTTGAAAATTACACCCTGTATTTTTATTGCATCGATCGTTAGGATTAAGTATAAGGATGAAATCTCTCTAACAAACTTGATAAATCAAATGAAAGGAAATCCATGAAATCTTAAATTATTTTAATTATTTACAGAAAATTTTAGAGTAGGCGCACACCGTTGATTATTCGTCGGCCGATAGTTTAGTCGGGCAGTTGATCAGTATGGGCATGTATGGGAGTGCGCACACTACGCCGATTCGATTTGGCCGATTCTTCATACAATTTAAAATCGGGCACAACTATCGGCCAACTAAAAATCAACGGTGTGCGCCTACTCTTATGGTACGTAGGTGAATTTTCATAAAAATTCGGAAGTCTTTGATCTTTCTTGTTCTCTTTCTTTTCAAAAATAAAGGAATGTTTTCTTTCAGTAAAATTTTCTATCTACAATATTAAGAGTACTTTCCCTCCAGGTGGCATTACAAAATTCCACCCTGTATAGCCATAAAAGTTGGCTCAAACGTAAATACCTAATTTTTTAAGAAGTGACTGAATCTTTCTAAAGACATTCATGTGTATAGGGGGTAAATATACAGAAAGATTACACATACTGTTGAGCGACTTGTCGTGTAAACAACTTGCTTCGGGCAAGATGGCATCTTGAAACCTACTTATAGGAATGCTTATCTCTAAATGATCCATAAAATAAATACGCAAGTATTTATTTGTTACTTTTTTTAGCTTAATATCAAGGAATATTTGGTTGCCAAAGAAAAAAAAGGGTAATTTTACCTTGGCAACACTTCTTTTATTTGTTTTTTAAGCGCAAAATAATATCAGACTGATTATTTTCAACAGAATTTACCTGTAGTAGGAGGAGCGTCGCCCCAAGCGTCGTCTTGAGCTCCAGTATCGCCCCAAGCATCGTTAGAAGTACCCCAGTCAGCTTCTAGACAACAAAAAGAATATATTTTATAATGCGAACAGCTAGGGACTGGAATTCGCTGCCTGCTGCTGTATTTCAACATTATAATCCGGGCGGTTTTAAGGCGAGAGTGAAGCACTTACAGGGCAGATATGTACCATCCTAGACTGCATCTCACTTAACATCAGGTGCGATTGCGGTCAATAAGTGCCTTGTCTTGCATAAAAAAAATAAGGTGCAAAACATGGATTTTTTATACATAACAAGGCAAGTATTTGACGCATAGAGATATACGTAGAGAGATGGCAACTAATGCGCTGAGTTCGAAACTCAGTGTCGCATTAGAAATTGACACACACAAAGTAATCAAAATATGTGCTCATTATCCACTGCGGTATAAGTACTCAACGTTCGAATAATTTTTAGCACTATGTAAGCAATGTAAACTGTAAATTGACACACACAAAGTAATCAAAATATGTGCTCATTATCCACTGCGGTATCAGTACTCAACGTTCGAATAATCTTTAGTACTACGCAAGCAATGTAAACTATTTACATTATGACTTCTGCAGCAATGTGTTCTGTTTTTGGGCATATTGCTGCGACACCGGCCCCGCCCACTTGTCACATCTCCCTTTAGTTTCTGTGATCTGTGATTTGACCGCAAACCTGGTGTTAAGTTAGATGCAGTCTAGGATTTAGTCTAGGGATGTTTCTCAAATTAAGATTGTACTTAAGTACTAGAGGTAAGTAAAATAAAATAAATATAAGTATAATTTTTCTAAGAGACATCGTAACATAAAAAAGTAGGTGGACATAGCAAAAGAAATAGGAAAATAAACAGATATTAAGAAAGAAAACAAAAATAAAAAGATAAGAAAGAAAAAAAAAACATAAAAAGGATAGAAAAATTAAAAGAAATATAGAAAAATAATACGAAAAAGATATAGAAAAGTTAAAAAGTAATAGAAATAATTGAAAAATAGTAGAAAACTAACCACCAGTGCCCCAACCACTTTCAGCAGGCGCCGTAGACCGCTGTTGCTGATATTCCAGCCGCTTCGCTTCATAAACCTTCCATACATTAGCGCATTTCTCGCTGAGTTCTGTCACTCGCGCTGACAGATCTGACAGCTGGGAGTTGTTGGACTCGAGGTCGGACTTCTTGCTTTCGACGATCGCTTTGGCTGCTTCCACCTGGGAGAAGGAAATCAAATCAAAAATCCATTACTATTTAATTTGTTAATTTTGAAAAATATAAACGTTAAAATATCGGTATCGTAGTCAATGGGCTGCTGTCAGGGTGACATTGACGTAACTTATGTCAATGTCACTCTAGAAACGTCACAATAGAGCAGTGGTTCTTAACCTTTAAGTCACGAGGGATCGTTTTACCAAACTGTCTTTTTTTTTTCAAAATCCTATGAAAGGGTAGGTCGATTTCTCGCCCACTGTGCGCCGTTTGCGTTGTGTTGACTCGACTCATCACGTCACGTCACTTGTTTATTACGATGTCTTCGTGGACCACTTGGAATGCCTCCAGGGACCACCAGTGGTCCGCGGACCACCGGTTAAGAACCACTGGAATAGAGGGACGGCGCTTTTATGCTAAGTGATTAATTGTATTTGAAATGAGGCAACATAATTTGCAAGTTAAGTATCCTGTGTTTTATTTATGAGAATAGAGATATACCAGTTATTATAGGCTTAAAAGCACTGACGCACAAATTATATTCTCAAGACAAAAAACTGTCAAAATGTACAAAAAAGTATAAATAAGTAGTCAAACTATAAAAATATCTGACACCTTTAAAATACCTATAATAAACCTTAAGCCTTTAGGCCCAGAACAGACGGTGAAACGCAACTGCAATGCAACTGCAACTTTGTGATGATTCTGATGAATGAAACTGAAAGTTTCAAACTGGTCGCGTCATGTGTGGTCTCTCAACGGACGCTATGGCAGAAACTTAGATGCAACTCAAAAGTAACTAGCAGTTGCAGTTTCGTTGCATTTGCGTTTCACCGTCTGTTCTGGGCCTTATAGGGTTCTTGTTATGGCAATAATGCCACAATAATTTAAACCCTATTCACTTATCATAAGGTCAAAAAGCAATTAATTTGTTAAACACGCCGTACGTTACAAAAGTTAAGAATTACCTTGTCCCGCAGTTGTTTTAGAGTAATCTCCATCATGTTCAGCTTTCCATCTTCACCAGCTCCCTCTGATGCTTTAGCCTGAAATTATTTCATACAACAGTCATACAACTTCTTAAAATCAATTTATTAGCAGTCAAAGCTATTAAAGGTCAAATCCTGGCTATAGTCTGGTCGCCGAGCACGTAGAATTTCGTCCAATGACCCCAAGCTACCCACATTACAAGATAACTCTAGTGTCGTGTCGATAGATGTCGCCACAAGTATGATATCTTTTTACCTTAGCGTCCAGCTCAGCTTTTTCTTTGTTAAGCGCGATTTGCTTCGCATTTAATTCCTTCACTCGAGCTTTGAGTTGCTGCATTTCAGCCATGCTTGAATCGCGGTCGGATCTGAAAACAAAGTTCATGAAATATCAAATACAAATACAATTTTTATTCAGTACTTAGGCCCTTTAAAGATTGCTTATACATGTCCCAAATACCTTGCCCTACCACTACTTCGGGTTAATATGGACTGGTGTCGAGAAGTGGACCGACGACATGATAAAGGTAGCAGGAAGGCGCTGGATGCAGGCCGCTACCAACCGGGCGATGTGGAAGTCATTGGGGGAGGCCTATGTTCAGCAGGGGACGTCCAGTGGCTGAAATGATGATGACGATGGTCAAGGTTTTTTTATATCTTGTATAGTTTCGTGATATGTGCTCTGTATGGTCTGTAATATTGGAACAATTTAACCATATTTTGAACTTTATTTTTTTTTTTTTCCATTCCCTTGTTTAAGGTCCGAAAACTATGAAAATGAACCTAAACCGCATTAAAGTTCACTTTACCTCATTCCGTCAATAGTACACTTAGCAGCAGCCACCGCAGTCCTGGTATCTCTGATACTCTTGGCCAGGTCGGCCGCTTTGACCGTCTTAAAATGAACCCTAAATAACTTCATATTACGGTCGATTTCACTCCACTTCATCTTTGATATTGGACTGAAAACCAACCTTAATACCTTGCAGTGAAGTCTATATTACTGTACCTCATCCCGTCAAAGTGCATTTAGCAGCAGCCACAGCTGTCCTGGTGTCTCTGATACTCTTGGCCAGGTCGGCCGCTTTGACCATCTTAAAATGTACCTAAATATCTAATATTAAGATGGTAGACAGCTTTGTGTGAAATTTTAGTGTGCTGCTAACTGAAAATGAGCCTTAAGCCTTTATCATAAAGTTAAATTTACCTCATTCCATCAATAGTACATTTAGCAGCAGCCACAGCTGTCCTGGTATCTCTGATAATACTCTTGGCCAGGTTGGCCGCCTTGACCGTCTTAAAAATCTTAAAATGTACCTAAATATCTGGTATTAAGATGGTAGACAGCTTTGTGCGAAATTTTAGTGTGCTGCTAACTGAAAATGAGCCTTATTCCTTTATCATAAAGTTAAATTTACCTCATCCCATCAATAGTGCACTTAGCAGCAGCCACCGCTGTCCTGGTGTCTCTGATGCTCTTGGCCAGGTCGGCCGCTTTGACCGTGGCTGAGTTGAGTTCGGCTGAGACCGCTTGAGTCTTTGCTTTTAGGCTTAAGACTTTTGTTTGCTCTTCTGTCCTCATGGCTTCTAACTCCCTTGTCCTGTGGATAAGAAAATTAATGAGTTTATTGGCCCACAAAGTATATTATTTACAATCTATATAAATAAAAATGAATTGATGTTCGTTAGTCTGATTAAAACTCGAGAACGGCTGGGCCGATTGAGCTGATTTTGGTTTTAAAATGTTTGTCGTAGTCCAGGGTAGGTCTAAACGGTGAGCAAATACGCGTGCGATATTGTTTTTCTGTGACAGACAAAATTCCACGCGGGCGAAGCCGCGGGCAGAAAGCTAGTAATCAATAATATATAACTTAAAGGTGACTGACTGACAGACTGACTGACTAACATAGTGATCTATCAACGCACAGCCCAAACCACTGAACGGATCGAGCTGAAATTTGGCATGCAGGTAGATGTTATGACGTAGGCATCCGCTAAGAAAGGATTTTACGAAACTCCACCCCTAAGGGGGTAAAACGGGATCCACGCGTACACTTATGAAGCAATAAATGATAGTCGCGGGCCGCACACTAATAAATAAAACAGGCCAAGTGCGAGTCGGACTCACGCACAAAGGGTTCCGTACCATTGATTTATGAAATTATTATTTTTTATTTTAATTAAAGTTATTTGTATGAAAGATTACGCGGTAATAAGCGGTTTACGATTTACGAGGTATTAAAAAAAAACTACTTACTAGATCTCGTTCAAAACAATTTTCGTTGGTAGTTTTTATAGTAATGTACATCATATGTTTTTTTTAGATTTTTCATTTTCTTATTTTAGAAGTTAGAGGGGGGGGCAACTTTTTTCCACTTTGGAAGCGTCTGTCACGCAAACTATTCGGTTTAGAAAAAAAGTATTTTAGAAACCTCGATATCATTTTTGAAGACCTATCCATAGATACCCCACACGTGTTTGATGAAAAAAAATTTTTTGAGTTTCAGTTCTAAGTAAGTATGGGGAGCCCCCAATATTTATTATTATTGTTTTATTTTTGCATCAGAATCTTAATGCGGTTCACAGAATACATCTACTTACCAAGTTTCAACAGTATAGCTCTTATAGTTTCGGAAAAAAATGGCTGTGACATACGGACGGACAGACGGACGGACAGACAGACAGGACGAATCTATAAGGGTTCCGTTTTTTGCCATTTGGCTACGGAACCCTAAAAATGAATACTTTTATACCTTTTTTTCTCCCATTCCAGCTGACACTGTCTTTCCATTTCCTTCCTTGCTGCCTCACGTTTCTCCTGCAAAGAAAACTCAATTAATTTTAAGCCATATACCAAAGGTATAAGATTGAAAAAGGACGTAGCACTATCAACCCGGAAAAGGATCGTAACCGTATCAACTTGAGGCGGTCAGTATTCTTTGTACGAAACTCCATACTGCAACACTTATCCGCACCGTAACGTAAACGCCTCGCCTCGCGGTTGACAGCTCGCGAAAGGCGATACGGTGTTGATTAGTGATGTACAAGGCTCGAGGCTTCCGAGTCCTTTTGCCAAGAGCTCAGAGTCGTTTTACAGGGCTCGCCTCGTTTGTATGAATCTCGACGACTCGTAAGTCCTTTTTAGAGTTCGAGCCTTTTTGGGGCTCGCCTCGTTTATGAAGCTTGGAGTATTTCGCAGAGCTCGAGCCTTTTTGAAAGCCCAGTTAACTTTTGTGTTAAAATCGTCCTATTAAATAAAACTGCAGTGATACTACAATAAAATACATATTTGAAAAACGTTTTTCATAAAAGGGCACAAATCAGAAAATGACTACAAACAATTAGAATTATAACTTTTCCTAACAAATAAAATATAGGTCCATTTTAAAAATCTTATAACTAAAATCAACGTAGGTGATGTTTTTTTTATTTGTTTGAGCTCTTTTGAAGGTTCAAATTCAAATTCAAATTCAAATATTTATTTGCACAATTTTGGGTAAACATAGTGGTCTTAAAACTAGTATAAGTAGATCGCCAAAATTTGCTGTATAATTAGTCAGCGTACAAATATTTAAATAATTTCTACAAGAATAAATTACAAATATTATGTCATTTACTACATGAAAATAATTAAATATGTCAGAAATATAAAAAATAAAACAATGTCAAAACAATCAAAATAAATTAAATCAAACAATAAAATAATGCCATTAAAAGAATAATTAAAAATAAGTAATAAATGTCATTTTCGATTGAAATATTCATTCATAGTATAAAACGTATTTTCTAATAACCATGCATGCAATCTGGTTTTATATAAAGGCCCTGCAAGTGTCCTAATTTCTTCGGGTAAAGCATTATATACTTTCACCGCCATTGAAAATGCATTCTTATTACTTAGCGTTAGTCTGGTTCGAGCTCTTTTGAAGGTTCGAGCTCTTTTCAAGGCTCGAGCTCTTTTAAAGCCTCGAGGCATGGCTCAGAGAGCTCGCAGCTCGGCTAAGCTCGGGGAACCAAGCCTACCGAGCTCACTGAGCCTTGACATTCCGCCTCGAGGCTTCAGAAATAGGACTCGACGCCTCGAGTCTTGTACATCACTAGTGTTGATCCCTTATCGAGTTGATAAGTCTGCTATGAGCACATAGCTCGTAGAGACGATGGCCGTTGGGGCAGAAAATTTCTCGAGTGGCGACCACGGGCTGGAAGACGTAGCGTGGGCACTCACAAGGTGGACCGACGACATCATAAAGGTAGCAGGAAGGCGCTGGACGCAGGCCGCTACCAATCAATCAACATGGATATCATTGGGGGAGGCCTATGTTCAGCAGTGGACGTCCTGTGGCTGAAATGATGATGATGAAGTCTATGACCTAAATACAGATAAATAAATCTTTGGACAATTTCACACAGCGCCAGCTAGCCCCAATGTAAGCAACTTAATGCTTGTGTTATGGGTGCTAGCTTAACGGATATACTACTTATATGTATACTTTTTTTTATATACATACATATTATACATAGTCACACCCAGACCCGTCACAGAAATTAAAATTCATCATTTCAATTTCTGCCCGGCCGGGAATCGAACCCGGGATCTCTCGGCATAGTAGTCCGTTATGAACCACTACACCAAACGGCCGAATAATAAAGATACAGACCTGTTCTTCCTTCTGTTTCCTCATCAATTCCTCTTGTTCCTTCTTCTGAGCTTCTAGACGGAGTTTCTCTCTCTTCTCTGCTTCTTCCCTCTCTTTGCGCTCTCTTTCAGCCTAAAGAAGAGAGATATAAATAAATAAATATAAATAAATATCCTTGGACATTTTACACTGCGCCTCTAGTCCCAAACTAAGCAAAGCTTGTACTATGGGTACTAGACGACGGAATAAACATACTTAAATACTTTTTTTTTTGTAAATACATACATATTATACATAGAAAACACCCAAACCCGTCACAGAAATTAAAATTCATCATTTCAATTTCTGCCCGGCCGGGAATCGAACCCGGGACCTCTCGGCATAGTAGTCCGTTCTGAACCACTACACCAAACGGCCGTCATCAAAATAAACAATTTGGTAATTCACTTAGTGGTAATAAGAGCAATTATTGAACAAAAATAGGTATAGTCTGATGTGCTACAGAAAACATTTTTAAATAATTGTATGTTATTTTTCTACAAATGTCTAAAATTGATATAAAAATTAGTGGTTATTATATTTACCTCGGCTTCCTAGAATGCAGAATGCAAAAGAAATAGAAATATTTAATAATTATATGAAAATTATACTCTCCAGCTACCTACTAGGGGTCATCGGTTGAGTTCGTACTAAATAATCTAAAATGTAACAGCTATAAAAATAAATCTAATAAATAAATAGAAATTGTTTTATGTGCAACTTTTATATTTTTACATGAGTGCGTCAGAAGGAGGGTTATGTTTTTATGTACTTTTTGTCTCTGTGTGTCGTTCATTGCAATTTTATTCTTATTATTATTTTTCTTTCTTATTTATATCCCAAAGATGAGACAATGGTAGGTTAAATATGAGTTTTGCTTAGGGTCCGAGGGCCAGTGGCCAAATTCACGTATAGATGACCCACGCTGAACTGTCCCACCAAACTCAATGACAGGGGGGCGCTACCATCCTTCAACTATATGGTTTCCAACATGGCAAACATCGGAACCAGCGATCAGGTATTGACGGTGGCGCCCCACTGTCAATGTCATGCATAGGACAGTTCAGTATTTTGGAACTATAAGATCGAATACTTATAAAAACGAAATCGAAACAACATCGGGCGATTAATACGTGAATACGAAAAGTGACAAATCGCTTGCATGTCGTTGAAGTTTTGATACGTGAATGAGGCCACAAGTGAATTTGTGGGTAAGTCCTGATCCACCACGCTACTAACCGCCCTCTGCAAACAAGAGGCTATTGAGTGGTGGAAGTCTACATCGGGACAAAAACACTCAAAAGCACTCATTCAGGGATATAGCAACAAAGTAACTAAGGAACTGCTAAAGTTCAAAAGATACAAAGCCTGTGCAGTGACTAGAATACTGACCGGCCACTGCAAACTAAACAAACATAAATCGAACATGAACATGACCGAGGAAACTGTGCAGATTCTGCCATACAGAAGAAGAAACGGCCATGCATGTTCTTTGCTCATGCTTCCCGCTTATGAGCAAAAGAAGTATCCATCTCGGGCGACACATCATGCACCCGGATGAGATAGCAGATATCACGCTCCAAAGAATCTGGAAATTTATAGACTCAACGGGACTAAGCAGTGAACTCTAAACACAAGGGCTGCCACAATAGATCAATCCTGGTCGAGTTGGCGCAAATAAAGGCCCAAAAACCAATAATAATAATAAGTTCTGATCGTACCTTCTCTTTCATATGCTGGTCGGCCAGCTGCGAGCGGCGTCTTTCCAATTCAGCCTGGCCTCTAGCTAGGTTCTCCCTGCGGCGTTCTTCGTACGACTTGTTGCTGCTGACTGACGTCACTGATTCACGCCTGTCAGATTAAATAACAAAATGTTAATTGTGAAAAATCTGTACGTTAAAATATCGGTATCGTTAAAGTCAATGAAATGCTGTCAGGTTGACATTAACGTAGTCAATGTCAGCCTATAGTCTTGTCGCCGAGCACGTAGAATTTTGTCCACTGACCCCAAGCTACCCGCGACTGTGCGACGGGCGCCCGCAGTGAGTGTGCGAGCGCGACAGCAACATAATTACGCGCGAGCGATAAGGATGGGTAGCTTGGGGTCATTGGACAAAACTCTACGTGCTCGGAGACCGGGCTTTAGAAACGTCGATTAGAGTATGCACTGATGGGCTGATTTTTCAATCGTTGGATAACTTTTAAGTTTTAACTGAAGAATAAGTTTGGTGCATTGACAGTTTCAGTATGGGAAATATATCAAAATGACAAGTTTATTCTTCAGTTAAAAGATATCTGACGTGTCGCTGTGCTGATTTTTATTTACCTGCTGCTGCTCGTCCTTTAAGAGAGCATGTGAAAAAGTAAACATACAAATATATATGTCGTAATTTCTTTTTTAAATTATAGTTCACTACTTAAGTACATGTTCAGTATTGTACAACTTTTTTAATACTGAACAATTTATCCATATATGTAACTTCATACCTGAAAGTGGGCGGGATCAATTCTGGCGGTAGTTTGGCCGGCACCGGCTCTCCTTGCGTTGCCTGCTCGCACAGATACATGGCTAGCACGAACTCCTCACAACCTGCGACAAAAATAAAAGTTTATTTTAGAGATCAGATAAAAATATGGCCCTCTTTTAAACTCAAAGTTCAACGCCAGCAAAACCCATCAATGGCTGAGAGCACCCAATAATGGTTGAGAACACCCATCAATGACTGAGAAGCCATTAGTGAATAATAACCCACCAATGGCTTAGAACACCCATTAATGGCTGATAACCTATCAATGGCTGAAAATCCCTCAAAGGTTGAGAACCTATCAATGGCTGATAGGATCCATCAATGGCAGAAAAGGTCTATTAATGTTTTATAGAATCCGTCTGACTGAGAGTTCATCAATAGCTGACTGAGAGGGTCCATCAATGGCTGAGAGGATCTCTCAATGGCTGACCGAGAGGGTCGATCAATGGCTGAAAGGGACTCTCAATGGCTAAAAGGGTATCTCAATGGCTGACTGAGAGGTTCCATCAATGGCTGAGAAGGTTCATCAATGATTGAGAACACCCATCAATGGCTGAGAACCCATCAATGACTCAGAACACTTATCAATGGCTGAGAACCAATCGATGACTTAGAACACCTATCAATGGCTGAGAATCTACCAATGACTGAGAACCTACCAGTCAGCTAGCCAGATGGATGTAGAACTAGCTCTACCGCCACCCAAATCGAGCAGAAAACTTTGCTCTTGCTGGGAATCAAACTCAGAACCTTACCGAGCTTCCTGTCGGAGTCTAGATCTGCTTGAGAGACTGTTGAGGCAATCTCTCAATAGCTAAGAGGGTTCATCGATAGCTGAGAGGGTCCATCATTGGCTGAGAGCATCAACCAATGGCTGAGAGGGTCCATCAATGACTGAGAACACCCATCAATGGCTTCAATGACTCAGAACACCTATCAATGGCTGAGAACCCATAGATGACTCAGAACATCTATCAATGGCTTCAATGACTCAGAACCCCTATCAATGGCTGAGAATCTACCAGTCAGCTAGCCAGATGGATTAAGAACTAGCTCTACCGCCACCCAAATCGAACGAACGAACGAACGAACGAAGTGCCACTTGTGGTCTAAACTGAATAAATATTTTTGATTTTGATCAAAAGCTGACTGAGAGGGCCCCTCAATGGCTGACTGAGAGGGTCCATCAATGGCTGCTAACATCCATCAATGGCTGAAAACGCTCCATCAATGGCTGAAAACACACCAAAGCCTTAGTACTCAATAAAGGCTAGTTATCCCCACTGACCGAGCTTCCCGTCGGAGTCGAGGTCGGCCAGCGCCCAGATCTGCGCGAGCGACTGTTGCGGCAGCCGCGACTGCAGCATCACCGCGCGCCTGCGCCGACACGAGCCGCGCCTGCTGCGGGCGCTGGAGATGCTGGGCCGGTGCTGGTGCGATCAGACAAGCCTAGTACTGACTCACTCTTGGTGCATAGGCGCTTTAGTATTGTAGAGCTGTGTGTATAACCACTTACAGTCTGTGACGTGCCACGCTTGGTGCAATCAGAAGCGCCTGATACTGATTTACTCTTGGTGCGATCGAGGCGCCTAGTAGCTACACTCCTGGTTCGGTCGGTGGCGTCCAATACCGACACACTCTTGGTAGGTTGATGGCGCCTCGTACTGACTCACTCTTGGTCTGATCAGAAGCGCCGAATAACGACCCACTCTTGGTCCAGTTTAAGAGCGGGTAGTATCTCAATGAGGCCCATGGTCTAATCAGAAGCGCCTAATACCAACCCAGTCTTGGTACCTGCTGCGGGCAAGGCGCTGGAAATGCTGGGCCGGTGCTGGTGCGATCAGACAAGCCTAGTACTGACTCACTCGTGGTTTGATCGGAAGTGCCTAATACGGATCCACTCTTGGCCCGATCGTAGTCACCAAATTATGACTCACTAGTGGTGCAGTCGGTAGCGTCTAATACCGACTCTTGGTGGGTTGGCGGTGCATAATACCAAATTTTGGCACACTTTTTAGCATTAACATCGTGCGTACTGTGTACCAATAACCACTCATCTAGCTTCACATAGGACTAGGAGTCACTCTCTTTAATAGATGATAACACATCAACGGCTGAAAACCTACCAATGGCTGAGAACCTATCAACGGCCGAGAGAAAGGCTAGCACTTACTAAAGGTTGAGTTGCACCTACCAGTGGCTCATTGAGGACTGGTTTGCACCTACCAATGGCTGAACACTCATTTAAGACTGGATTTGCACCTACTAAAGGCTGAGACCTACTAATCAAAGGCTGATTAAAATGGGGTTAATCTGAAAATACATACATTGAGAACATCCTTTTTTAAATCGGTTAAACCTCACTTACCGAGCTTCCCGTCGGAGTCGAGGTCGGCCAGCGCCCAGATTTGCGCGAGCGACTGTTGCGGCAGCCGCGACTGCAGCATCACGGCGCGTGCCTGCGCGCCCGAAACGGACCCGCTCTTGGTGCGGTCCGTGGCGTTGAATAGTTGGGTGTACCTGGTGGAAACATAATCATCATCATTTATTTTTATTGTTCTGTTTTTTAAAGTGACTTATTAATATCTCTTTGACATGTATTTGACCACTGACATTTTTTTTTCTCTTGTTCAGTGTTTCTTTAAATTATTCAATGTTCAATACTCAATATTTTATTGCATACATTATGGGCCATTTAATTTATAAACTGCATGTATTTTATTTGTGACCTAAGTGTATGACATGTTTATTTTATTTTTAAGCTTGTAAGCGCTTTGGACCTGCTCTGTAAGCTTACAAGTGTTTTGCATTAATAAATAAATAAATCAGGTCATTTCGACCGAAATAAACAAAATCAAAAATATTTGTTCAGTTTAGACCACAAGTGGCACTTATGAACGTCAAAATATAGTAAATAATAAAAATGAAAAGGTAGCCCTTATGGGGCACTTTACATGTCTCCTTCCACGTCATAGGCTTCCGCAATGATTTCAAGATTAGCCTGCACCTTTTATCAAAATATGTTTAGTATTATAATATTAGTAGCTCGATTACAGACAATCTAGCTTAAAGTCTGGTATAAAACTCATAAAAAAAACTCATAAAACTCATTTATTTTTAACATAGGCTTTTAAAAAGCACTTTTACACGTCCCAGTATTAACCCTACCACTGCTTCGGGACTTTAAATGGGCCAGTGCTGAGAAGAAGCAGCGCAAGAAACTCAGACACTATTATTACTAATAGTTTATTTAAACACTAGCTTTTGCCCACAGCATTCTGTCACACGTCTCTCTTTTAAAAACCGAGATAAAAACTAGCCTATGTTAATCCATGGGTATTAAATCATCTCTGTACCAATCACCGTCAATATTTTAGCCATAGGACATCTAGAGCTGAACATAGGCTTCCGCAATGATTTCAAGATTAGCCTGCACTTTTTATCAAAATATGCTCAAATATGCCCAACGCACACTCACTGCGGGTGCCAGTCGCATAGTCGCGACAGCAATATAATTACACGCGAGCGATAAGGATAGGGGTCATTGGACAAAATTCTATGTGCTCACGGACCGGGCTTTAGTATTATAATATTAGTAGCTCGATTACAGATAATCCAGCTTTAAGTCTGGTGTACAACGAAACTTACTTCAGTTTCTGAGGTTGCGGGATACCCCACTCCACTGGTGGGGGACTCACGACTCCCATCGGCATATCAGTTGGGCTCGTCACCACAGACCCTGTAAAAAAGGGGTTCACAAAAAATACTTCAAAAAAGTGCACTAAAGAGTCAGCCTACCAAGTGCAGTCTATCAATAAAAAAATAAAAAAAGCTAAGAAACAAAGAAAAATATTTATTTAGCCCCTTCGTTAGGAATATGTGGTTATTATTATTATGACTCTAAGTGACCACACAAAGCAATAAATAAGAATAAGTGGTTATTATTATTATACAGGGTGGAAACGATAAGTGATCTCACTCGATTATTTCTAAACTATACAAGATATTGAAAAACTGGTTACTGATCCTGAAAGTGCTTCATAACCTCTTTCAAACGGTACCAATAATAGGTTACAGAATAAACTGGAACTATCCAATATTTTTTATTTAAAAGAACAAAAACGAAATTTAAAGTTGTCTACATTTTGTAGATGAAAAACAACTTTACTTACCAGGTTTAGACAAAATCTCGCTCTTCACAGCGTTAATAGGAGTGGAAGTGACAGGCTGGCCCGCCATCGAACCCGCCACCGTGTTGACAGGCTTCGGAGGACTGCTGATCAGCGAACCAACGGTCGTGCCACCCACTAACGACGGCTGGGATGAAGGGACCAGCGGGGTTGGACCCGCCAATGGCTGAGCCATTATCGGCTGATTCGGGATCAAAGGCTGAGCACCCATTAATGGCTGAGAACCTATTAATGGAGCTAGAGGCGGGCTAGCGCCAACTAGAGGTTGAACCGTCGTAGGTAAGGGTTGAGTAGACGCTAACGGTGGAGATCCTCCAATTAAAGGTTGGGTAGCACCGATCAAAGGCTGACTTGCACCTACCAAGGTTTGAGTAGCACCCACTAAAGGTTGGACTGCACCTACCAAGGGTTGAGTCGCCAACGGCTGAGCACTCATTAACGGCTGGCTCGCACCGACTAACGGCTGACTTGCACCAATCAAAGGCTGACTAGCTATAGGCGGAGCACCCACCAACGGCTGGGTATTAATCAATTGCTGGTCCATCAATGGCTGAGCCATCGGTGGGTTCAATGGCTTTACACCGGAGATCAAATCGGGTACGGCCGTGACCGGTTTAGCGGGGGGGATCATAGGGGGCACGGTTGGGGGTCCAGTGCTGATTAAGGGTTGGCTAGGGGCCCCGAAGTCTCCTAGGAGGGAGTTACTGGTCAGTGGCTGAGGGGCTTGGGAGGGGAGGCCGCTTATGAGGGGCTGGGCCGGTTGGGGAGGAATGGATGGCATTGGGGGGATAGGGGGTTTCGCTGGGGGAGTGAATTGTTTCTGAGGTGGAGCTGTGAAACAAAAAATGGACAAGTTAGGGTATATTTCATAAGTAAGACATTAACGCCCGCATTTACAAACGCTTGCTTAAGTGTGAGGCAGAAAATCGAACGCACAGCGATGAATAGAGTTCTGTGATTGGTTTGTGTGTCACCCCGTGCGTCCACGCGCACTGTGAGACCTCATACTAATGTTTGAGAATACGGGCGTAAATCACAAGCAAAATAAATAGACATGATGAACTAACGATAGTCGATAGTTTTAATGCTGATAGTCAAATTAGTAAATAGTTGATAGAATTTACTATTGATATACTATATCCAAAATACTGAACTGTCCTTTCTGTGACATTGACAGCGGGGCGCCACCGTCAATACCGGATCGCTGGTTCAGATTTTTGCCATTTTGCTATATACTTGAACGATGGTGGCGTCTCCCTGTCAATGAGGTTGGTGGGATAACTCAATTTAGGTCATCTTTAGTTGGTATTTTACTAGTCGACGGTTTCATCTTGACAGTTGATAGTTTACTGACCTGCAGGACTCAATGAAGCGATCAAAGATGGCGGGAGTGCTTTAGGTATTTCAATCCCGTGTAGCTTCAAATTGATAATCTGAAAACAACATGTAAAATATGTAATCATAAAAAGCTTCAAGTATGTATTTGTATTATTTTCTGTTTTTGACTTAAAGGTTTTTCCACTGCTGCAACTCCTGTGTACACAGATGATGTTGTTGTTGACAGATCTTTTAGGTGAGATTGTTTGACTTAGCTCTGTCAAAACGACTGTAGTGCTTTTAGGCATGTTCATACATTTTCTGCGAGATTTCCGAGGGGGAAGGGCCTCCTCTGTCCCCCTAGGTACATCCATGAAAGCTAGTGTATAATGTATACCTTGCAAGCAATGGAGAATTCCTTCAGGTCCAATTTCCCGTCAGCATTGGTGTCGGCAAGTGACCAAATCTGCCCAAGAATGGGTGGAGGCAGCTGGGACTGAAACCAAACAAAGAATATATTCAGTCGAATACTGTTCCGTTCAAATGAATTGTTGTAGTCTTCTTCAGATGTTGATGTCAGCATTCAAACGTCGATAGAAACATTTGATGCTGACGTTGGATGTTTATAAGAGACCATAGCCTTATAAGTAGGGGAGCACCACAGTGGCCATAAACAAGAGAATAAGAAGAGGTACTCCTCTGTGGTTGAGAATTCTGGATGAAGTTTGCTTCCTCTTTCAGCCTGAACATCTGTAGCCTCAAGCACACCAACGCGTGCAGATCCTCATCGCCGGCGCGATCATAGGCCAATGACAGTCAGACAGAATATCGCGTGAATTTGCGCGTCATTGGTCTTCCAATCGATCGCGCCGCCCGGCGATAGCAATGTGGCATGGTGGTTGAAGCTATTCCCAGATGTAGATTGGAAGCCTCCCCCTATTGTGAATGAATAAACTCTAAAAGCATATTTATTTATTTATACCTGCAGCATGAATCTCTTGGCCTGCTCGCCGGTCAGCGCTCCGTTGATGGGCCCGAGGTTCCGGAAGTGTTCCGCGAACTTTGCATGCTCGTGTGGCTGAACCACCCAGGGATCCGCCGCCATTTTGCGGGTGTTATCTGTGGATTAGTAAACCCTAAAGTAAGCCCATAATATAAACATAATTTTTGATGACTCACACCTAGGGTTGCCAGGCGTCCAGCTTTAGCCGGACATGTTTGGCTTTTTACGGTCTTTTTTTTTTTTTTTTTTTAAATATAATATAAAGCTCACGCATCAGGATGTTGGTTAGCAACCGATGATGATAGTAGTCACTCACGAGCTGACACTAATTGCCCTTTGGCTTTTAGGGTAAAATGTCCGGCCAAATGAAGCCCAGAGTCCGGCTTTTCTGATTTTGTACCTGGCAACCCTACTCACACCCATATTTACAAACAACGCTTGCTTAAGTGAAGCAGCAAATCGAACGCACAGCGTTGAATAGGGCTCTGTGATTGGTTCGTGTGTCACCCTGTGCGTCCACGCGCACTGTGAGACCTCATGGTAATGTTTGTGAATACAGGCGTCATTATCTTTAAAATACCTATTTATGGAAGTATTTGTACAGCTGCATCAGAGCTGAACTGTTAAATTCTTATGTCATTGTAGTAATTTAATGGAAGGTAACCAAAAATAGGCTTTAAATTAGCGCTATTCATGAAAAAAAGTTGTAATTTTTATAAATTGATATTTTATTAATTAAGCCCAATTTTAATGAAATTAATCAAGTCTAACATCTAGAATCTATTATTAATTATAGATAGTACTTTTCAGTTAGTTCTAAACCATATAAATCGGTAATATTTATGCTAAAACGCAAAAGAAGGGGTGTAACTTTCTAGCGTAATTAAAACACAATTTTTACACGTTAAATGAAGAATTATTGGAAAGTACTTACATCCGGTTTGAATTAAAGTTTCCCCGTTAAGTTGCAACGCCCCTTTTTATTGCAGTTTCACAAGATTTTCGAGAGATTATTGGAAAATCCTCGACCAAATATTGATCGGATAGCAACTGTCAAAACTGGAATTGACATTACGCATTTCGTTCAAAAATTGAAATGTCCTTTTCAAAGGACTGCTGCCTGCAGTCCGACTGGCAGTTTTCCTTTTCTGAAAGTCATCTCAAAATGTTGTGTGATTAAATTGAGTGTAATTTCAGGAAATACACCTTCAAAGTACTGTCCCACAACCCCAGAATCGTTATTTTTCGTGTGCTCTATTGCTGCGATTAAGCGAGTGTATTTCAGATTTCAGAACGTTTACCGCAAATGTCATTAACGTCACATTTTTGTTATTGTTGTGAGCCCGAGTCCCCTTCGCATTTTATCATTTTTCTCCACATTTTCACGCATAAACATGTCCAAAATAGCTGATAACATCAACCCACATGTCTACGAGAAGAATTCCGAGCGTGAAGTGACTTCAACCGAGCTTGACGAAGATATGGAGGACGAATTTGATGAACGTGAAATTTACGATTTAATTCGCAATATCAACGATCCTGAGCACCCTTTGACCCTGGAAGACCTGAGGGTGGTTGAGGAGAGTAATATAGTCGTGAATAATAAGGAGAATACAGTGGATGTGACGTTTACACCGACTATTCCTCATTGCAGTATGGCTACTCTTATAGGTTAGTTTTTCTTAGTTCTTTTGAGTCATAAAAAGGTCAAAACTTTTCTTATTGTTACAGACTGCAGTTACAGTAATCCTCTCTATTTGGCTGGATACGAATTTTATAAAAACAAACTTGCTAAACATGAGTGTTCATCCCCTTTCTTTTCTTTTTTTTCTTATTATTGTGTTTCACAGCTGTGTGCAAGCCCATTTTGAGCCAGTTGTTTGTTGAGTATTGCACTTTTAGTAGTTGAATGTTGACATACTTACAATGCATATTTTATCTCCAGGATTATCAATCCGCGTGCAGCTCCTCCGAGCCTTACCCAGCCGTTTCAAGGTCACCGTCCGCGTGACTGAAGGATCCCACGCATCTGAGCATGCGGTGAACAAACAGCTAGCAGACAAGGAGAGAGTGGCCGCTGCGTTGGAAAACAATAACCTGGTTCAAATCATCAACCAGTGTGTCGCTGGTTGATCATTCAGTGACTCACTGGTTGCTGAATAATAGGTTGTTACATACTTTAACTTTGACAAATGTCAACAACCTGCCAAACTCCATACAAAAAACACTGGTTATAGTTACTGTTAAAAAAGTTAAGTCTTAACCCAAGGTTGAGTTGCACCATCTTTTTTAACCGTAACTACTTATAACAATAACCAGTGTTTTTTGTATGAAGTTTGAAAGATTTTTTTACTTTTGTCGAAGTTAAAGTAAGATGGTGCAACCCAGCCTTTAGTGTTTTTATTTTGAGAGATCCAAAATAATGAAAAATATTCAAGTGTAAATATTTTATTTAAGCTTACAATTATTTGTTAATGTCATTAAATGCCTGTAAAAATAAAAATATTGTGTAAAAGTAAATAAAACTTGTAAATAAATATTTCTTTCTTTCTAGAGTAAGTTGGTTTATTTTGAATTAGCTGCTTTAATTTCGTTCTTCATGTCATCATAAGATGTTTGATTCTGAAAGAGAGAAGGCAAATTATTACAGGAAAAAAATAAACAGAAAAGTATAGTTTACAATTACACTGGATATTTATAATATTAGCACACTATAGTCTGGTCCGTGAGCACGTAGAATTTTGTCCAATGACCCCTAGCTACGCATCCTTATCGCTCGCGCGTAATTATGTTGCTGTCGCGCTCGCACACTCACTGCGGGCGCCCGTCGCACAGTCGCGACAGCAATATAATTACGCGCGAGCGATAAGGATGGGTAGCTTGGGGTCATTGGACAAAATTCTACGTGCTCACGGACCAGACTGTAGCTAGATACAGCTGTGTGGTTCTGGCAGAGGGAGAATCTCGCCTACTCTCAGTGTAAACTAAAGGGCATAGCACATCTATTAACCCGTAAAGGGATCGTAACCATATCAACTCGAGGCGGTCAGTATTCTTTGTATGAAACTCCATTCTGCAACGCACACTATCCGCACCGTAACGTAAACGCCTCACCTCGCGATGGACAGCGCGCGGAAGGCGATGACAGCTCGAAAAAGGCGATACGGTGTCGATCCCTTTCCGAGTTGATATGTCTGCTATGACCTTAACACACCCGCTCGGAAGGAAGCAATAATATTCCACCTTAAATAAATGCGAATATTATAAATGCGAATGTAACTCTGTCTGTCTGTCTGTCTCTCTTTCACGCCTAAACCACTGAACCGATTTTGATGAAATTTGGCATAGAGATAGTTTGAGTCCCGGGAAAGGACATAGGATAGTTTTTATCCCGGTTTTTGAAACAGGGACACGCGCGATAAAGTTTTTCTGTGACAGACAGAATTCCATGCGGGCGAAGCCGCGGGCGGAAAGCTAGTTGTGGATAATCATCAAATTCTACATTGGTGATCCTGAAATAAAAAAAGATAAGGAAAACTCACATCCCACATGTCTGCGTCCCACTCTGGGAAGAGTTTCTTGAACACCGTAGGCTCCTTCCCTTGTTTCACCACGACCGATATAGCCGAGTCCACGGTGCGGTCCAGCCCGTCATCCTCTATGTACTCCTGTAACACAAAAGGTGGTTTATTAGCCGATATGTTGCCCCGAAGTGGTGGAAGTCGCTGACATGGCCCGACAGATTAGCAAGCTGAAGTGGCAATGGACAGGGCACATAATATAGTACGCAGAACTGACGGCCGATGGGGCAGCAACGTTCTGGAGTGGAGGCCGCGTACCGGAAAACGCAGCGTGGGACTTCCTCCCACAAGGTGTACTGGTGAAATCGTAAAGGTAACAGGAAGGCGCTGGACGCAGGTTGCTACCATCCGGGCAATATGGAAAGCATTGGGGGAGGCCTATGTTCAGCAGTGGATGTCCTATGGCTGAGTAGATGATGATGATGATGAAGTGGTGGTAGCGAGCTATATTGCGGCGTGTATAGTAACCCTGGAAAAGGCCTGTAATCATGTTACTAAAGAATTTGCCTCCCCAACAGATGAGGCAGGGTGGGGAGTAAAGGCCAAAGCCCAAATCCTCCATTGGCTACACGCAAATTGGAGAGGGTCTTGTTCCTGCAGTGGACACTAAATGACCTGATGATGATGAAAGAATTTGCTTTCGACTTTTATAAACTATAAAAGTCGATAGTCGATAGTAAATAGTCACTGCCCCCTGGAAATCTCGCAGAGTCCCTTTGAAGGAGCTAAGTCAAACGATCTGACCTAAAAGAATCTGACGCCCCCCCCCTTAGGCCAAAAGCTGGGTATGACTGGCCCCCCTAGGCCAGAAGTTGGGTATTAATGCTCCCCCCCTAGGCCAGAAGCTGGGTATCACTGGCCTGGCCCCCCTTAGACCAGAAGCTGGGTATGACTGGCCCCCCTAGGCCAGAAGTTGGGTATTAATGCCCCCGCCTTAGGCCAGAAGCTGGGTATCACTGGCCTGGCCCCCCTTAGACCAGAAGCTGGGTATGACTGGCCCCCCAAGGCCAGAAGCTGGGTACTTACGCCTGGGACCTATATTAGTTTTATTTATTCTTTGTGTCTGTGAATGGCTTAATAACTTTAAGTACCTTGATGATGTTTTCCCTCGCGGCCTTGACTCGTTCTGGCGTGTTCTTGCCCTGCCAGAAGTACAGCTCCTCGCCAGCGTCCAGGATGTACACTCCGTCGTCCGACAAGTCCTGTGGAATAAACAGAATAAAATAGTTTCACTTTATACTTAATCAAGCCAGCAATGGGCGTATCAAGGCAGCGGAGGGCAGCGTCCCCTGAAAATTGATAGCCTCTTCCTACATACATACGTACCTTAACGGCCTAAATTAAAACTTGCACAAGTGCACGGAACAGGTGCTCGTTAGTTCCGCTCTCCAAACATACCACGACTGCGCCGTTCATATTATTGGCCTCCCCAGGCCTAAGTATCGTATCCCCAGTGGCGGCGTAGCATGGGTTGGCACCCGGGGCGATCACCCCCCCCCCCGTAATAAGTCCTAAGGCACCCCCTGGTACCCCCCAGGATTTTGGAGTTACCTACCGATTCGAAGATTGAAAGACAATCGCATTCCCCCCCCCTTTTCATGACANAAGTCCTAAGGCACCCCCTGGTACCCCCCAGGATTTTGGAGTTACCTACCGATTCGAAGATTGAAAGACAATCGCATTCCCCCCCCCTTTTCATGACATAGACCGCAGATTTGCCATGCAGATGTGCCAGTAAGTACTAATCTGCGCGACTTGTGTCACCCCCTGATGCTTGGTACCCGGGGCGCCGCTACTGCGTATCCCATCGTAAGTCTGCTGAGTGAAGTCCGGCGGGAGCCGGCAACTCCTCAAACTTTAACTTCCCTGTGATGGTGACGGTGACAGACTGCCCCTAGGAACCAATACCTCACCCATAATCTTTAGCATGGAAAGAATCTACCAACCTGCTGAGTGAAGTCCGGTGGCAACTCCTCGAACTGGACCTTCCCTGTTATGGATACAGTGACAGCTGTCAACGTGACAGGTGTGGTGACGCGCCGGCTGATGACCTGCTTCCAGCCGGACCTGGTTTCCTCTGGGGCACCTCCTGTAGAGAATTGTGATTAAGAATAGGACTTTAGCCTCGGATTTGTAGAGCAAAGAGCCCGTGAACCTCAGACCTTCACTACGATCATAATTTCAGCCACAGGACGTCCACTGCTGAACATAGGCCTCCCCCAATGACTTCCACATCGCCCGGTTGGTAGCGGCCTGCATCCAGCGCCTTCCTGCTACCTTTATGAGGTCGTAGGTCCACCTTGTGGATGGACTTCTCACGCTGCGTTTTCCGGTACATGGTCTCCGCTCTATAATTTATTATTTATTTATCATTGCCCTACCAGCGCTTCAAGACAAACATTTGATTTTGGCAAGTGCTGAGAAGCAAGCTAGCTCCTTCTTCTACTTTAAAAAGCAAACTTTCTTCAAAGTTTTGTAGCTTAGGTACCCAAAGCTTTGTAACTTACCCAAAGCTTTTTAGCTTACCCAAAGCTTCGAAGCTTACCCAAAGCTTTCTATCTTACCCAAAGCTTCCCAGAACTCGTCGGGCTCGTCTCCCTGTTCCACTGCGACCACCTCCTTCTCCTTGACAGCCTTCGAGAGGAACTCCGTGGCCGCCTCGTGCTCCTCCGAGTTTGATTCCTGAGGGTATCAGAGTGTTAAGGTTTGGTTGATGAAGAATATACCTTAAGGGCTTGTTCCCTCGGCAATCTAATTTGTAAAATAATAATAAATAAAAAAAATAATAAAAAAAACATAATAAGTAAAGTTACTAATGATAAAAACTATTTACAAAATAAAAAATACTTCACCCCCAGCGCCGCAGTCAGGAATCGTGCCCAAAAGTTTTTAGTCATTTTAAGTTAATGTAATATTATAAAATTTATTCTCTGCAAAATATAAGTAAAGGAACATGTGGCAATCCGCAACAAATTTCACACATATTGCCATTCCTCTTATATAAAGAAATAAATAAATAAATAATTCTTTGGACAATTTCACACAGCGCCAGCTAGCCCCAAAGTAAGCAAATTAATGCTTGTGTTATGGGTGCTAGCTTAACGGGTATACTACTTAAATACTTTTTTTTTAATACATAAATATTATACACATAGTCACACCCAGACCCGTCACAGAAATTAAAATTCATCATTTCAATTTCTGCCCGGCCGGGAATCGAACCCGGGACCTCTCGGCATACCATAACTAGTCCGTTCTGAACCACTAAGTACACCAAACGGCCGAATGGTTGTGTGGACACACATATATGTTGTTCGAATTAATTACAAATTCGAACGGATCGGTTTTCTGAGGGACACTGAAAACGGGATGTTCGTGTGAACGTATGTATGAAGGGCTCTTCTGTGCCTACCTATGCCCGTGTATTTTTGATCGGTGTCAGATCGGACTTTATTTTACTTTAACTATCTGCCTTTGTCTAAAAACTAAAAACCTATATCTAAGTATCATACCTTTCCGCTCCACACGAAGACTTTCTCCAAGGTCTCCAGAACGAACACGTCATCGTCCTCCAAGACGTCTGCCTTCTCGGCCACCTGGACAGCACGCATGTCCACTCCTGGCTCTGTACCCTCGACCTGATGGAATAGATAGATAGAATATAGGTACGGGACTATTCCCACCTCTCGTTCCCACCGCTGCAACTCCTGTGTAGCCAGGATCTACAGCTAGACCGCCAGTAACCCAACCAGTGAAGGTCAAGTTTGTCCCGGAATAGAATAAAAGCGACGATAGCCGAACGGTGAAGGTGTCGGACTGGCCCGCCGCTCGACTATTGTGGTGAGCCCACTCGTAACACAAGCATATTTAGCTTACCACGAAGGGTTAAGGGGATTAATTAATTAGCAATTTGAAAAGTTGAAATGATACAGTGATACAGGAAAATAACCTTCCTGAAAACCCAGTCCCCTAGAGACAAGTGGAAAAACGTGACAATAATTTCGAATCGTGTCACGGAACGAAAAAACCCCGGTGTTATAGGTTTTCGAAATTACAAGCTGTCAATCTTTGCAACTTATCTTCGGGGGGCTGGGAGAGGACAGTAAATAATTATTCGGTTAGGTATGTAGATTTTTAGCTGTTCCTTAGTTAATAAATAGGACTCACCCTGAATAGACGAATGTTGTCGTCATCGTACGAGTTATTGGAGTTCACTGGTTTGTATTCTGTCTCCTTTCCTCCGAACAGAATCATCAGAGCACCTGTGAAAGTTATAGCACAGAATAATAATAAGTACTACGTACAGAAGTTTTACTTCGCGAAGGTATTTAAAAAAATGTATGCTCAATGTCATTAACAACATGGTGTTGTGGGAGTCGCATCGTGTCAGCTGCCGTACTGCGAGATAGGCCGCGAAGAGGCCGCTTATATTTATAACCTCCGGCCGAGAGGTCCGAGAGGCTGTCTCGCTCGCACACCCACCGCGGGAGCTCCGTAGATATAACCTACGCTCGAGAGGACAGATATTGCTGTCCCGCTTCCTCTATGGGAGCGCGCGGGTACGCGCTGAAAGTTTCAAAGTTTTCATGTCGTGTGCGACAGCCAATGTTTCTGTCTCTTTTCTGTGTTACTATAAATATAGCGCATTTTGTAAATAAATCATCACTTCAAATCTGGACTCTGAGTTTCACTCATCTACCTGCACCTACCTTCTCCTCGATACACTGTTAGGCTCCATATCTGGTGACCACCGACTGAAGACCTGAAGACCCTGTTTATTGGAGCTACTTACCAATGGCTGAAGAAAAATCGAAGACGAGTCGAGAAGAGATGCCGTTCGGCGATATTGGCGCCATTTCCGTGCAGTCGCGCCTTCTACCATTTTGGCGGGAACTCCCACGCGCTTGGTTCGTGCAATTCGAAGCCGTTGTCGACCCGCTGAAGACTTCAGATGACCAGAAATTCCGGTATCTGCTGCAACAGCTGCAAGCCGTCGACCTGCAACATCTCACCGACATCTTGTACAACCCACCTGCTACGGACAAGTATCTCGCCGTGAAGAATCGCCTGCTCGCTGCCTACGACAAATCAGACGTCAAGAACTTCCAAAAGCTTNAAGCCGTCGTCAACCCGCTGAAGACTTCAGATGACCAGAAATTCCGGTACCTGCTGCAACAGCTGCAAGCTGTCGACCTGCAACATCTCACTGACATCCTGTACAACCCACCTGCTACGGACAAGTATCTCGCCGTGAAAAATCGCCTGCTCGCTGCCTACGACAAATCAGACGTCAAGAACTTCCAGAAGCTCATCAGTGGTCTCGAACTCGGAGATCAGAAGCCCTCGCAGCTCTTACGTAAGATGAGAGAACTCGGCTGCGGTATGATAACCGATGAAGGCTTGAAGATCGAGTGGTTAAATCACTTGCCCACACAAATACGCGTCGTGCTGTCTGTCAACACCGAATCCTCACTCGAAACACTCGCTGCGATGGCGGACAAGATGGCAGAGTACACCGACGGACCCAGCATCGCCGCAGTAACATCTTCAACATCAACATCAACAGCGGCGTCAGCACAAATAGAAGTTTTATCGAAGCAAATCGAGAAACTTTCACTGGAGATCGCAGAGATTCGACGCGGCAACAACAACACGNCAGTAACAACTTCAACATCAACGGCGGCGTCAGCACAAATAGAAGTTTTATCGAAGCAAATCGAGAAACTTTCACTGGAGATCGCAGAGATTCGGCGCGGCAACAACAACACGAACGGAAGATATCGCCGTCCCTTTCGCTCACGCTCTCGCTCTCAGTCACACCAACGCAAGTCAGCGAAACCTGGGGATGAAAATTGGGAATGCAGATATCACTATCGCTTTGGTGACAAGGCGAAGCGTTGCGAATCGCCTTGCTGTAGAAGAAAGAAGACTTCGGGAAACTAACGCCGGCACCGACCGTGGCGGACGTCGGTGTCTTCAGCACCAGATATGGAGCCTAGCNGAAACCCGGAGATGAAAATTGGGAATGCAGATATCACTATCGCTTTGGTGACAAGGCGAAGCGTTGCGAATCGCCTTGCTGTAGAAGAAAGATGACTTCGGGAAACTAACGCCGGCACCGACCGTGGCGGACGTCGGTGTCTTCAGCACCAGCCATGGCCTGTGTGTCTACGATCGCAACACTCACGAACGTTTCCTCGTAGACACAGGCGCTGACATCTCCGTTTTGACCGCCACTCACAAGAAGAAACACAGAAACTCCGCGAGCGCCTACAAACTTTACGCCGCAAATAATTCGCAAATCAACACGTACGGCGACAAAACCGTCAGGCTGAACCTTGGGCTACGTCGTGATTTTACATGGACATTCGTCGTCGCCGACGTCAAGACCTCCATCCTGGGCGCTGATTTTCTTCGACACTTCAAACTGCTGGTAGACCTGGACAAGAAGAAGCTAATAGACAAGACCACCGAGCTATCGATCGACGCGCTCGAAGTAACAACCAACGCCGAGTCAATACACGTCGTGAGTAGCGATCAAGCTTATCACGACATACTCAAGCAGTATCCAGACGTCCTACGGCCCATGTCACTCAAGCAACCTAGCAAGCACGAAGTTGTACACCATATCGAGACGACGGGCCCTCCCCTCTCCGCCCGCCCCCGCCCTCTGCCGCCGGACAAATACAAGGCCGCCAAGCAAGAATTCGACCGTATGCTGGAAATGGGAATCTGCAGACCATCAAGCAGCCCCTGGGCCAGCCCACTGCACGTAGTGAAGAAGAAAGACGGGGGACTTCGAGTATGCGGCGACTACAGACGTTTAAACGCGGTAACGCAACCCGACCGCTACCCGATACCGCGCATACAAGACTTCACATATCAACTTCACAACAAGAAGATATTCTCCAAGCTAGACTTAAAAATGGCCTATTATTGGATACCTATCGCCAAGGAAGACGCACAGAAGACATCTATCATCACGCCCTTCGGAATGTTCGAATTCACCTGCATGACCTTCGGTTTGCGAAATGCCAGTCAAACGTTTCAACGTTTCATGCACGAAGTACTGAGAGGGATAGAAGGCTGTTTCTGTTTCGTTGACGATATCCTCCTGTGTGCTGAGACCGAAGACCAGAACAAAGAACTTCTTCATCGAGTACTACAACGCCTCGATAAGTATGGCGTCACACTCAACATCGATAAATGTGAGTTCGGGAAGAAATCGCTCACATTTCTTGGCTACGAAGTGTCCGCACAAGGAATCAAACCGAGTGAAGAACGCACGAAGGCAATATCTACCTATCCGAAGCCTAAAACTGTCATCGAGCTACGACGTTTCCTCGGCATGATCAACTTTTATCGTGACTGCCTGCCCCGACAAGCCGAACTACAAGTTGAACTCAACAAGTACCTACATAACCGGAAGAAAAATGACAAGACACCTATCAATTGGACAATAGAAGCAGAAGAAGCCTTTGAAAAATGCCGCCAAAGCATCTCCAAGGCGACCATTCTAAGTCATCCCGTCCCCGGCAGCACCCTCGCCATCATGACCGACGCCTCAGACCACAGTATAGGCGCCGTGCTTCAACAGAAGATTGACAACGCATGGAAACCGCTCGCATTCTTCTCCAAATCGATGAGCGAAACACAACGTCGCTACAGTGTGTACGATCGCGAACTACTAGCTATGTACACAGCTGTAAAGCACTTCAGACGACTCATTGAAGGATGCGAAGTTGTCGTGTACACCGACCACAAACCACTCGCTTACGCTCTAACAAGATCAGCGAGTAGCAGCGACACCCCGCGGCGAGAACGGCAACTACATTTTATCAGTCAATTCTGCACGAAGATATTGTACATACAAGGCGAAGAAAACACCGTTGCGGACGCACTATCAAGAATAGAAGAAATACAATGTCCGACTACCATAGACTTCAACCAGCTGAGCATCGATCAAGACAACGATGAAGAACTGAAAGAACTGAAACGGCAATCGAACCTGAAATTCAGCGAAATAACTCTGCCCGGCCTCAACAAGCCTATCACGTGCGAGTTATCGACATCTACGCCCCGCCCATACCTTCCCGGCCCGTATCGTTACGCTGCATACCAAGCGCAACACGGTCTGTGCCACCCGGGGGTCAGAACAACGCGAAGACAGATGGCAAACAAATTCTTCTGGCCATCGATGAACAAAGAAGTTGCACAGTGGACGCGAGCCTGCATCAGCTGTCAGCGAGCTAAAGTCAATCGTCACGTGACCTCGCCATTGCATCCGTTTCCGCCTTCACAACGATTTGAACATATCCACATCGATATAGTCGGCCCACTACGACTATCAAACGACTTCAGATACTGCGTGACCATCATCGATCGCTGTACTAAATGGCCTGAAGCCGTCCCTGTACGAGACATAACCGCAGAGATCGTCGCTAAAGCACTATACGACCACTGGATTGTGCGTTTCGGCTGCCCACTACGCATAACTACGGACCAGGGCCGCCAGTTCGAGTCCGCGCTGTTCAACTCGCTCATGAAGAAACTTGGCATAACAAGACTACGCACTACGGCCTACCACCCACAGTCAAATGGCCAAGTTGAACGGTGGCATCGTACTATGAAAGCCGCCCTTATGGCCCGCGGCGCTACTACAAATTGGACAGACGAGCTACCGACTGTGCTTTTGGGCTTACGTACGGCTCTACGGCAAGACAACAACCTGAGCCCGGCCCTCATGACCTACGGAACCACACTTCGTGTACCATCTGACTTCTTCGTTCCTGCCGACTCGAAGATAGAAGACGCCGAGTTAGTACGCCATCTCACTCGCACGATGACGTCACTCTCACCGGCGCCCCAGCGGTCACATACAACAACTCAACCCTTCGTGTACAAGGACTTAGCGACATGCACACACGTTTTCATACGCAATGACGCTGTAAGAGCACCGCTAACACCACCGTATGATGGCCCCTATGAAGTATTGAAGAAATATGAGAAGTACTACAAAGTACAATTACCGCTCCGGACCACAGTCGTATCTCTGGACAGACTCAAACCGGCCTACATCATGCAAGATCAAGATCATACCGAAGTCACAGAACCCGCATCGCCCACCACCACCCTCACAGCGGCACCAGATCATCATACTACAACCACCGCCGCATCTAGTCAAGCCTACAGCTACGTCACGAGAAGCGGACGAGCGGTGAAGAAAAATGTACGCTTCGCTTGAGGGGGAGTGATGTGGGAGTCGCATCACGTCGCATCGTGTCAGCCGCCGTACTGCGAGATAGGCCGCGAAGAGGCCGCTTATCAGTGTTGTTCCTGACAAATTTAGGGTTGCCGTATTCTAATTCTAAAATTGCCGGATTTTTAAGGAAAACTAAGAAAATTGCCGTATTGTATAAAATGTTTATTTGAAAGGTTTAAATTTAAAAAAAATGCAAGTGATGTATTATGTACTATGCGTATACTACTTTTAAACTTACTTATTTTATTCTTCACTTTTTAAGGTTTTGAATAATTTAGTCCAAGAACCTACCCGAATAAAAGTGAAGAATCTACCAAAATGAGGAAATAACGATTTTAGACATTAAAATCTAGGAGATAAGATTGCATTTTGGCGTTTCTTTTCGTGGCGCTTCTACTTCATCTATGGTTTACAAGTTTTTGCGTTCCATTAGACGAAACATTTATTTTCTGTTTAATAAAACTCATGAAAAACTCTACTTTACTCAATTGCCGTATATTTTGATACGGTAATCAAAGTGCTGCCGTATACCGTATTTATGGTGCCTAAGGTGCCTGAATGCCGTATATTACGGCAATTGCCGTATCAAGAACAACACTGCCGCTTATATTTATAACCTCCGGCCGAGAGGTCCGAGAGGCTGTCTCGCTCGCACACCCACCGCGGGAGCTCCGTGGATATAACCTACGCTCGAGAGGACAGATATTGCTGTCCCGCTTCCTCTATGGGAGCGCGCGGGTACGCGCTGAAAGTTTCAAGGTTTTCATGTCGTGTGCGACAGCCAATGTTTCTGTCTCTTTTCTGTGTTACTATAAATATAGCGCATTTTGTAAATAAATCGTCGGCGTCGTCGAACAACGTCGTATGATCGCAACCGTCAAAATCTGTTTTTTTGCATTAAACTACTCTAAAATAGCCCCTTTATAAACTAATTTTTTAATTTTTCAAAGTTCGTAATAATATCGAAGATACAGAATCGAACACCGACGGATGTGATTATTCGAACGCAGTACAGAGACGTGTTTGTGCAAGCGTCATTGTACTTCGGAAGACTGCACATCGTTTGTTGGAATAGCTTATACATTTGTATTCGTATTGATATTGAATGTATCTAGAATGTCGNGCCGACTCGAAGATAGAAGACGCCGAGTTAGTACGCCATCTCACTCGCACGATGACGTCACTCTCACCGGCGCCCCAGCGGTCACATACAACAACTCAACCCTTCGTGTACAAGGACTTAGCGACATGCACACACGTTTTCATACGCAATGATGCTGTAAGAGCACCGCTAATACCACCGTATGATGGCCCCTATGAAGTACTGAAGAAGTATGAGAAGTACTACAAAGTCCAATTACCGCTCCGGACTACAGTCGTATCTTTGGACAGACTGAAACCGGCCTACATCGTGCAAGATCAAGATCATACAGAAGTCACGGAACCCGCATCGCCCACCACCGCCCTCACAGCGGCACCCGATCATCATACTACGACCACCGCCGCATCGAGTCAAGCCTACGTCACGAGAAGCGGACGAGCAGTGAAGAAAAATGTACGCTTCGCTTGAGGGGGAGTGATGTGGGAGTCGCATCGTGTCAGCCGCCGTACTGCGAGATTGGCCGCGAAGAGGCCGCTTATATTTATAACCTCCGGCCGAGAGGTCCGAGAGGCTGTCTCGCTCGCACACCCACCGCGGGAGCTCCGTGGATATAACCTACGCTCGAGAGGACAGATATTGCTGTCCCGCTTCCTCTATGGGAGCGCGCGGGTACGCGCTGAAAGTTTCAAGGTTTTCATGTCGTGTGCGACAGCCAATGTTTCTGTCTCTTTTCTGTGTTACTATAAATATAGCGCATTTTGTAAATAAATGATCACTTCAAATCTGGACTCTGAGTTTCACTCATCTACCTGCACCTACCTTCTCCTCGACACACAGTTAGGCTCCATAAGGTACTTGCCTCTATGACGTCTCTGAGCATGAACCACCGCCGCCTGCACCGGCGCCGCGGCGCGGGCTCCGCGTCCCGCTCGATGCCCTCATCGTCGGTGTCCGCGCGGCCGCCTTCCGACGTCTCAGAGCCCTCCGAGAGCACGCCGCACTCTTCGTCATCATGGCCTCATGATTGACTACAGTAAGGTACTTGCCTCTATGACGTCTCTGAGCATGAACCCCGCGTCGCAGCGCCCGCTCGATGCCCTCATCGTCGGTGTCGGTGCGGCCGCCCTCCGACGTATCGAGTCTACGAGCCCTCCGAGGGCACTCCGCACTCTCCGTCATCGTGACCTTATGATGACTACAGTATAAGGTACTTGCCTCTATGACGTCCCTGAGCATGAACCGCCGCCGCCTGCGCCGTCGCCGCGGTGCGGGCTCCGCGTCCCGCTCGATGCCCTCATCGTCGGTGTCGGCGCGGCCGCCCTCCGTCGTCTCCGAGCCCTCCGAGAGCACTCCGCACTCTTCGTCATCATGCCCTCATGATGACTACAGTATAAGGTACTTGCCTCTATGTCGTCCCTGAGCATGAACCCCGCGCCGCAGCGCCCGCTCGATGCCCTCATCGTCGGTGTCGGCGCGGCCGCCCTCCGACGTCTCCTAGCCCTCCGAGAGCACTCCGCACTCTTCGTCATCGTGACCTGATGATGACTACAGTAAGGTACTTGCCTCTATGACGTCCCTGAGCATGAACCTCCGCCGCCTACGCCGACACCGCGGCGCGGGCTCCGCGTCCCGCTCGATGCCCTCATCGTCGGTGTCGGCGCGGCCGCCCTCCGACGTCTCCGAGCCCTCCGAGAGCAGGCCGCACTCTTCGTCATCATGACCTGGTGATGACTACAGTAAGGTACTTGCCTCTATGACGTCTCTGAGCATGGATCGCCGCCGCCTGCGCCGGCGCCGTCCCGCTCGATGCCCTCATCGTCGGTGTCGGCGCGGCCGCCCTCCGACGTCTCCGAGCCCTCCGAGAGCAGGCCGCACTCTTCGTCATCATGACCTGGTGATGACTACAGTAAGGTACTTGCCTCTATGACGTCTCTGAGCATGGATCGCCGCCGCCTGCGCCGGCGCCGTCCCGCTCGATGCCCTCATCGTCGGTGTCGGCGCGGCCGCCCTCCGACGTATCGAGTCTCCGAGCCCTCCGAGAGCACTCCGCACTCTTCGTCATCATGCCCTCATGATGACTACAGTATAAGGTACTTGCCTCTATGTCGTCCCTGAGCATGAACCCCGCGCCGCAGCGCCCGCTCGATGCCCTCATCGTCGGTGTCGGCGCGGCCGCCCTCCGACGTCTCCTAGCCCTCCGAAAGCACTCCGCACTCTCCGTCATCATGACCTTATCACTACAGTAAGGTACTTGCCTCTATGACGTCTCTGAGCATGAACCGCCGCCGCCTGCGCCGGCGCCGCGGCGCGGGCTCCGCGTCCCGCTCGATGCCCTCATCGTCGGTGTCGGCGCGGCCGCCCTCCGACGTCTCAGAGCCCTCCGAGAGCACTCCGCACTCTTCGTCATCGTCTGAAACAACAAAGAAGATTCTTAATGGCTTAATGACTAATTCATTGACTAATCTTTGGCTTCTGGACCTCAATAACGAAGGGGAGAATGAGATAATACTTTTCTTTGTGCAGTAATGTTTAAAATAAATAGAGCATTAAAAATATTTTTCTTCTATCATTATGGACTGTAGCAACAGTTTTCTTTTAAGTAGTTAAAATCATAGTTTTGCTTTACGACGGGCTAAAGAAGTTTATTAATATTTACAAAGGATTTGGCTGCTGCCAATGGTTTCCCTCGATCAAGGTGAGGTCGTCAAAATGGCTTTATTGTCGTAAAAACAGACAACCACGCTATGGTCAATTTACCTTTACGTGACTCAACGCCTGTTCTATGAAAAACTTTTCAAATCGTTATCCAAATCTTTTTTCGTCAAACCATTTGTAAAAACCCTTTTTTTGATAATTTCAGCAGTAAATGGGTAATTTTAATAATTTTATTATTTGGCTCAAAACCAATTGCCTTAGTCTAACTAATAACGATTAATTATTTTTTTTAACTTTTGCCATTTTAACAAAACAATATAAAGCTGCTCTACATCAAGAGAATCTCAGAGACGATCCATCGTGAGAAACTGAAAAAAAGTTGACCTGATACATGCAACTTTTATCTGTGCTATAACTTCCTAAACATAATAGTGTGCAATATAACACACCTGTAACAGAATCATACGTTTCATAAGTCATACTTATAAGTTGACACGACTCTCTGGTAAATTAATTTGAATTCACTGTTTTTCTCGATTAGGTCGTCATATCACATTATATGTTTAGATCCTATGCTAGAGGTCTCGAAGCATTCGAGTGAAAGTTTTAGAAATGTCAATCTGTTCCTGAATCGCTTTTATGATACTCAGTTTGTGAGTTGTCCTTTGGGTGAAGTTAAAAAAGCTCTTGTGAATGATTCATATAATTTTGCCTCGAGTGTTTACGAGCTAACGTCAAGGCTCAAAGGTAGTTTTGTAGCCGTGAGCATTACTCGGGCCTAATCGCAAATTCCTTCAGTTAAGTCGACTAGATTTTAGGTCAAAGGCACGTCATGTAAAATTCACTCTAAAATGTGATCGCTGAGATTATATGTTATACAAACATAGTAAGTGATCAAACTAGAGCCATGTTAAATGGCTAATACAAAGAAACTACAAAAGTACAAATAGAATACCAATAGAGTAGGTATTCGTAATTGATAGCACTAGTCAATTGACAGTACTTTATGTGAACTGTTAAAACGCGACTCTATCATGGATTTGTATGGCAAAAGTCGTCTATAACGTCAGTAGTTCGCGAAATCAATCATATCACGTAAAACAGTACATATTATTGCTCTTCAAAGTCATAACATTTATTATGAAACAATCTTCACAGCAACAACAAACATTTGACGTTCGCTAACACCTTCGTAATCTTACGAGATCTGTCGCTATCGTAAGATCTATTTGACAACTGCGCTGAGGTTACGAATCGGATCATTGTCTAATCCGCAGCCTTGAGCGGCACGTGTGGTCCGATCGGCGCCCGCGCACCGCGATCACGGCCCGTTATTATTTATGTTGCAGTCACTATGTTATAAACATTCTTGGTTTCGTCTTATATTGTCATTCTTAGTCGAACGTAAAGCCGGTATATTCATCTGAATTTTACTCATCAAAACTAATGGAAATTAATGATTGCTAAAAAGCCTGGTCAGAAACAGAAGTTTAGAAGCATCATAGTATCCGAAAACAGAATCTAAGGATTACGGGAATCTAAAATATAAAAAACTCATAAAACTCATTTTATTTTTGCAAATAGGCTTTTAAAAAGCACTTTTACACGTCCAAGGATTTCAAAACTTAATTCAATTTGAAGTATAAATTGAGGCTTTTGTTGTGGGTGATATGAACAGAATCTATTACTGAAATTGTAAGTATCAAATCTGATTTGTTTTATACCAAATACGGAAATTAAAGTATGATCATTCAAAGTAGGCGATTCAGTCAAACGTTCCTTCCACTGGTTTTCAATTACAACTGCAACATCAGCTGTCGTCGCCGGCGCAGCTTTGGTTGCGCAAACGCATTTCTGCGCGTCTTTGTGCTGAGACTTGAGAACCTCCTGACATTGGCCACGGGCTCGGTCAGCTATCGGATAATTAGCTGCGAGCACGCGCTTTTTAATTAATTTTCTATTGATTGACGTTCAGCTGGTCACTTGTCAAGGGTTTGTACTGTTATAATTTAATACATACAATCCGGGTTCAGGTACTTGCTTTATCAGATAAAGTACTTAAAATATATTATAGAAAATATGCGATGTGATCAAACGCTCATTAGATGAAATGCTTGGATAGAATTTTCGGTTGAAGTTCCAAGTAAAGTAATTTTATTAACTTTGCCATTTGAGTATTTCTCAAAAAAAGTGTACGTAACGAAACGGTAGTAACGAAATAGTAAGGCCATAAGGCTTGTTATACATTGGCGAAATATTGTGAATGCTCTTTATTTATTCAATTCGAAATATTTGTAAGTATGCACCCAAATACGGGGTAATATTAAGGGGTTAGAAATAAAATAAGGGAGTAATCATTCATACTATTTTAACAAAATTATTTTTGTTCCATCATGTTTATCCATTTTGAGTCGTTCTCTGTAAGCTTTTTGCCTTNGGTAGCTACTCTTGTAGGGGGCAATCGTGCGTGTTTTGTTTTCGATGTAAACTCGCGGAGATGAACAGGCCTGGTTATAGCCCTAGTTATTACATAGTTTATTGTAGCGGAGACTTCAAATAATTTATTCAGTACATAGGCCCTTTCCAGGGCACTTAAATACATTATATACCCAATAGTTATGAGCGTAGAGAGTGTAGCACAGTCAGCTGTGGGTGTTCCCACGCTGCGTTTTCCGGTACGCGGAACTCCAGATTCTTGCTGCCCCATCGGCCGTCAGTTCTGCGTACTATGTGCTCTGCCTATTGCCACTTCAGCTTGCTAATCTTCCATTTGCCTATGTTGAATTTGAGGGTCGTGCTCCAGTCCTGCAGACTAAATGACCTGATGACGTACCTTTGAATATATTGAGGAAGTGCTTCGTCTCCTTGCCCTGAGGGATCTTCACGACATCCACATTGCCTTCGATCTCTGCCTCTAGTTCTGATACCAGTTCTTTGGCAGCTGCCTTGTCGTCTGCGCTGGCTTGGGATCCCTGTAAAGTTTGAGGATGCAGGGTAATTTCAATTCTATATTAATACTCGTATGTAGGGCCCTTTTTCATTCAAATTCTAGAAAGGGCCTCAAATTTTAAAATAGTTTGTCGTACCATCACTTCGGGACAACATTGTGGGTTGGTGCTAAGAAGAAGTGTCGGAAGAAACTCAGTCACAAGAGAAGAATATAACAGACATTTTTATTCCTGTAATTTAAGTGTACTTACAATCCACCAGTACAGTACAAAAGCGTCGTCACCGCCCTCATCGGCATACTGGTACTTGAACACGTACGTCTCGGTCTGGTACAGCTTAGACACGCCGGACTGGAACTCCTCCGTCAAGTCTTCCTTCTCACCGTCTACGATTCTAGAGGAAGAATAGTAGAATAGAATAGAATAGAAATTATTTATTTGTCTCAAAACAGGTTAAAAGAAAAAGAGTTTCAAGCCTAAGTTACTCGTAAGAAGCTGTGACTGTGCTACAACGCGACTTCAGCGCGACGTTACGTTTTCAACTAAGTATAGTCAGACTAGACTTCCAACTCAGAAAGCGATCAACATCGTACATCGCCTTTCGCGCGCTGTCAGTCGCGAAGCGAGGCGTTTACGTTACGGTGCGGATAAGCGTGCGTTTCAGTATGGAGTTTCATACATAGAATTTACTGACCGCCTCGAGTTGATACGGTTACGATCCCTTTCCGGGTTGATAAATGTACTACCTCCTTAAGTCAGTGTAATTACGAATGTCCTAAAGCTAGGACAAAAACTCGCGGCTCCGTTTCATTAGGCTCCGGAGGACACCGTTGGGTTTTAGAGTACTTATGCCCAGCTCTTTTGGCGTTTCCTATATTATATTTATCCGTCCCCATGGGTCAAAACATAATTTCTCGACGAAAAATACCTGTATAGGGACGGATTTATTAATTTCCTAGGGGGGCAACTGTCCTTCTCTGCCCCTGCTCGGTACTCCTATTAAAGACATCCCTCAGTACGCGCATCATGATGACTTACCTGGTGACAGTGAAGCTTCCTTCTCCATGGTCAGGCATGTATCCTCGCACGGCAGCGCTCTTGCCAATGCGCTTGGCGGCAGCCGCTGACTCGTCGGCATCCGCTGAGTAGACTGCGAAATCTGGACAGAAGAACATCAGCTAAGAACTATAGAAGAATTTCCGAAAAAACTCTTTTGTACTAGCTCTTCAGATACTGCCGAGAAACTGCTTGGAAGGCAGATTTTTTAGCTCTTAGGAAGCAGATATCCTATGATAATACATATAAGGATAACCTTGGAGGTTTTCTCAGTAGCTTTGTTTATTCCTTATTACAACTATTTAATTTTGTAAGAAGAGCTGACCTTGAAGATTATCTACTCTGTCTTTTCCTTGTTACAGCATCCTTGAGCGAGTGAAAAAGTCAGGACTACTTACTCAGGAAACTCGATAACTAGTGGTAGAAAAAAAGGCGTACATCTTAACGGACGCAAAACAAACATATCGCGATGCAACTCAACACAGTGCCATCTATTGGAAACTCAAGGGACTACTATGTAACTAATGTAATAGTTGACAACAGCGCCATCTATTGGCAGCTTCAAGAACTAATTGCTAATATAACAGTGGAATACTGTGTAATAGTAGGCAACAGTGCCATCTATCGGCAGCTTCAAGAACTAACTGCTAATATAATAGTGGCCATTAAAATTAATTACCAGTTTCCGAGAGCCTGCTGTTAGCACCGTCGCCTACGCTGTCCCAGTTGTGGAAGTATTGCTTGAAATTCGACACCTCCATGCCTTCTGCTACTCTGGTCACGTGTACCTGGCAAATGATATGAATATTGATGCGTGGTCTGTCCAGCCTACATGATATTAAAAAAAAATGGTTAAGTATTAATTTACTTAAAAAATTATTGAAATTCAAGGACAATTCAAGAAGTTGCAAGGTGTCAACTTGCCTATTCGGTGGTGGTGTCAACTAGCCTATTGTTTGGGTGAACTGGCCTATTGTTTGGGTCAACTAGCCTATTGTTTGGGTAAACTAGCCTATTGTTTGGGTCAACTAGCCTATTGTTTGGGGTAAACTAGCCTATTGTTTGGGTCAACTAGCCTATTGTTTGGGTCAACTAGCCTATTGTTTGGGTCAACTAGCCTATTGTTTGGGTCAACTAGCCTGTCTTTTGGGTGAACTAGCCTATTGGTTGAATCAACTTGCCTATTGGCTGCCTATTTCCTGCATACGTACCCAGTCAGGATAGTCCTTCATTCCGAAGTACTTCTGCACGATGTCGTTGTAGTTCTTCTTCGTTTCCGCCTCCACATCGTTGCCGAGCCACACGTACACTCCCGAGCAAGGAGTGTCCAGGATATACACTTCCTGTTAGAATAAAAGAAAAGATCAATACCATAGAGTAATTTTCTTTGGTGCCAATATTTTTTTTATCTAGAATGTAACTACTAATTAATTTAATTAGAAGCGCAGTTGAACTAAGCATTCCATTCCAGAAATTGCTTATGATCCGGCTCGAAGGACCAACATTTTTGTGAGACTAGTTATATACCTTATATCATTCATGTGCATTCAAAGGACTTGGATTGCCAAAATTACATGTGATCCGGCTCGAAGGACCAAAACTTTTGCTAAAGAATTTTTTGCATAATCCACAATGAGGTTTGATTACAGTATTTTTATGCATAACAAGGCAGGTATTTGACCGCAATCGCACCTGATGTTAAGTGAGATGCTGTCGCGGATGGTACTGACATATTATCTGCCCTGAATACGCAATACGCAATAGAATGTGTGTCTATCTAAAGCCTGGTCCGTGAGCACGTAGAATTTTGTCCAATGACCCCAAGCTACTCATCCTTATCGCTCGCGCGTAATTATATTGCTGTCGCGACTGTGTGACGGGCGACCGCAGTGAGTGTGCGAGCGCGACAGCAACATAATTACGCGCGAGCGATAAGGATGGGTAGCTTGGGGTCATTGGACAAAATTCTACGTGCTCACAGACCAGACTATAACTTTACTTTGGTCTTGCAAAGTCTTACGAATGTAATATTTGGTTTGACAGAACTAAAACTTACTGAAGAAGACAGCTGGCTCTGCTGGTAGGGCTTGCTCAACGAGATCAGGTCGAGCTCGTCTCCAAACAGCACTCTGTACAGGAACACTGCCGATATGTCTTCCCTGGTGTAGGTCTGAAAAACACATTCAATATTAATCATACAAGTGACAATAGCCCAAATTGTCGGTGTCGGATTGGCCGAATCGAGATTCGAGAACACGGGTTCGGGTTCGGGACCATCAGTTCTGTGAGCTTTGAGCCACGTCCACAGCTACTTAAGTTCGGCAATTTTGCGGGCTTTTCCCGTGGGAGAGAAATTAAAAAGGATACAAGATCAAATCAGAAATGACGAGATCCGTAAACGAATTATATTCCCTGACATCGCGCGACGGATTAAGCAAGCTGAAGTGGCAATAGGCAGGGCACTACTACCCTGGCAGGGTCGATAGGAGCAAGGTTCTGTAGTGGAGTGTAGTAGGACGATCACCCACAAGGTGGACTGACGACCTCATAAAGGTAGCAGGAAGGGGCCGCTAACAACCGGTTATTATGGAAATCATTGGGGTAGGCCTATGAATGTTCCTATGGCTGAAATGATGATGATGATGATGAAACTTGAAGGACTCACCAGAGAAGTGTCGTCATCAGACATAGAGTCCCTGGAGCCGGATCCGAGGGACTCGAAGAATAGGTCCCAATCCTCATCAGATGAAAACTCGTCTGGAAAAGAAGATAAAATTAGATATTCTGTAAACAATTACTAATTTGAACCTTTGAAATGAAAGAATTATTTTAAGCTTAGGTAGGTAGGCTTACCAATTATTACACCGAAAACGGCTCAGTATGAATAAGTAACAGGCAAGCTAAAGAGGCTTCATTTATGGGAATCTTACTCATGCCTAGAAAGAGAGAGAGGAAAGAAAGAGAGAGAGAGCAGAGGGAGGAGGAGAGAGATGAGAAATAGATAAGAAAAAAAGAACGACAGGAGACATACAGACCTATGATCTCGATAATAGCCTTTATGGTAGGTACTCGTCCCGCAAGTTGTTGGCGAGGGAGAAAGGGAAAACAGAGAGGGAGGAAGATATAGGGGAGACTGCGAGAGAAAGGGGAGAAAGGTGTGAGAGGGGGAGGTAAGAGAGAGATGTATTTCGCCCCTAAGTGGCCACATGCTCACTATTATTGGGTTTTTTTTGGGCCTTCATATGCGCCAGCTCGACCAGGTTTGATCTATTGTGGCAGCCCTTGTGTTTGGAGTTAAGAGAAAGGAGAAGAGGGAGAGAGAGGTAAAAAAGAGTAACTGACCTATGATTTCAATAGTAGCCCGTCCATTATGGTACTCGTCCCTCAAGTTGTTGGCGACGCTGATGATCTTTCGTCTCTGAGTGGCCTTCGCTCCTTCAGGCATCAGCACGAAGATGTCGTGCTCGTTCTCTAAGATGAAGCAGTGGTTCTTGGTCAACGAGGTGTCTTCCGCTGGGACCTGGAGGATAAAAACATTTTCGTTGATTTGTTTCCATTGCAGAAGCACGACCCTAGAGGATATTTGGCATTATAGTCTGGTCTGTGAGCACGTAGAATTTTGTCCAATGACCCCAAGCTACCCATCCTTATCGCTCGCGCGTAATTATGTTGCTATCGCGCTCGCACACTCACTGTGGGTGCCAGTCGTACAGTCGCGACAGCAATATAATTACGCGCGAGCGATAAGGATGGGTAGCTAGGGGTCATTGGACAAAATCCTACGTGCTCACGGACCGGGCTTTAGAAGTACTTATGTCAACAAATCGGTCGAGTTAACTGCGCACCTGGCAGACGTGACGTCACATCGACGCTTTGGTACGGACAGGGCGAACGTGGGGTGTTCGGGTAAGTGGGAGGAAGAGTCACATTCCAGCGAGGTTAGCACAGTTAGCTCAATCGGTTTGTGTTTACGGTCTTTTGTATTTTTTGAGGCAAATAAAGTTTTCCTATTCTATCCTATTATTCTGGAGTGGAGGCCTCATACTGGAAAGCGTAGCGTAAGATGTCTACTCACAAGATGGACCGACGACCTCATAAAGGTAGCGGCAGGCAGGAAGGCGCTGGATGCAGGTCGCTACCAACCGGGCGATGTGGAAATCATTGGGGGAGACCTATGTCCAGCAAACTAAAATAAAGACACGGGTCTTTTAACGCGACATTTATGTATGAGTTACATTATGTACTTACTCACGGCTTGACGTTTCGGCTGCTATGCTGCAGCAGAAACTTCAAGAAACGTTAAGACCCGTGTCTTTCTATGTCCAGCAGTCCTGTGGCTGAAATGACGATGATAATGATGATGATTCTAGTTAATTCTTACCTCCTCAATCCTCATGTTCTCACAGCCAGACAGCTTGAGGAGCCGCTTCTCAGCTCCCGCGTTGATCTCCACCTGGTTGAAGCCTGACTCGCTGCCGCCCTCCAGGTATCTGATGGCTGACAAAGGTGTAAGGAAATTGAGATAGTAATTCTAGTTCTCTTTAGTTACTTTTATCAATTCCTAGTTTCCTCCAGGACTTTTAGTCTTTGGTCTAACCCCCCAGTTTTCAATACGTTAAGTTACTTTAATTAGGCCTTAAATACACTCCTTCCTTGCTGCTTAAATACGCTCTGCAGAAGAATTCCTTTATTCTTTCTTCCGGTGAAGGTGTCATGATTTGGTGAGACTGGACTGGTTTTTATGAGCGGACTAACATCTTCTATTTAGACTGTAAAATCTAGGGTTTAAGGTTTAAACTGAAGGGTTAACTGGCTGGAAGTATCTGAAGAGTTGTATCTAGAATGCTATTGAAGTTTCAATGAATCTTGCACCACCTTTTCGCTGAAAAATCCAGTTATCTGGTGTACCTATATGGTTTAAATTCTACTGATACCTGACTGGAAGTAGCCGAAAAATATAGCTCCGTCTTTTCACAGTAAAAGCTGCGGTTGTGCTATAGTTATAAAGTCCAAATTACCTGGCTGGAAGTACCCCAGGAACTGGCTAGACTCGTGACCCTGGATCTCCCTGTGGTGGACCGCTCTTCCACTCAGCATGTCATCAAGAGTGACTGTGAGGATAGCAGCAGCCCCCTTCTTGTCTTGAGTCGTCTTACTGCCCAGCCAGAAGTGAGCGTCGTAGGTTAAAGTGGAGTTTCCCGTGCCTGTGGTCTGGAGGAGGTTAAATTCTTTATTTAGTGCTATGAAGTCTATGAAGAGAGGCGTGTGAGGCGGGTCGTTACATTCCCTATAATATGGTCTAGTGAAGCGATGGCTGGTTCACACGTCATGTCTGTGAACAGGCGCTGCCTTCGGGGACTGGTCAAGGAAAGATATACCTGACATAAAATATATATGTATCAAAACGCAACAATTAACCTAGAAATTAGCACGGCACTAAAGAAATATAATCAAAACTGCCACGCGGTCTCGTGCTAGATGGGCGTCTTAAAGGCCTTCCTTCCTTCCTTCTATCAACGGGGGCGGGTGGTAAGTAAGTTGCTTCTGAATGTATTGTAACTTCCTACTTTTTTATATTTTTAAACCGGCAGATAGTGGTGACTGAGTTTGTTGCGGCGCTTCTTCTCAGCATTTGCCAAATGTTTGTCTCGAAGCGCTGGTAGCGCAAGTACTAATTTAATTAGTCTAGAAACAAATAAAGAAAATTTTGATTTTGAAGCAACTGCACGCAAAAAGATTTAATGAAGGCTCTGACTCAAATAGTCGTTTTTCGGCGTAAAAAGCAATCGATTTAGTACTACCTGAAGAAAATCGATATTGATTCAAGGTTGTGGCTGAAAATAGGATGCTATTAAGCAGCGGTACCTAAAGTGGGCTAAATTGACCTACAGGTATCGATCGAAACGAAAGAAGTCGATGAAGCAACTGCACGCAGGAAGATTTTTATGAAGGCTACTGACAATGCCACTCTTGTAGCGGAGTTTTGGGCTGACATTGTGTAGGTTTGTTGCCGACACGACAAGAAGAAGTGCTCTGAAGGGAAATAGGCACTTGCCCTAACTAGCGTGGCTCTGACTATAGTTCTAGAAAACTCAGTCAGTGCTTAAGTAAGGGGTGATTTGACATATTATTATCGCGTCATGACGGAGCATATAGTTCCAAAATACTGTGGGTCTAGACAAAGTGCAAATTATAATCGCAAACCAGTCGAAAAGTGGTCGAAAAGCCCCTTTTTTGTATGGAGTTTTGACGGATTCGATTTTCGATTCGATCAAAAAGTGCGTTTTGTCTAGGGGGGCAGAACTGTCCTATGCATGACATTGACAGTGGGGCGCCACCGTCAATACCGGATCGCTGGTTCCGATTTTTGCCATGTTGGAAATCATATAGTTGAACGATGGTAGCGCCCCCCTGTCATTGAGTTTGGTGGGACAGTTCAGCGTGGGTCATCTATACAAATCTGAAGCATATAGATGACCCACGCTNTTATGTATATGAGGAATAGTATACATCCAATTACACTTCCCTGCGGGATTGAGCAGTTAACTGTTTGTGGTTTTGACTTGTAGTGTTTTAATTCATTTGTTTTTGAATCTAGATGGTCTATTTGCACATACTGTATCCTATTTTTTAAATAAGATTTTAGCCACTCGTAAGCCATACCTCTTATTCCACAACAATATAAAGCAGATAGTAGAGTTTTATGGTCGACTCTATCATACGCTTTCGACATATCGAGCAAAACACCTACTGCGTATTTACCTTCGTTAAAATACCCTAATATCTGCTGGATGTATTGGTAAACAGCCAGTGTAGTAGACCGACTTTTCCTAAAGCCATACTGGTGGTTGTCAAGAATCTTATATTTCTCTAAAAACCAAAATATTATATTACTCTAATAATATTTCTCTAATAATCAAAATGTTCGATTTCTACATATTGTTGGCGATTCGTTAAATATGAGTTGAACCATTTAAGAGTTAACCCTCTCACACCGATACCGTACAACTTTTTCAAAAGAATCTCGTAAAGGACTTTATCGTACGCTTTTGTCATATCAAGAAGAATGCCGATTGCGTACTTTTTTGTATTTAATGTATTAAGTATTTCTTGTATGTAGGTATAAGCAGCCAAGGTCGTGGAGTGATTTTTCCTAAAGCCATTTTGGCTTTCGTCAAAGATTTTAAATTTTTCACACAGTCGCTGGCACATGACTTTTTCAAATATTTTTGAAGAGGTTGGTAACAATGATATCGGCCTATAGTTATTTGGGTCTGACTTTTCGCCTTTTTTATAAATTGGCTTAATAAGTGATGTCTTTAAGAGATTCGGAAATTCGCCTTCCAAAAAAGATTGATTAATTAGCATGAAAAACGGAAGTGAGAACTCTTCGGCACAGTGTTTTATAAGTGTCGGTGGTAGTTCGTCGATCCCAAAGCTATGTTTGTTCTTTAAAGTTTTTATTGTAATATAGATCTCACGTAAAGTCTCCGGCCATAAGAATAGCGAGGCGTCGGTAGGGTTAAGTACGGGCCGGCCGCTAGGTATCGGGCTTGTGCACGCATCGTGTGCCTGCGCACTCCCTCCCACCGATGCAAAAAATTGGTTGAATTCGTTTGCAACTAGTTTCGGTTCGGATGTACGAATACCGTGGATAAGTAATGTTGTGTTTGTTTTTGGTTTCTTAATTAACTTGTTCGTGCGTTCCTTTATAATTTTCCACATTGATTTAGTAATGTTTTTTGATTGTTTTATTTCTTTGATGTAGTGAAGCTTTTTTGATGCAATTACTGTCTTTTTTAGAACCTTTTGATACTTGTTATAATAATTAATAATGATTTGATTTTTTGTTTGTGTTTTTAAAATTCTTAATAGTCTCTTATTATTACATGATATTTTTATACCTTTTGTTAACCATCCTTTTTTTTATTAGTTTTTAGGGTCACTTGTTTTTTGGGAATACATTTATCAAGAAGTTTTTGTAATACACTATTAAATGATTCATAATTTTCATCGATGTTCTTCTGAGGGTTTATTATTTCATTCCAATCTATATTTTGAAGTTCATTTTTAAAATTGTCCATGTTTCTAATATTAAAAAATCTTTTTTCCATTTTCCAATTTATTCCTTGTTTTTTTATTAATTCACTAAGCTTTATTATGGTTCCCTTATGGTCGGAAAAACCTAAATCATTTACATAAGAATCTCTATAGTCACTAAAATTCGTAAAAATTAAATCTAAACATGTCGAAGAAGAGTGTGTTACCCGTGTCGGTTCATTTATTTGTTGTCTAAAATTATATAGTAAAAATAAATCGATTAATGTCCTAGATTGTCTATTGTCTATCAAAGTATTAACGTTAAAGTCCCCTCCTAAGATAATTTTACGTTTGTTGTATTTATTGTTAAGTAATTCTAAGATTAATTTCATTTGCGTATAGAAAACTTCGGTCTCCCTATTATTCCAATACACGACTTAAAAAAAAAATAAAAATTAAAAANGGGTCATCTATACAAATCTGAAGCATATAGATGACCCACGCTGAACTGTCCCACCAAACTCAATGACAGGGGAGCGCTACCATCGTTCAACTATATAGTTTCCAATATAGATTCCAACATGGCAAAAATCTGAACCAGCGATCCGGTATTGACGGTGGCGCCCCACTGTCAATGTCATGCGTGGGACAGTTCAGTATTTTGGAACTATCCTCAGACACTGGCTGGGTTATGCGCTGGACCTTTTCAAGTAATTTGGTTTCGTGACAATGAGGGTTTTTTCGCGAATGAAAGATCCGCTAGATGTCAATGTCATGACAAAAATAACCAATCATGCAGCATTTGGAACTCGCGGCTACGTATTGCCATCTGGCGGATTATTCATTCGCGAAAACCCTCATTGGCATTTTTTGATAAACGGTATTATTTATTTTATGGCCATGACATAGCAATAAATAAAGCAATAAAATTGCAGTTCTCAATGAAATCTTATCAAAATAATTTAGCATGATTTCCAATTGTATTGTTATCATTTGATTATGAATAATTTTGATAGGAAAAAAGTCCTCGGAATTATAAAAATAATCTTAAATGGCATCTTTGTTTCTCCGGGTTTATAGCAAAAAAGCGATAGGTAGACAGACAACCCAGAAATAAAAGGAAAATGGTATTACATTTGTAAGTTGTAGAGTTTGTTTCGATTTGAAAAAATATTTTTGTGTTGGATAGCCCATTTATCGAGGTAGGCTACAGCCAATAGGGGCGGAGCAGTAAAGAAAAATGTTGCAAAAACGGGAAATATTATTCAAACTACTATTTCACGCGTCGCGGGCTTAGCAAGTCCTATACCAAGTTTATTACTAAAACCCGCGGTTTTTCCTTCACTTATTTACCTTTAAGATGATGTATGAGTCTCCATTAAAGAATTTTCCGTACATTTTGGTATCCACAGCGACGGGCTCGAACGCCTGAAATAAAGAAATATTTAAAAAAATCCGGTCAAGTGTGAGTTTGACCTAGATTTATACCATATTCTATACTAATATTATAAATACGAAAGTAACTCTATCTGTCTGTCTCGCTTTCACGCCTAAACCACCTATTTTGAGTCCCAAGAAAGGACATAGGATAGTTTTTATCCCGGTTTTTGACACAGGGACGCGCGCGATAAAGTTTTTCTGTGACAGACAAAATTCCACGCGGGCGAAGCCGCGGGCGGAAAGCTAGTCCTACTATAAGATAGAGTCGACTATTATCCTATTTCTTAAATACTCGTTAAAATAAACAAAAAGCCTTAAAACATTGTTCCTTCCTACATGATTGATTTACTTAGTTAAATTGTTATTTTTTGTTAAATAGTAAAGTTAAAGACATTAATTGAACATTTTAGAAGCGTAAAACTTATGCCATTATCAAAATGTTATCCCAGGACTCGAACCGGTGTGATTAATTCGCTACGTTATTTTTTTATCGTCATTGGGTAGGTACTTACTTCGCTACAGGAAGAATCAAAATCAAAAATATTTATTCAATTTAGATCACAAATGGCACTTAATTATGAACGTCAAAATATAGTAAATAATAAAAAAAAAGGTAGCCCTTATGGGGCACTTTACATGACGTCTCCTTATCTTTTGGGCCCTACCAGCGCTCTCTTAGGAACTCTCTGTACTATTACTAAGTCCTAGGTAGGTACTTATGTGTACAAAATAACGTTAAAACTCGATTCAATTCTCACTCAGTCATAGATTTTGTCCTATGATTGGTCTAATAAATATTGAAATTCAATTCAACCATTTAAATGCCTAAACTTATGTATTTAAAGTTATACAAAGTCATAAAAGTAACGAACATTATTTTCTGTTTACGTACTATGCTTTCATAATACATAGAGCTTTTTCAAGTCCACTACGAAGGCATAGAATGCCTCGAGTTTTGTTTCAGCTTCGTTCTGTAATAAAAACTATAAGATCAGTACCTATACTAAATGAGTACTTAAGTACTTAAACTTATCTCTATTAGTCCTCTACTCTACAAAAAAAACTAAAATCACTAACCTCTATTCCCCATATTTCTATACCGGGACTCGCACCGGCGTCCGCAAATGCAGGGTGCTCCATTTTCCAAAAACACTGCTACCCACTCTAACACCACGAGTAAAATGATAAAAACAATATTTTAATCTACCATGACACATTAAGTAAAAGGAGGTTAAACAGAAAAGTCAGCGGCAGGAAAAGGAACTAATTCGTTTTCCAAAGAAAACTCAGCGACTTTAGCGACATGGGTTGACTTTCCAAAATGGCCGGTTTATACTGATGTTTTCCCTGATAAGGATACAAATTAACTAACTTTTCCTCGTGACGTCATTTGTTAGATATGTAATCTTTACCTTTTTAATGGGCTATGAGGATAGGTACTTTTGATCTGACAACTTAAGAAAAGTACATTTTCTTTGTCGAAATAGTTTCAGAACTCTACTCAAAACCTATTCAGAGTTCAGAGACTGACAAAAATGACTTGAGTTCTGAAATGGTGGTAGGGCAAGCTTGGGACGTGTATAAGTGCCCTGGAAAGGGTCTAGGTACTGAATAAAAAAAAATTGACTTTGAAGTATAGACTTCAACAAACATACAAAAACGTTACCTATCTTTAGTGTAATTTAGTATGATGATGATAAGCAATGAATCATTTTGATAGCATGTCATATCAGATTGTACTGTCCAGTATCAAATAATCGTTTTTCGGCGTAAAAGGTAATCGATTTGGCATCTACCTGAAGAAAATCGATATTGATTCAAGGTTGTGGCTGAAAATAGAATGCTATAAAGCAGCGGCACCTAAAGTGGTATAATTTGACACCCAGGTATTGATCGTAGTGTCCAAGGGGTGTAGAGAAGGTGGATTATGAATCTATACTGATTAAAAAAGCTGGAAAGTTTGTTTGAATGCGCTAATTTCTGGAACTCAGCCCATTTATCAAGGAAGGCTTTAGGCTATCTACAAGAACATCACTCTATGGCTGTATGGGCGGAGCAGTAAAGAAAAATGTTGCAAAAAATACGGGAAATATTAATAAATAAGTATTTTCACGCGTACGAAGTCGCGGGCACAGCTAGTGGGCTAATAATATGTCATTATAGTGATTTGGGTTTTTGCTTTCCACCAAAGAAAGCTGTCCAAACTTAGAGGTAGTATGTCCAGTTTTTAATGTTCGTTCGTTTCAGCCAAATGACGTCGACTGCTGGACAAAGGTCTCCCCCAAGGATTTAAACAACGACCGGTCCTGCACTGCCCGCATCCAGGTGTTTTCCGTGACCTTTACTAAACCGTCAGTCCACCGAGTGGGAGACCTGTCAACACTATAGTAGTAGGTAGGTATTTAGAAGTCAATTATTGATCGGTCTAAGACTCTACCGTATTGACAAACGATGCTTGCTTAAGTGACGCAGCAAATCGAACGCACAGCGTTGAAAACAGCTCTGTGATTGGTTCGTGTGTCACCCTGTGCGTCCACGCGCACTGTGAGACTTCATTGTAATGTTTGTGAATACGGGCGTAAATAAAAGAAAATAATCTAATAATTTCAAAATTTATTCAATAACACAACGATTTTGAAACAATAATCAATTAAGACATAATAATAAGAGAAGCAAGTACACATAACATTAAATTAAAGATATTTAACTAATTCATCATTGCAGTTAATACTGAAATTAAACAAAATACAAAATGGCCGCTGCTCTCACTCGCTGAGTTCGGTCCTACGGTCTGTAACAAAGGCAATTAAATTAAATTCATCATCATCATTTCAGCCACAGGACGTTCACTGCTGAACATAGGCCTCCCCCAATGATTTCCTTATCGCCCGGTTGGTAGCGGCCTGCATCCAGCGCCTTCCTGCTACCTTTATGAGGTCGACGGTCCACCTTATGGGTGGACGTCCCATGTTGTATTTTCCGGTACGTGGCCTCCACTCCAGAACCTTGCTGCCCCATTGGCCGTCAGTTCTGCGTGCTATGTGCCCTGCCCATTACCACTTTAGCTAGCCAATCCTTCGTATATTAGTTACTGTAGTTCGGTTACATATTTTCTCATTTCTGATACGATCTCGTAAATTCGAACATAGCCCTCTCCATAGCGTTCCATAACGTGTTTAACACGTTTATTATGAAGAGCTTGTCGCCAGCCAGTAGCCATCTGTGGCTGTGGCCCATTAGCGCGGAGTAGATCATCATTTCAGATTAGATCATATGCCAATGACAGGTCGCGCGTGTCCTGTCGTTGGCCTATGAACGCGTTTGTTGAAGCTTTATTTTTTCTTCTTTCTGAAATAGTAGGTAAAGCCCGGTCTATGAGCACGTAGAATTTTGTCCAATGACCCCAAGCTACCCATCCATATCGCTCGCTCGTAATTAGGTATATTGCTGTCGCGACTGTGCGACGGGCGCCCGCAGTGAGTGTGCGAGCGCTACACCAACATAATTACGTGCGAGCGATAAGGATGGGTAGCTTGGGGTCATTGGACAAAATTCTACGTGCTCGCAGACCAGACTATAGAGCCTTTCGTATGATCTTAAAGAAGAATGTGATAATACCGTAGCGCTCAGTTTGGTCCTCTTGTCGCAGCTGATCTCGTCTATCGAGGTCCTAAACTTCTCTATCTCTTTGTTGTTGCTCATATCAGGCTGGAACTTGAAGCTGGAAGCATCAACAATCTAAATTTACTGACTGACTGACTAACATAGTGATCTATCAACGCACAGCCCAAACCACTGGACGGATCGGGCTGAAAGTCATGCAGGTAGATGTTATGACTTAGGCATCCGCTAAGAAAGGATTTTACGAAACTCCACCCCTAAGGGGGTAAAACGGGATCCACGCGCACGAAGTCGCGGGCGGCCGCTAGTTCAGTTATAAAGAAAGAGAGAACCAGTTTTTCTAGAAACTAACGCACCACATAGATCCTGTTTTTACTGGTCCAGTTTAGTGACAAAACCTATTCAGTTTTTCGCAAATTCGAACGGATTAGTTTTGTGATGATTTCAGAAAAAACTTACTTGACTTTCGATCGTGCTACGGGCTTAGCATCTTCTTCAAGTAGATTTTGATTCTTTATGGTGGTCGCATCTTTAACCACCTCAGAGCTGTCAGATTTATAATCTGAAATGTGAGAAAAGGATAGAAGTATCGTTATTTGGAAAGCGCAGCAGCAAACTTGACCTTCACTTCGGTTATTGGCGGTCAAGCTGTAGATCCTGGCTACACAGCAGGTGCAGCGGTGGGATTGAGAGGTGGGATAGTCTCATAAGGGCAGTATCTATCCGCCAGGAGTTCAGATGAAGGAGTGCAGGAGCAGGAAGGCTTTGGCCATTGTCAACCAGTCAATGTGAAAATGGAAATCATTGGAGGAAGCCTATCTTTAGCTGTGGACGCCCTGTGGCTGAAAGGATGATGATAATCTACATCTTTCATTTGCCTCTTATAAAGAGTATACCTAGATCGTTTCATCCACGAAGACGCGCCCCACTAATTTTTGTGTGAAAAAACAACCAGCAGTTTGATCTGAGCAATCCGAGCGGCATTATTGTAGTGTGTGTGTGGATCATATGGGGCACACTGAAAACCAGCGTCGTGGCTTCCCTCACCGGGGGCCACGGCATATGCTGAGTGGGGTCCCATTGCGATGGGCATCGCTGTGCGACAGGGTGGCACTGCTTAGTTTACTTGCTCATTCATTGTATGTTTTATGTCACCTCTGTCTATTTGCTTTTTTTTTTATTTCACCTCTTTTGTCTTTATTATAAATGTTTCTTTCTTTCTTTCATTTAGCGTGTACCGATAGCACTCAAACATTAGCGGAAGAATGGTGGATCGCGTCTTCGTGCATGAAACGATCTATAGTCATCATCCTGCAGTAGAGAATAAATGATCTGATGATGATGAAGAATGTGATACCTAAGTTGTCCTTGTATATCTCGGCGAGCTCCTTCTCGATTCTGGCCTCTTCATCATCAGGTTTCGTGGTTTTGTCCTGGACACCTTTCCTACGAGTGTCCACGGTTGTCTGAAAAATAATTTTAAATTAATTTATTTTGCAAGTAGGCTTATAAAAAGCTCTTTCACTTTTACTTAGAACTCTTCTGTGGTTTCCTAAGTTATAAATTGCGTCTCTTTTCGATAAGTTCATGGGTTCGTTTCCTTTGTGAAACATTCTTTTCGATGTTGGTTTGAAAAGTTATGTTGATAACGGAATGAGATTGGTTAGGACTTAGGGTTTATCGTTCGTTCGTTTCAGCCGAAAGACGTCCACTGCTGGACAAAGGCCTCCCCCAAGGATTTCCACAAAGACCGGTCTTGCGCCGCTCGAATCGGGTTTATATTGACTTCAAAACAATAAGGAGACTATGTTTGACTATTTAGATTATTTTATTGTAAAATTCTGTTTATTTTTGTCCAAACAACTAACAATAAATGCCCCAAATGAATGTAATCAACAGTGCGGTGGATTCTAAAGTTGGGAAACCACCTTTTCTTAGTTCTCCGATTATCAACGTAAAAAAATAAGTAACAATGGTTTACCACAGTGGTCTTCTTAATGTCTTTCTTGGTGGCAGCCGGCTGGACAGTAGCTGTGGACTTGTAGTCCTCATCATTCTCCGCAGACGGTTCCTCTTCCAGATCTTGAGGGAGATCTGAATTGATGAACAGGAACGAAGGTAAAAAACGGGACTATACAACCAAGGACCAAGGATTTCCATAACTACCGGTCCAGAAGATACGAGACAAATTTTATTCCCACCTCTCGTTCCCACCGCTGCAATTCCTGTGTAGCCAGGATCTAAACCCAACTGATAAAAACCCAACCAGTGAAGGTCAAGTTAGTCCCGGGGAAAGTTAAACTTGCATTGGACCCGCAACAAAATTAAGCAGAAGAACATAAGAGGAGTTCGAAGTTAAAGAGAGAGAAAGGGAGTTAAATGAATAAAGACTGTTCTGTGTCAACCATTGCTGGATAAAGGCCTCCCCCAAGAATTTCCACAATGACCAATTCTGCGCTCCAGGTGCTTCCCGCAACCTTCACCAGATCGTCGGTCTACCAAGTGGGAGGCCTGCCTGCCAACACTACTCGTGCGTGTTCCAGTCAATGATTTTTGCAATTTTACTCTTTGGATTTGTCTTATATTTGGGGCATGGTGTCATGAGTAAAGTCCCAAGGTAGAGTTTTGTTTAAAAAGGATGCCAAGAATTTAAACAGCCTTTAGAAGCCGAAGTTGTAGATGGTGACAGCTAGCTAACATAGCAAATCCATAATAATATTATACTCGTAAATGCGAAAGAAACTCTATCTGTCTTGCTTTCACGCCTAAACCACTGAACTGATTTTGATGAAATTTGGCATAGAGATATTTTGAGTCCTGGGAAAGGACATAGGATAGATTTTATCCCGGTTTTTGAAACGGGGACGCGCGTGATGAAGTTTTTCTGTGACAAACAAAAGGCGAAGCCGCGGGCGGAAAGCGAGTATTATGATGAATTACCTTTAATAGGTGCTCCTATTTCTATAACCTCTTGTCCCAAAGACTCCGTGAGAGATTTCACGTTGTTTTTTGATAAAGCACAGTGGAGTATTGCAAAAAGAATCAGTGTTGTTAACGCTCTCATTTTTCTTGGGTAATTTTGTCGTTTAAAACAAAATACTGGGACCAACTAGATTGACTTGGGAATTTGTGATCTAGATGGTTGTTTTGGGGTTCTGTAGCTTTTAAAATGGAACCTTTAGTTGTCTTTCTAATAAAGTATAGCTGGGTTCAGCAAAAGGGGGTTTTTTATATACAAGGGTGTGTAATGCCACCTGAAGGGGAAGTACTCTTAATACTGTAGATGGAAAAGTTTACTCAAAGAAAATATTCCTTTATTTTTGAAAAGAAGAACTGCATTCAAAGATTTCAGAAAATTCGCTGGCTACACCCGGGAATTGAACTGACTCCCGGGTGAAATCTAACTGACTCCCGGGCGAAATCTTACTGACTCCCGGGTGAAATCTAACTGACTCCCGGGGACCCGGGTTAAATCTGTTAAAAATTTATTAATGTAAGTTCTAAAAATTACCCCTGATTTTATAGAGATTTCAGTAGGGATTTTTAAATAAAATAACAATTGACAGTTTGGGTTCTTTATTTAACGAAACAAATGAGTACAATGTAGAAAAACACAGGCATACAATACAACAATAATGGGCTTAATTGATGGAAAATACAACCAATTGAAAGTTATTCACAACTAAAAATGTAATTTCTGAGAATTTCAGACCTTAGTGTCTAAAAATCAGTTTCAGTAGGTATGCTTAAAAGTCGCTTGATTTTGGTAAAATTCAGTGAGAATCGTTAAAATCGACGACTGTGTAGGTACACAATAACTTCGTCAGGAATCCAAGTATTTTTTCAGACCATTTTTTGGCATTTTTCAGAACCAAAAAAAGAGATATTATTTTAAAAATGTTTGATGCTCTAAAACAATTTTAGCTCGTCAAGAAAACAGTGACTGTTTAATCGACTTCAGACGAAGATCTTAGTGGTTTTAAGCAAGTATTTTTTTAAACATGAATGTTTATTATGATGAAACGAAACTTGGTGTTGTGGGTTGTGGGGTGCTCAGAGTATGGCCAGTCCACATGGAGTCACCGAACGGCATTTCTGTAAAAAAACAAATAGATTTTATTAATGACACTTATCAGTTTAATAAAATTAAATGTTTTTATTTTGAAGAGGGAATTGAACCACTGTTCTGATCAATGAGCCACCTAATCCAGTCGAAATTCAGCTGACCATTGAGCTACCGTGACGTTTGGTAAATCCGTCGACAAGTGTAGGTATCATGCTGTAGCCAGCCTTGTTTCATTAATCATCATCATCATCATCATCACCATCTCAGCCATAGGACGTCCACTGCTGAAACATAGGCCTCCCCCAATGCTTTCCATGTTGCCTGGTTGTTAGCGGCCTGCGTCCAGCGCCTTCCTGCTACCTTTATGATGTTCACATTGTTTTACAAACCTCTCTATAATCAGCCTCGGCGATGACGGGTGTGCGCATCTCTACTCGCTTCGGCGGCTCCTGCTCCATATTGTGGATGAGCTTGTACACGTCAGAGTGTTGAAGGTGGTCGAGGGACACGGGAGGCTTTTCGTATTTCATGAAGTTGATCCTAGAAACATAATCATGTGAGAAAACTGGACATGTTTAAAAAAATAGCACGTTTTGGTTAATTTGTAAATGTGTGAGACATGTAACGATGTTTGCTGAATTTATTTAAAGCAAAGTGTCCATAAGATAGTTTGGTTGGGCTGTTAGTCATTCACAAAAACGCGCCCCACCATTCTTCCGCTAATGTTTGGGTGTTATCGGTACACGCTAAATTATCCATGAGTGCACACGCACTCTACAATAATGACACTGATATCAAATTCCCTGCACCCCGCGCTTCCATCGATCAAAAATTGGTGGGGCGCATCTTCGTGGATGAAACGATCTATAACAGCTGACATGTATGGAAGTGCGCATATTACACCGATTTGGTATCGATCAATTCCTCATACAAATTGGGAGCCGACAAAAAGTAGGTATTCAGTCTGGGGTGTCTAAGGCTGAGTTAAATACCGATTGAGGTTTTTGGATGTGAAACTCGATTCAGTTTTCATGGGGTTTCTTTACTCTGGTGAATATGCAATAAACCTTTTATCTGATGTGCTATCGTCAGCTGTTAAACATAGATCGTACCATCTACATACGAAAACGCGCCCCACCAAATTTTTGGTCGAGGTAAGCGCGGGGTGCAGGGAGTTTGATCCGAGCAATCCGAGCGTCATTATTGTAGTGTGCGTGTGCACTCATGGATGATTTAGCGTGTACCGATAACACTCAAACATTAGCGGAAGAATAGTGGGGCGCGTCTTCGTGGATGGATTTCGCTTTATAATTTTGAAAGGAAATCAAAATAATTTTACAAGTGCAGTGATGTCGCATTTGGCAATACAGAATCGTTTGGATAAATAATGATAAAACTTGAGATTAATTAGAAATGAACTTTTGGTGCCAAGATTTCACAATTATAAATGATGTTCATTATTTACCTCTGAATTTATGGGATTTGGATGGAAAGTCGAACGTCTCAACATGTAAAGTTCAACATTTTCAAGTGATATAATTACTTCTAATTACATATGTATGCTGCAAGTATAAGACGTAGTTGTTGCAATTCACGAAAGCGAGTGAGCTTTACATGTGTGGTGGCTTACTACTGTTCATTTTTCAAAAGTTTTGATAGACATTACACTATCGTTATGTGCATGTACACGTACACACACAAGCAAAGCTCACTCGCCTTCGTGAGTTGCAAGAACTATAATAATGTGTAAATTATGTACATGAAATGCATATGGTTCCGAGTGATGTGATAAAAAACTTAACACCTTCATGCTTTTAAACTCACTTCAATTATCTTATCGTAATTAACAACATACATCTCTCGAAGATAATGAAAATCCACCAGGTGGCAGTTAGACTCTCTGGAAAAGTATTTTTTAGTTCTTTTTTTGCCGTAAAAATGTCTTAGATAAGGGCTTGGCAATATAGGTCGTGCATCACAATGGTTAAAGATTCTATAACCTAAGAAATGGATATTGTTGCATTTGAGATTCTATCACAAATTAGATATTTTTAATCTTGAAAAAAATCAATTACAGCTGGGAATATATCGACGAACTTTCGCTTCGCGTCGTGTAACCAAACTGACCGCTGAGCTACCATCCCAATGTCTCCGTAGCTTAGTGGTCAGCAAGCTAAAGGTTGTAGTTTCATCCCCATACGAAGCAGTATTTTTTACGAGAAAACGACTTTTCACGTGACTGTACTGACACCTGAGCTACCACAGACCACTCCGTAGCTCAGTGGTCAGCAAGCTTAGTCAGCTAGCTAAAGGACGTGGTTTTCATTCCTGCCTGAAGCAGGAGGTAACTAAAAATCTAATAAAGCGCTTGCCTTTGATCTTAAATCATGGTCAGAAGTAGGATCTTTTAATAGAAGTTAAGAAAAAAGATAAAAAAAATTGAGACAAATTAATTTTAAGTCGCTGACTTTCAAAAAACGCTAGTGTTGGGACTTTTAGATTGGTACCTACCTAATCGAAAAATACAAAAATTGTAAAGTAACTTTATAAGCTACTAGGTGGTTCGCGTACCGTAATTTTTTTAAATAATATTAGTAATCATGTTAATTAACCTCTCGTGTTAAGCTAAAATGCTTGTGTTACGAGTGGGTTCACCCACAATATTCGCGGCGGGGATCGAACCCGCGTTCCTCGGATCACGAAAGTCATTCCGAGACCTTCACCGTAATTTCGGCTACCGTAGCTTAAAATAGGCGTTTGCGGGTTTGATTCCTAGCGGGGACAAAAAAAAATGATTTTTTTGACAAATTGTTAAATAATATAAGACAAAGTACATACCTATACTGCCTATTATAAGATTTCGGGTTCCCCCAAGGCCAGATGTCGTTCCAATTCTCTATCTGCCACCGGACAAACATGCAAACAAACAGATAATTTCTAGTGAGTAAGTGAGACACACAAGTTGCAAGCTGAAATTTAAAAATGATAATGAAACCCCTGGTTTTTGTTCCGATTTTTGTAAAGGGGTTCGCGATAAATATTGGATTTAAAGACCATAAAAATATGTGACGGAAAAATCATAGATTGTTAGGAAAAATATAGTGTAGGTAGAGCTTCCAAAACTTTTTTTTAACTGCGACCGCTCTTGGGAATTAGCCATTTTTTGCGATGATCAACTCTTTCTTTTTATTTTCGATCATCTCATGACGCCATGGGAAGCCCAGGACAGCCTATGCCCCCTGTTGATCTCCTAGTGGGATAAACATTTTTGGCAAAAGGAATAGATAGAATCATCATCTACCCCCAATTTATAGGATTTTCTATTAATACTATTATGTTTGTATTAAGTTATCATAGTAGGTAACCGAATTTTTGTAATTCTTCCTATGACATGCTGCACATTCGTTCAATCGTTACATTTTCTGTAAAAAACCAGGGGTTGAAGCTCATGAAACATACATTATGTATAAACATTTACAATGTAAACATATAACTACTTGAATTTACAATGAACCTCTAAAATTCTACTGAAACTAGTGCAACAGTAAATAATTTCAAATGATAATTACATTACATTATTACATTACATAATTATGTATTACCAACTTATGAATAACTAGAAGCTTATTTATTAATTTACAAACAAAAAGAACTAGCTTTCTAAACATTTCCATGATGAAATGATGATATTTTTACTATTATCGAATTTTGCGTACAAAATAATAATATCTATTCCTCCACCTACGCCCTAATTATATTCCTTTTTTTTTCTATCCTCAACGAGGAAGCTCTTGGCCTGTATCTCAAGATGGTAAGTGATGATCAGGCCGAAGGCGGAAGCGAGCTTCACCCGGAATCCTCAACCACGGAGGAACTGGCTATCTTACCTCTAACTGCCGGAACACAACAATTCTTTTAACATTGTTGTTATGGCGACAGACTTAGGTAAGATGGTGGTAGGGCTTGCTCTAAGTCCGCCTGGCGCTAGCCAGGAGAGCAAGCCCTACCACCAACCAAACCGAACAGAAAAATCTGCCCCCACTGGGAATCGAACCCGGGACCTCTGCGTCTGATGAAGGTGGTTTTACCACTAGACCACAGAGGCGGTTACCTATTTCACCACAATAGCCCACCGGTGGATGGAGATCGATGCTGACCATCGAGCTACTATCATGTAGGTAACCTAACTCTACTTTGGTTGACTGGAAGAAATTGCTTTTCGCAACTAGTCAGGATTCATTATTAGGCATATCATTGTTATTGTGCATAATTTAAATCCTAAACAAACAAAACGATTCTGTACATTATAATAACATTTTTAGTCCAGTCAATAAAGCATTATAGATGGAAAACTGTAGAACACAATTTCTGACTTCAGGACTTTATTTAGACTAGTTAGGAGGTGAACATAGCAAAAGTCCCCACCCTTAGCCCTTGAGCCGGCGGGGAAAGGGGGGTTTAAAGGTGCCACTTTTCGGTTTTTCGCTTAATCCTCGGAAACTATGCGTCCTAGTGACATGACTACTTTGAACCAAAAAAAGCATATTCAATTTGCTACAGATGAGATAGACAAGTTTTTCTATAAATTGTATAGTTTTCGCGGCATCTGCTCTAGAAGGTCTGTAATATTGGAAATTTTATTTTTGTCTTACATGTTACTATCAGGAGAAAATCGACTAAATGAACATTGAGCAATCATTCTAGACAAGCGGGAGCATGTTAAGTCTAGTTCCAGCGAGGGGACTACACCGTGCGTATATTTAGACGAATCACTTTGAGCCACTTTTGAGTCCCCATCACTCAAAAACTACTGTGCATTAACACTTCAAATTTGGCTCATGTGTTGAGACTTGCAAGATATACATCAGTTTCAAATTTCATAAATATGCCTCAAACGGTTCTTTAGATATTGACGTCCAAAAATCTACATGTCTGACCTATAGACCAAATTCTAACCACTTCCAGATGACCTCGAAGGTTCAAATTTGGCATCCAGAAAGGTAGTTATGTAAATACAAAGGAACAAATAAAAAACCAGTAAATTTTAACATTTCACATGTGATAGATAGATTTTAGTGCTCTAAATATCGATTTTTGAACGTCAATACCTAAATAACCGTTTGAGGTATATTTATGAAATTTGAAGCTGATGTATATCTTGCAAGTCTCAATACATGAGCCAAATTTGAAGTGTTAATGCACAGTAGTTTTTGAATGATGAGGAGTCAAAAGTGGCTCTAATTGGTTCGTCTAAATATACGCACGGTGCAGTCCCCTCCCCGGAACTAGGCTTAACATGCTCCCGCATGTCTATAGTGTTTGCTCAATGTTGATTTAGTCGATTTTCTCCTGAAAGGAACATGTAAGACAACAATAAAATTTCCAATTTTACAGACCTTCTAGAGCAGATGCCGCAAAAACTATACAAGATATAGAAAAACTTGACTGTCTCACCTGTTGCAAATTGAATAAGCTTTTTTTGGTTCATAGTAGTCATGTCACTAGGACGCATAGTTTCCGAGGATTAAGCGAAAAACCGAAAAGTGGTACCTTTAAACCCCCCTCTCCCCGCCGGCTCAAGGGCTAAGGGCGGGGACTTTTGCTATGTTCACCACCTAACTAGGCTAAATAAAGTCCCGAGGTCAGAAATGGTGTTCCATGGATTTCTCTCTACACCGTCGTTAAGGCATTCATTGACTGGACTATTTGTGCAAATTATTTTTAGCTAATATAAATACATAACAAAGTTTAGAGCAATCAACTGCATATCAAGCTGCTACAAAATTATATAACTACAATCTTATGTAAGGTATAGTCTGGTCTGCGAGCACGTAGAATTTTGTCCAATGACCCCAAGCTACCCATCCTATTGCTCGCGCGTAATTATGTTGCTGTCGCGCTCGCACACTCACTGCGGGCGCGCGTCGCACAGTCGCGACAGCAATATAATTACGCGCGAGCGATAAGGATGGGTAGCTTGGGGTCATTGGACAAAATTCTACGTGCTCACAGACCGGGCTTTAGTTGTAAATTGGTGCTATGTTACAACAGAAATGTGTCTGATGTATTTATGTAATGACATGCGTGTAAGCCTGTGTATGAAGCATGACCAACCTCTCATCGTATGGCAGTATGTCGCTTTCATATGACCTATAATGACAAATGAATCACATGAAAAATGATCTTCATCTTAAATAAAATGGGATGTCAATTTTCCACCACACACTTTTCATGTTAAGTAAATTCGTCATAAACATAAATATGAAACGGCACTTTGCCACAAAAGTGATAATGTGACTAACTATAGAAGTGTGACGAATATTTGTGACGAGTTAACTAGGTGGCAAGTTGACAAATATCCATAAACTACTACATATTTGCTACAAAACATTTGAAACACAGTGAATACATTAAATCTATTAAAAATGGGTTACTTTATGCCAATGAACACTGGTAATACTTTAAGAATTTTGTTAAATAAACATTATCTATTCTATTGAAACATAAATTTTAATACCTAATTAATTTGAAAATTATTTCAATTGACAATAAAATGGCACTAGCTTAAGTAACAAACTCTTCCAGGAGCAAGGTTTGATTGGTTTCAAAAACTCAATGGATTACTCTTAAAAAAACTATTCATAAATTAAAAATTTCAAATGTTTCCATTCCTTTCTCGCAGAGCGAGATACAAGCATGACGGACAGTGACAGATAGAGCCGAAGCTACGTATGCCATATTTCGTGGTTTAGATGGTCTCATATGTCGCTGGTTGAAATCCGGCTCGAAGGACCTTGTAAAATTTTATGGCAGAGGCCCAGTTCAGCAAAACAAGAATTAAAAATGAGTATTTAGAAGAGTTGACGTCACAGAGCAAGCGTGTAAACTTACAAATCTTGCTCCAGTAAGATAAACAGGCATAGCGTAACTTAGAGTAGGGGCACACCGTTGATTTTTCGTCGGCCGATAGTTTAGTCGGGCAGTTGAACAGTATGGGCATGTAAGGGAGTGCGCACACTACGCCGATTCGATTTGGCCGCTTCTTCATACAATTTAAAATCGGCAAAACTATCGGCCAACTAAAAATCAACGGTGTGCGCCTACTCTTAGAAGTTTCCTTCCTTCAGTAGTGGAGTGGTGTATAGTTTTGTTTCGTAAAACGTCGGAGTAGGTTAGGTCCCAACCACCACGTTCGCGTTGCCCTGCTACGTTAACATGGCAGTTGAGACTAAATTGTTTCACCACCACTTTAATTTTGTGCCGACCACACGTTGCCTAACATGGTGGATGGGACAAAAATGATGTTTCATCTACCACGTTGAGTCATTAATTTACTACGGTAATTAAAAAGACAAGTGCAGTATGACCATAAAGGAGCTATTGCGAACTCTTCTTGGTTGAAAATATTCACAAATAGCTACATTTCCAGCTAGTATTGAAAATATTTGGTTCGCTTGATAGCTCTTTCATAAGTTCAGCTCTGTCACATGTCTTTGCCTCACCGCTCCACTACCAGAAAAACCTATAAGCCTGAATATACATTAAGCACAAACCCTTTAGTTTTTCCTTGAATCATCTCAGCCTGCGCGCTCAACGTCTCAGCAATGAATGCCTCGTTGTACGCATCAGCAGGTTTCCTCCACCTCCTTCCTCCAGGAAGGACCAAAGGCCTGGCTTGAGGCTCTGGGTTCCCAAACACGGGCTTCGGCTTGCCCACGCGTGGGGTCGGACGCTGCTTCACTTGCCGAGACTCTTGTTCAAGCCTCATTTGCTCCATCAACTCCTGATGTGGGTAGGAAGGTTAATACTCGCACGGTTTGCTAAATCTATGTGCGAGTGGTGGTGTATGTAAAAGTTCTAGGTGGCATCGATAGATGATGCTAATGTAAGATTATACTTAGATACAGTTGTATGTATAGTTGTTTTCAGTACCATCAAGAGGTGGCGTTGGCTGTGTTTTAAATCGCAATTGTGAGTTACGCCATAGTTCGTAACATATGACACAGTTTTCAGTTCCGCTAAAAGATGGCGCTGGCTGTTCTTTGGATCGCAGTGGTAAGTTGCGTCATTTAAAGCAGCAATAAAATTTTCTAATTTATATAATATTAAAAATAGCTGTTGCTGGGGGAGAAAAAAATGAAGCGGAGAAAGTGCAAATCAAAAGAGAATGGGCAAAATTCTCGAGTTATTATTACACATCACAGTAACTAATATTGATCCAGATAAATTGAACTGTAGGTATACATATTTATTGCTGTATTGCTGCGTAGAAAAGGATTTAAAATTACTTCTTTAGGAAGTTTTAGATTGAAACCTAAAAGGTAGTTTTCTGTTGGACTAATACTGCTACTTATAGCTGATAAGTGATCACAATAACCAGCAAAACTAATTTAAAATTTTACATGTTGTTGTGGTAGATATTTTATCTAACATTACCAAATCGAAATTCCTTGTATAGAATATAATTTAGAACCCGACAAGCAAAATACCGATGATCTGTTCAACTTCCTTGGATATTACATAATTTTTGCCCGTTCTCTTTTAAACTTAACTTGCTTTAACCGTACCTTATTCAAAAAACCCTACCTTCTTCTGCTTCTCAACTCTTCTCTGTTCCTCCAGCATTTCTTCTTCTTCTTTTCTCAACTTCTCCATTTCTTCTTGCGTGAGACTGGGTTTCGTTTCTTCTACCACCTCCTCGATTGTCGTACCGTTTTGTTCGCCGTTTTGGTTTATTTCTTTTTTAATTATGTTGGATTCTTCTTGCACAGTTTCACAATTGTTTTCGGTTACTGAAAGATTATTTTTGGTTACATTGAAATTAGTGGTTTAAATAAATCTTAGTGCAGAAGAGCTATATTAGACGCAGAAACTTTATAGCAATGTTTGTGCCAGGAAAAATATAATACAGGTAATTTTTAAGTAAAGAAAAAGTTTCAACAAATTCTTTAAAAGAGATAATGAAGATGGAAAATGAAATTGGTAAAAAAGGCGTAAGAGAATGAAGTTAAATTTTGTCATTTGAGGTTTTTTCGAAGTAGTAGCGACAAGGCAAAAACATACCTTCAACAGATTCGAGGGATTCCGACTGCATCTCAGAATGCATCTGCGATTCGGACACAGCAGTTATTTGTGTCTCCTGAAACAAAGGTGATAAAACATTAGTTTAGTTTTAAAATGTTGTTCACTGTTGATGCCGGCATACAACGGCAGGACGGCAGTGATGTTGCGGGCTGTATAAGAAACAATCGAATATAGCTCGTTTCTTCCACGAAGACGCGCCCCAGCAATGTTTGGTCTCGGTCGCGCGGGGTGCGGGAAGTTTGATCCGAGCAATTCGAGCGGCATTATTGTAGTGTGCGTGTGCACTCATGGATGATTTAGCGTGTACCGATAACTCTCGGACATCAGCGGAAGAATGGTGGGTCGCGTCTTCGTGGATGAAACGATCTTATACCTGTTGGGTGAGCTGGCTGAGCTGACGCGTCACCAGGTCGAGGGTCTGCTGGATGACGCCGGGCAGCTGTGCTAGTGCTGCCATCTGCGCGCGCATCTGGGCCAACTGCTGCTCCACGCTCGCGTTCGGATCTGGAGACATCATTATCATCATCATCGTCATCATCATTATAATTAGCATCATTATCACCACCATCATCATTATTATCATCATGAATATTATCATCATCAAGTCATTTAATCTCTCTCACACTTAAGTCTAAACCTAACTTTCATCGTAACTTTAACGATAACCGGTGTTTTTTATGGAGTTCATGGAGTCAGATTTTTGACATTTGTCAATTTTTTTTAAAATTAAAGACAGTTTGATGGTGCGACCCAGCCTAAGCTAACTACTGCTCTATGATCTCGTTAGGATCGGGAGGTCATCATTATCATCATTATTAAGTCTCAAAACAAATCTTCACTTTTGCCTGAGGTAAATTAGGAAGGACCACCCTCTTGTTAGTAGAGATTAAAATAAACTAATGACTTTATGTAAAAGTCACTCATTCATTCAAATAATTTATTTATTTTTTCATATTCTCTGTAGTAAGTTCTCAGAGAGAACTTTTGGACATAACCATACTACTACAGGACATGGGCCGGTGCTGAAAAGAAGCAGCGCCAGAAATTTAGCCACTATTTTCCCTTTCGCGAGATTTTACAAGATTATTATAGTACGTATTGTTGTGAGCTAGGCAGTTTCAATTCCATATTTTTTCTGGTGTTCGTATAATATTTTTCCCTTATTCACCTCTTCGCGATATTCTTGAGAAGAGTGGGGTAATCATAATCATCAAATGATAAAGAAACTCACCGACCATATTCTGCACTCCCATCAACAGCTGCTCAGCTAAACGATTCTTCTCCATATCTTCCACGATCTGGTTCGTCTCCTCAACCACTGCTTCCACGTCCAACTCCACAGGCTCTTCTGTGTCTTCTGGTTCTTCTAGAGGGACTGGAGAAGGAACAGATTCTTCTTCGGGCTTCGGAGGGGGCAGGGGTATACCTGTGGAAAGAGAGGTTTGATTTGAGATTATTATTTTAACGAATAGGAAAAGTTAGGTAGCACTTTCGAAGATGCATTATCGTACATCGTGATGTCCGGCTTTGAGGCATAGACCTCTCCCTAACTATGGGGTGTCTACCACACTCTATCACGCTGGCTCAGCTCAAATTTCGAATCTGCTGTACGATGCCTAAACTGTCGGGCTATGTTCTATTTTTGATTGGATTTTTTTTGCCAATTGGTAAACTATTAGTTGTAAGCTTCAGAAAAATTGTAAAGAAAATTGTTCAGTCTTCCATTGAGTGTCCATCTTCGTTGCTAACTAAGAAATTCAAGCAGTTTTTTGAAACAATTCTTTAGAACAAGTCAGGGCATATAATGTATGCTAGGATGATACTCTAGGGCAGAGTGCCATCCTAAACTGCATCTCACAACATCAGGTGCGATTGCGGTCAAATACCTGCCTTGTTTTGCATGAAAAAAGTACAAGTGGTTTTGATACAGTTCTTTTTTAGAGACGTTTAATTCATGAACGTTCTCTGCTAGAAGACACCTCTTCTTCAAAAACATCACCTGTCTCCTCAAGATCTGGCACTTCACTTTCTGGCAGAGGGTCAACAGCTTCCAAGAACTCGGGCACCTCCTCAGGGACCAGTATTGGGTCCTCTGGCTCTACTGGTGGTGGAGGAGGCTCGTTGAGGGCTCGCTCCTCCCAGGGTAGAGGACCGGTCTCGAAATTCTGGTGGATTGGGATGGATATGAGATGAGATGAGGAAAAATGTGTGAGAAAATGGGTGTACTGCTTGTCTAGATGTTTGAGATTGTGAGAGTAATGTGTTTTGATTTGAATGAATAAAATGGGTGTGGTGTCCCCTCGCAGCGGCTAAAAGTTTGAAGACATTTTGAAATAAGAGTAGGCGCACACCGTTGATTTTTCGTCGGCCGATAGTTTAGTCGGGCAGTTGATCAGTATGGACATTTAGATGGGAGTGCGCACACTACGTCGATTTGATTTGGGCGATTCTTCATACAATTTAAAATCGGGAACAACTATCGGTCAACTAAAAATCAACGGTGTGCGCCTACTCTAAACGAGAAGGCATGAATTTTAGAAAAAATTTTTGCTAGAAAATTATGTGCACTATGAATAATATTAGTTCTAAATTCTCTAATATTACTTGTAGACCTCTCTCCCATCTTGCTTACATCTCTAAGCAGATTGTTTTTCTATAGCATCAACTGCTGAGCGAGGCGAGCTAGGAAAATGCAACCAAGCAATGGTCGTTTTTTCTTGCTGTGCACAACACTTTAGTAAGTAAGTAGAAACATTATTGTGACTAATTTGTTCATTTTAACCAAGTAAATACCTACATTACAATTTTTAAATCGGCGCCATAATGTGCTTGTGATTGAATGTAAAATGTGACCGATTGCGAATAAGTGCAGTCAATGTTGAAAAGCAACAATGTTGAAAAGCAATGTAGATGACTGTATGTAAGACGTGACACATTTTTTTTGTTGTAGTGTTTTTTTACAATGATGCTTTTAAAATTAAAAACCTACCTGTGTAAAATTTTGTAAATTGTTTACAATTTTATACATATTCTTCTTGTATCTTTCAATTTTATTCATAAGTTTTGACACGTAATTTTGGAAGAAAAATCAACATAAATTACACAGATTCATTATACTTGCCTCAATATTCTCGTATATCTAAAATATTTAATTGTCTACACATAGACATTCAACACTACATAACTTTTTAGAATGAAGAAGATTTACAAACAGTAGTTGTTACATAAATAAGTTTCTTTTTTGTATTTGCAAACGAACAAAACTAAATATGATAACTAAACATAATTAAATAAATTGATATAATTCAATTTTAAATTCTTGCAATTTTTACAATCATTTATCTCTTGTAAATCCAAATACAATGTACCTACACATTGGGTTCATAGTGTGTGTGTGTATGCTGTTATACAATTCTTTGAATAAAGTCATCGCATAAGTGTAGAGAAAAATATCTAATTGACAACAAATTAAATACCTATTAAAAGTAGTTTAATGTCATTCAGGGACACATAAGTGGGATAATATAAAATATAAAATAAAAAGTTTAAGTTTTAGTAACATATTTATTAGCTTAAATTAACATTCCTCGTTAATACTATTAAATTACATTAATTTAGTTTCTCTAATATTACTGTTAACATAACAATTGGGAAAAAAGTGCTATTAAGGTCCCATTTCTCCTTAAAGCTAGCTTAGTTAGCTTAAAGTATCTGTGCAAAGCGGAAACAATTCAAATAAGTAGCTTTATGCGCGAGACAAGCTAAGCAATAAGACATAGCTTACTTAAGCGCGAGATTTAAAGCTAGGCTAAAAGCAAATATAAAAAATAAGCAGTTTGGCATGTGAATGTAAATTGTACGTGATTAGTAAGCTAAAAAAAGGCTTTAATATTTTTCGTATAGCTATTAAATTACACGTCCTTATTTAAAATAAGCTATATTAATAGCTTAGACTGCAATTATTTAGCCTATAAGCTAAATTAGTTTAGCTCGCGGTGTACCTCACATTTAGAGAAGCTAAATTAAGTTAGCTTAGAGCGTAAACATTTAGCTTTAATCTGAAAGTTAGCTTAGCTCGCGGTGTCGTTACGTAACATTAGTATACAATACAATACTTACGATCTAACAAAGTTTTAAGTATTTAGTAAAGGCAGTGGTAGCTGTAATTATTAGGTACAGGGTGAAATAGGACCTTATTAACAGATTACCTCGGGTTTGTAATCGGGGGCTACTTTTGGCTTCGGCTGTTTCACTATTTTCACTTTGTACGGCGTCTGTAACAAGAGAAAACTAAATTTAAAATATCTGTTAGTTACTATTAACTAAATTGGATGAGATAAGGTACAACGCGGTCAAGTTAACTGCGCACTTGCCTGCCGTGTCGTCACATTGACGCTCTGGTTCGGATGGGGCGAACGCGGGGAGGTGTGCGAGGGAGAGTCACATTCCGGCCAGGTGCGCAGTTAACTTGACCGGGTTGTATAGCCTGACCAGGAACATAAAAACCCTCGCCATGTTGCGGAAAATTAATGGTACTAATTTCTTTTAATGGCAACAGTAACTGAAAACTTCATTGACATGTCACCTTGCATGTCAGTCTATTGCTGTCAAAGTGTAAACAAACTTTATTTTAAATGTGCGCAATTGATTTTGTGAATTAAATTGCTAAAATCTTTTTATAGTCGTCAAAGAAAAGTGGTTCACAATGTGTTAAAGTATTTGTCGAAGAGAAATACTAAGGGTTCGGACAATATTTTCATTGAATAATGTTTCCGACAAAGGTTGTCAAATTGACTGACATGTTTATCGTATAGTACAGTCAACTATGAAAATTAGCTGTGGTTTGTTTCAACTACCTATTTTAAAGTTTTTTGTCACTTTGTAAGTATTGAATTTTATGGAATTGGGAAAGAAGTACCGAGTTTGAAGCGTTCATGAGCAGACATTGTAGTTGAATATTCAAGTTCAGAATTTGATTATTGATGAATAATAATAAAATCCTACTTGCTCGATTGATGGTTTCATTTAATTTATTTAAACCAGTTTACCTATAGTATAATACGTTTTTGTTAATTTATGAAAATATTAAATAAGCCTATAATCCTGAATCCTGATACATAAAGTTAGCCTATTAATTTAATACAGGTACGACTGTACCCAGTGTTGCACTATCAAATGCAATTGGAGCGCCTCTATGTCAGGGTTTTTATGTTCCTGGTCAGGCTATAATGTAGGCTAGGCAGGCCTCTCATTAGGTGGGCCGACGATCTGATGCAGTTCGTAGATAGCAAGGGCCCGGTGGTTGTGTGTGATGATAATAATCTTTGGGAGAAGCCTTTACTCAGCAGTCAATAAGCTTAGCTAAGTTTGCATAGTACTAGTATTATATTATCTGTGGTTATACAAAGCGGAAGCTTTCATTTATTAAGATGAGGCAATAAGCACAAAATGATCGTAAAGGTAGCAGGAAGGCGCTGGGCGCAGGCCGCTTCCAACCGGGCAACATGGAAAACATTGGGAGAGGCCTATGTTCAGCAGTGGACGTCCTATGGCTGAGATGACGATGATGATGAACACATTCACACGAGACTCGTACATGGTAGACGCAAATTGAAAAGCGTAGATTGACGACAAGCTAAAAATGAAACAAGCCTAGCTCGCGGTAATCCGCGAAATTATGTACTAAACATAGAAGGCTATGTTTTGAAAAGTCAGTAATTTTTCTGTAGAATAAGTCCGAATTAGTTTGCAAAAAAGAAAGTATCTCTAAAATAAGCGTATTCTCAATCTTATAATGGTTGAAGAATTAGATAAGTCCTTCAAAAATATCAGTTTAAGCGCAAAACAAGAAAAGAAAGCTAAAGAAAGTTCTTTGTTATAAAAAGTTAAGTTTTGTTATAAAAAAAATAGAAAAAGATATTTACCAAACTAAAAACCACTGTTATCCACGATCACTCACAATAAACTGAATTAAAATCAGTTCCTATTCCAATTCAATTGCCAAATTGTCTTGTTTGCTATTATCGTTGACAGCTAGCCAAAATCATTGATGAAATAGCCGTGATTACTTTGATGATGCTATGTCAATCGTAAGATATAGGTACTATGTTTTAAAGGTTATTTCCTGGATTGAAATAGATCTTCATTGAAAACACTGTTGACCAAGGTTATTCGTCATCACCATTTCAGCCACAGGACGTCCACTGCTGAACATAGGCCTCCCTCAATGATTTCCACATCGCCCGGTTGGTAGCGGCCTGCATCCAGCGCCTTCCTGCTACCTTTATGAGGTTGTCCGTCCACCTTGCGGGTGGACTTAAACTTTAAATAGGATCATTCAGGTCAATTTAGTCTCCACTGCACCGTAAATTATGGAGCACGCCCTCTATAATTTACGGAAGCAAAGAAGGAGGATCCAAGGAGGAGGAGGTGGACCAACGACCTCATAAAGGTAGCAGGAAGGCGCTGGATGCAGGCCGCTACCAACCAGGCGATGTGGAAATCATTAGGGGAGGCTTATGTTCAGCAGTGGACGTCCTGTGGCTGAAAGGATGATGATGGTGAAAGTTTCTTTAAGATTTAAGATTCTATGGTATGATCTAAATCTTATTCAAGACTTAAAATGTCTAGATAATCTAGAAAATTTTCAAGCTTACCTCAATCTTTTCTTCCTCCTGAATGTATCCGAAATATCCAAACTTCGCCTTCGGGACTGGCCGCTTCGGCTTTTGCAGGAACGTCGTCCATTTCTTCTCTTCTTCTTTCTTCTTTTCTTCTGCCGTCCTGATCAGCTCATCGTTTAATGCCTTGAGGACTTCCGAGTCTTTCAGCGACTCGATGATGGGTTTGATCTTCTTGAAGTCCACGCTGGAATCGTCAGCCCGGTGCATGTGTGATTTCAGCACGCGAGAGAGCCTATTCAACCATTTTATGTGAGTGTTCTGTGTGGTTTTGTTTAGTTTATTGCGCTTAAGTTGAATGTGTCCGAAGCGTGCAACTTATGCAGTGCCGGATGAACCCTTAGGCAAATTGAGCAATTGCTTGTGGCATCAAAAAGAGCATAAGAATGTGAGGCAGGTTTCCATACAGTTAACCTTTAAATAGAATAACTTCTACAACATTCTTAGGAATCACTTTAGATGCTAAACTTCAGTGGGGTCCTCATATTGAAAGTATTGAAATCAAGTCAGCAAAGTTCAGTTCGGCTGCTTTTGCATTGAGAAAGCTACATTCTATAATAATGTAAACTGCGAGTCTAAAATGGAATATGCTGATGTTAAATTTCAAATGGATGCAGTAGAAATAAATGTCACTGGAGTCGATCCTGCAACCGCTCATAGTCCTCATAGGCTCATAGTCCGTTAAAACCTTTAAATCAAATCAAATTAAAAAATATATTTAGTAATAACCCTAATACAGCTTGCTCTGTAACCACTTCGGGACAACATAATATGGGCTGGAGCTGAGAAGAAGTGGCGGAAGAAACTCAGTCACCTTTGTCAGCCTCTTTTTCATTCAATGTTTATGTATCTAATAAATGAGGTACAGTACAACGGTCATTCTCACGATTAGGCGTTCTCAGCCTAATTACCATATTATTTTTGAAATTTGGCTTAATTGACTTAAACGCATTTAAATATGAAACACATGAAAAGTACGAATTTAACAATCGTTAAGGCGTCAAATTATTCCAAGCGGTTTTCGCGTAAATGAGACCCAAAAATTTTATGGTCACGGTAATTAGATAAGGCTAATACTTAATCTAACGGTAATTAGAAAAAATATGTAAAATAGCAAGAAAACAATATCTTGCTTTGATAAATTTGTATATAAATATAAATAGCGTCATAAAAAACGCTGTAGGTACACTTAATAACCCTTTGAAAAAAGGAAAACACTCATTTCTATTATTTATTGTATCAAGATATTTTCAGTATACTGCAATAATCGAGGCTATAACAGGAACACTTAGTTTCGACCAGAAGGGGCTACGTGTCACATTCTTTCATCAGAATCTTAATCATCATTTATTTTATTTGATTTCAATGTGGTACAAACGATTTAACGTACAGATAATGGATCAGGAGATCTCACAAATTTGATTTTTCGGATATGCATATTATGTCGAAAAATTAATTAATGATTTAAGTGATTTTTCCTCTTTTTAATCTATCTGCGATCAGCCATCACCCATTATCAGATTAAATTGAATTTGTAATAATGACAGTTCCAGCTCAGCATATCCCATGATTTGTCACCTCGATTCTTTTACAATAAGTTTTCAGATTGATGCTATTCGCTTTCTCCTGAGCCTAAATGCAGAATTCTTAGAATTTAGAAGGGATGCAGCAAATAGATTGCATGAAGGTCTAGTCTTTGGTTGTAAGCTTTACAGGATTTTCCACACCCTCTTTGACGTTTGGTATCACTTCAGTGGACTTTGTAAACCAAGGTGCACAGCTCAAGATTTTTAAAACTTTATTTTGAAAACGTTAAAGTATTTCTACATTTGCGAGGCTAAGTCGATGCCATGTCTACATGGGTTTTAGGATCCATTTGTATTAGTTTGTTCTCCAAGCTTCTTCTGTCTAGTACCCATTGCATATCACGAAGTTTTTTCTATGCATAACAAAGCAGGTAGGATGCAGTTTAGGATGGTACAAAGTGCCTATACACTCTTGCCTTGAAAAGTCCCATTGTCTGTTGATTTGTTCTCTTTTGTTCTTAATGTGATCACGCCAGGTAAGTGTTACTGTTGGAAAATCTCATCTTCTTAGGGCAAAGGTATTATGGATAGATGTTAATGGTATTATATTAGAATTAATTAATGATTTAAGATGTTAATATCAATTATACTAATACTAAAAATAAATATCTGGTACGAGACATGTTTCATGCAGGGGTGACATCTCCTGGCCATCAGAAAGCCCCGATTTCACTCCAGGTAACTTCTTTTTGTGGGGTCCTTAGGGGTTTAAATATACTCTTAAATCCAACAACCATGCAGCAACTGAACCTGAACATTTGTCATGAAATCGAATTTATTTCGTTTTAAAATTTTGATTGTCAGATTGGAAGAAAAGTCCGTACAGTTGTTATGCGAAAGTCTTGGTATATTTCATATTTTATCATCATACTTATTCAATCGTGAGTGCAATTTGTAGGTAATAATTTAATACAACGGTGATTATAAAAATACGGTAATTAGTACATGGAAATTATAAAACGATAGTTTTTCTTCAAAATCTCAAAAATCTTCAGCGTATGCAAATACTGTCTTACTACAACGTATGAAGGCCAAAGTACTGAATCTATTTAAATTAACAACGTGGATCTACCTTCAAAAATCGAGTATAAAAATAAGGACATGGTAAATAGAAAAATTGAAAACCAAAGATATGGTAATTATACTCTTACGCAATTCATCGACGGTACGCCAACGCAATAGACGTCTACTTGCTAACAGGTCTTAGAACTAACTAAGGGCTCGCGCCGCGCGCGTAAATGATGTGTCAAATATTATTATTTAGGCTTGTGTGCCCAAAAACAGAAAACGTCACGGGAATTAGGACTTTCGCTCGGACAAGCAGTTTTTTAATTCTAATTATTTACAGAATGGTTCTATTGAATAGATATTTTGCTATGCGTAAGACAATCTTTTGTACTCTTTAAAATGTTGAATGGAGTAAACCAAATCTATACGACATAAAAATTACAGCCAAGTTTTAACATTAAGTCGGTGTGCGGACGCGTAACGGTAATTAGAGAACAGAGGTTCATGAAATTAATTAAGTCACAAATACTTAAAATAGAGGCCTATGATTTAATGCACAACTGGATGGGGTTGTAAAGTAACATATAAAAATACTTGCATGTCTCTAATTTGTCATTTTTAACGATTTAACAGCCCGGACACGCAAAAACTAGCTCATCTGAGAATGGCCGACAAGTACAATGGTTCCATGTGATCTATGTACTAGCTTAGCATATAATATGATGTCGATAATGTTCAGCTTTGTAATGTATGTGAAAAATTTATGAAATGGTATAGATAGTGATCTTAATGTGAACACTTTATGTATTTGGATTTTTTAATGTATAAATGTGAAAAACATATGATATGGTATAAGTATGTATAGTTAAGTGAATTTAATGTGAACATGTCTTGTGAACACAAAATGGTTGAAAATGCGTATGACATAATGATTAACATAATAATGAAGAAACACAAATCATCTTTTACTTTCAATTCAAAAAACTATAGACTAATAAGGTCAAGCGCTTAACTTAGTGCCCGAGGTATGGAAGTGGCACGGGAGGGGTGACATTGACTATTATGACGTGACAGAGCCTAAAACGAACTAAAGTCGCTGACATAGCCGACGGATTAGCAAGCTGAAGTGGCAATGGGCAGGGCACATAGTACGCAGAACTGACGGCCGATGGGGCAGCAAGGTTGTGGAATGGAGGCCGCGTACCGGAAAACGCAGCGTGGGACGTCCACCCACAAGGTGGACCAACGACATTGTAAAGGTAGCAGGGAAGCGCTGGACGCAGGCCGCTACCAATCGATCAACGTGGAAAGCATTAGGGGAGGCCTATGTTCAGCAGTGGACGTCCTATGGCTGAAATGATGATGATTGACTTGTGTAAAACATTTGCATGCTGGTTCATATCTGGCGAATGTGTTCTGCTCCATTTCATTATGTAACATCTAATGTACCACATTCTGCAAATAAATAATTTAAATTTGAATTTGAATTTGATGATGATGAGAGCCTAAAAATCTGAAAGGTATCTGAAGTCTCTCACGTTACAAAAACACACTCTCGTGACGCTCCCATACCTCATGCATTGACTGATTTAAGCGATAGACCTACAGTATACACAGAATCAGAATCAGAATTTTATTTCACGCTGTCAAAAAATAATATACTTTATTGGCAAGTAAAGGTATCCAATCATTTGTACTGTACTAAGGCCCAGTTTTTTGATTCATGGTTAAAATAACTAATTGTTAAATTTTGCTACTAATGGTTAAATATTAACAAAATGTAAACTAATAGTTAAAAAATGTACTAAAATTGAAGTTAACCATTGTTCGAAAAACATTTTTTTCTGATATTTAACCACTTGTCATTTGACATCTGTCAAATTTGACCATTGGTTATTTTAACTACAAATCAAAAAACCGGGCCTAAGGCCCAGTTTTTTGATTCATAGTTAAAATAACTAATTGTTAAATTTTGCTACTAATGGTTAAATATTAACAAACTGTAAACTAATGGTTAAAAATGTACTAAAAGTCAGACTAACCATTGTTTGAAAAACATTTTTTTCTGATATTTAACCACTTGTCACTTGACATCTGTCAAATTTAACTATTGGTTATTTTAACTACGAATCAAAAAACTGGGCCTAAGTAATAATAATAAATATCCTTAGACATTTTACACTGCGCTTCTAGTCCCAAACTAAGCAAAGCTTGTACTATGGGTACTAACAACGGATATAAACATACTTAAATAGTTTTTTTTTTTGTAAATACATACTTATTATACATAGAAAACACCCAGTCCAATACAAACAAATATGTTCATGCACACAAATGTTTGTACTGTGCGGGAATCGAACCCGCTACCTCCGGAATAGTAGTCCGTTTCGAACCACTACACCAAACGGCCGACTAGAAGTTAATTATCAATTTGAAATAAATTAACATAAAGAAGTAGAAAAGAGTGTTTCTAATCTACTTACCCCATAACGTGCGCCTCTCTTAACATTTCAGATTCACCAGAAATCAACTCTGCGATCTTCTGTTCTGTCATGCCAGGCTTGCCTAATTCCTCTGAAAAAAGTACCATTATCATCATCATGCTTTGCTACATAGCTAGGGTCTAAAGCCCGGTCTGTGAGCACGTAGAATTTTGTCCAATGACCTCAAGCTACCCATCCTTATCGCTCGCGCGTAATTATACACCACTAAATTTTAATCACCGAAAAAAAAAATTCTGGGTAATGAGTTATTGATACTGATCCCATTTGTGCAAAAAAAAAGAGTAAAATAAAGTGACTCAAAATATCCTCCTAAAATTGGTAATTTATTGACACACGCGTCGCTAGCACTATTTACGTACGATAATGTAACACTTATTAGATTTCAAAATGGTCTAAGTTAGCTAAGTATGTATTAATAACACTGGAAGCGTGGTCGAGGCGTGAGCGAGACAGACAGATCGATGCAACGTGCGAGCGCGTACGACTACTCTAGCGAGCAGCGGAGTGACTCAGCTGTGACGTGTAAAATACGGACTAAAGAAAATGTAATAAAAAAATTAACTTTATGAAAAACATTTCTTTTTCTTTTGCTTTCAATTTTTCACACGTTTCTACATAACCTGTTAAAATTTTTTCGGTGTTAAAAATTTAGTGGTGTATTACTGTCGCGACTGTGCGACGGGCGGCAGCAGTGAGTGTGCGAGAGCGACAGCAACATAATTACGCGCGAGCGATAAGGATGGGTAACTTGAGGTCATTGAACAAAATTCTACGTGCTCGCAGACCAGACTATACATCCTAAGTTTTCAACCGCAAATAATTTGATTAAAAGAATTAAAAGGAGCACCAAATGTTAATCGACTCCCTCCGATGCAAAGCGAGAGAAAAACGAATGAAAAGGTTTTGAAACTAAGTCTAAAAAGTCATATTTTCTGCCAATAGGCTTTTAAAAAGAGCTTTTACACGTCGCAGTATTACTTTAAGCTGCTTTGAGAATAAGCAGTTCAAGAAACTCAGTAAAGTTTAATTAAGTTGAAGGAGAGATCCCTCTAGCTTTTGAAGGCGAGAGTGAATGGCACTTACAGGGCAGATATGTACCATCCTAGACTACTACATCTCACTTAACATCAGGTGCGATTGCGGTCATAGTGCCTGTTTTCACCAAATTTTTTTGGTGACCCCTTTGAAAACAAAATTCCTGTTATGTGTTACCATAATTGGGTCACTTAAAGATTAGGGATTGATGGTGTAAACTGGCATAGGTATTTAATTAGATACTTAAGGGTATGAGGAGATCCGTAGGAGAACCAGAGTGACTGACATAGCCCGCAGAATCGCTAAAATCAAGTGGCAGCGGGCACAAGTTCTTGAGTGGCGATGGCGACCACGAGCCGGAAAACGTAGCGTGGGCAGGCCTCCCACTAGGTGGACTGACGATCTGGTGAGGGTCGCGGGAGGTGCCTGGATGCGAGCGGCGCAGGACCGGTCTTTGTGGAAATCCTTGGGGGAGGCCTTTGTCCAGCAGTGGCCGTCTTTCGGCTGAAACTTACGAACGAACTTAAGGGTAGGATGATCTGTTAAAGGTTCACTTACTAGCGACCTCTTCATCCACTGTAGCCTCCTCAAGGCTGTCCACAATGCCCTGGTGGGTGCCAAGCGGTTCACCCGAGCTGGACACGTAGCTTGGAGACTGCGCCCTATGGAAGGTGGGCTCCTGTGGAATTGCATTAAAAATTACTTAATGTACTTAAATATCTCAGGTGATTAAGAATCGATTGTGCAAAACTAAGATTAAAATCATCCACAAATTCCACAAACTTCTTATCAAAAATTAAGATACTATCTTGGAACTTCATTTCTTCGAACGGGGTTGTCACTTTGCAAGAAGTCTTTAGGAGATTGCAATGTTTCATGGGTAATCTCAGACTTGATATGTTAGTTAGACCGCTATAGGTGTTTTGATTAAGATAAAACTCCCAGAGATTTGATGGCGAAAAGAACCCATGATTAATTGCACAGTTTTTTATGTAGAAGTCAATGATATTATATAAAAACAAAAGCAGATATGTTATAGGCGCTCGCGCTGTGAATACTCAAATACGTCCCAATTGGGACGTCTTGTGTTTAGTCTTCGTGTGGCCTGCGTCGTGCGCAATCGCGTGCGTACTACACCGTAAGTTCCNGAAGTCGGTTGAAAAGGAATGTGACTATATTAATTTTGTTGAAGAGCAAAGTGCAATTGATTTAAATGTCATTAGATCTGAGACTAGGAAAGATTCAATTTTGAGTACAGTTTACAATATGATTCGATATGGTTTTCCTATGGCAGTGAAAAATGAATCTTTAAAACCATTTTTACAAAGAAAAAGTGAATTGTACATTGACAAAGGTGTAATTATGTGGGGGTATCGTGTTGTTATTCCACATAAATTACAACAGCATTATTTTATATCGGTATCGTATTTTATATCGGTATTTAATTTGTTATTATAAGCGCGTATCCAAACGTAGCTAGTTTAAAAGCATTATTCAGGATGTGTATCCGAGATTCTTTCTTCTTGATACGCCAGACAAAATGGCGATAGGCAATCTTGTAAGCTCTGTGTTTAATCGAAAATAAAAGACAGTATCTTCAAATAGAAACAACTTTTATTTACGTCTCCAAGGCGGAGACATCACAGCTATCTCTTTCATTTGCGTGCTATTTCGTATCTTTTGTTTCACTTATCAGTTACATTTGTCAATGTGTGCAATTTGGAATAGCTCGGCACGGATTAAAATCGTAATTTCTATGAACGTAACATATCTATAGTTCTGTAATATCATTGGTAGAAGTTATTTCTTTCTTACACAATAAGTTTGGTACATGTAAGAACAAGTAAATACTAAACCTAGAGACACTTTAATGAAGAATTTCTTACCTGGACACTTAAGTGGATGCTCTGCAGCCCTTTCTTAGCTGCGATCAGTTCTTCTGGATTGAACTGCACCGGTCTGTATCCCTCCATCGGATCTCTCTTCTGTTCTATTACAAATGCAGCTGACACATCCCCTGGGTTCCCTCCATTTGTAACTACTTCCTCTGCAGGCTTTATGTCAAATTTCGCAACATCTACTGATGATTTGCGAGCTGTAGTATCACTTACAATAGCCGTATCTTCCATTGTTTCTTTAACTGAATTTGTAAGTGATATTTCTGCTGTATTTTCTGATTGAATCAGATCCTGTTTAGCTTCTAAAGAATTCAGTTCTGTAGCTTTTAGTGTTCTGTTTTCTACCTTAGTTTCTGTCTTAGATTCAACGCCATTGGCAACAGTTTCTTCAGTCAGACCATTTGATGTAGCTTCAACTCCATTGGATAAAGTTTCTTCAGTCAAACCATTAGATGCAGCATCAACTCCATTGGATAGAGTTCCCTCAGTAAAACCATTTGTTAGTTGAACTAAATTTTCGTTGCTTTCCTTGACTTGCTCATCAATTTTCTTCCATTCCTCATCTATTTTGCTATTAGCATTATTGTATACTTTTGTCTCTACTTTGGCATAGCCGTTGTATATTATTGGTTGGTCACTCGTAGACTTAATTACTTCTGTTGTAGATACATGTTCTTCAAAAGATTTTTTGCTAGTATGTTCTTTTTTGGTATCTTCTGTGACTGTGATCTCCTTTTTAGTTTCAATGCCTACTTCTTCTTTGTATTCTTCTATGCTTTTGATTGTTTCGTCGATGGCAGAAGCGAGGAGGGATGATTTTCGTTCGATTTCGAGAATTTCCTCCTGTTTACATAAAAATAATTTAGCGCGGATTCTATGAAGAAGAAACGTATAATTTTATGGATGAAGTAAAGAATAAGATCAAAGAAGATGGACAGATAGATAGTAAACACTAACAATGATTTGTTCACCTTACTTGATTCATAAATCAGTAGTAAATAGAAATATAAATATTTAATTTGTCTTTGAATAGGGTGTAGGTACAGAAGGTCGAAAATAACAAAATATGTCACCTATCCAGTCATCAAAAATAGCATGCAAATATATCGAAGAAATATTGATATTACATATAATTATTACGGTATTACTTAAATAAATACGAGTAGGTACCTACTCGTAGATTGTTTTCAAAAATAATATGAATACATAAAATTTATTTTACCTTTTTACAAAATCTCTTTTACATCGTTTTCCAAATTAGAAGACGAGACTAGTTTAAACTAGCAAAAACAAAATTACAGTGAAATGAATTTTATGATCATGAATTAAATAATTTTGTAAGATACTTAACTAGGTACAAAACACACACACACAGAATGAAAAGTCGACTCAGCATCATCAGTATGCTTCCATGGCTTTAGGCTTGATCTTTTCTTTAGCAGAATGAGATGAGATCGTGTACCATACGATCATGCTTCCTTTTCATCATCATTAGTTCAACAGTGGACGTTCTATGGCTGAAATGATGATGATGATAGTAAGTGCTATCTACCCACCTTTCTATACTGTCGTCGGTCCGCTCCACCCCTCAACCCTGGCTTAGTATATACTGGAGATTGGGGCTTACTAAACGGGGGACTAGGCAGAGGGGGATCGTAAATTACAGGAGACTCCAATGTCGTATCAATATATGGAATCAGTTTCTTTTTCACGATATTAGGGTCTTCATCTTCAGGGGTAGGAGTGCAGTCTCTAGGAATCGGGTCTCCTACGTTTTTGGGAAGGGGGATCTGAAGTTTAAATACGTATTCGTCGGTTAAAGGAGTGGGTGGGACGGTTGAGGGCGTGGGAGTATTTATAATACTTGGTATACTTGACTCTGATGATGTTGTTTTGATTTTCCGTTCGTTGGATAAGTCAAGGGTTAGTTGAGACTTTTGGTCTGCCAACGAAGCAGTGAATGATGATTCTTGGATTACTTCTGTTGACTGAGACTTCTGGTCTATTAATGAAGCAGTAAATGACGATTCCTGAACCATTTCTGACGATTCGTAACTCGCCATCTTGCTTTTGTGTACTTCTGAGTACTGGCTGGCAGTTTCCGATATTTCAGTGTGCTTGCTTATATTTAGCTCTGATTCTTCCGCTAGTTTTAGCACTTGTTCTCTCTCTATTATTTCTTCTTTGACGATTTTCAATGCAGCAGCCTCTTCTTGCAATGTAGGTTCGGGTTTTGCTGGCAGAGGTAGTTTGATTTCCACAGTCTCTTCTATGATCGGGGCCACTTCAATTTCTTTAGTTTGTACTTCAGATACTTCTTCCACAATTGCCATTTCAACTGCACTCGATTCTTCTATATTGCTCACAGCGATTTCTTCCTGTTTAATTTCTTGGATTTCCACAGACTCGTGTCTTTGAGAAATATCAACCTCAGTTTTCTCGCTAACAGACATGATATTATGCGTTTCTTCTTTGACTTGTTGGATTTCTTCTCTCATTTCTAAAGCTTTTTCTTCCTTCACTTCTACTTTTTGGACTTCTTCCTTTATTTCAATTGCTTTCGCTTCTTCTACAATTGCCTTTGATTCGACCACTTCTTCAGACATTTGGACTAGTTGAGTTTGAGCGCTTGCAACACTTAATTCTTGAGATTGCGCTACGATAGACTCGGCGACTTCTTGTTTCATTTCTTTACTATCCAAAGCGACTTTCTCTGTAGCCAATGATTCACTAGCTTGTAAAGCTATATTAATTTCGTCTACGCTTTGCACTGAAGATGTCTCTGAGAAATCGGCTGCTTGCTCTTCAAATATGGCGTCTTTGTTCGTAAATATATGAGATTCGACAATAGCAACGTACATTTGCTTTCCTTCTTTAGATTTGGTTGACTTCTCTCGCCTTTCATGCGTCGATTCTACTCGTTTCTTCTCAACCGATTCAGTAGTAGAACTGAATGATTTTGACTCTGATTTCAGTTCTGTTATCTCTTTAGTATGCTGTTGGTCGACTTTTGAGAGCCATTCTAGAGGATCGCTTTCCTTAGCAATTTCTTCTACTACCCTACTTCTGCTTCTTGATCTCCTATCTTTTGTTATCTCGGTTTCTTCTATCCCAGCCTTCGTTTGGAACTCGGATATGACTGCATCCATTTTTTGGGCCAACTCAGCGGATTTTCTCTCTTGTACTTGTGCCATTTGGGCTCCAGATAGCTTTTGCTTCGTAATTATTTCTTCTACTTCTAGATTGGCTTGGATATCTTCAGCATAACTTCTTTCTTCTACAAGCGCCACCTGAGCTGTTTCTTTAGCTACAGTGCTTTTGATGGCTGCTTGTTTTTCCACTCTTTCTTCAAAAGCCATAACTTTTTCTCCTTTTTCATGCTTCATCACCTCTTGTTTCGCCTCACTAACAGCTGTTTGCATTATTTTTTCTTCTTTTCTATCGTTAATCGTTACTTCTTCATTTACATATTCTTTCTTATATTCAGAGACTGATTTCTCTGTAACTACGTCCGATTCAGTTACTTCTTGGGATTCTTCTACCTTATTAAACACGGGTTCTGATAGAATAAACCTAGAAAGAGCTACCATGACGTCAGTGAGATGAATGAAGAACGTTTTTAGTAGTAAATTGTAATGATAAGACGAAGTGATTGTTCCTTTAATATTGGGTATAGTTTGTAACCCAATCGCATACGCTCGTTGTCCTGCAAGACGTTTAGCAGTTGATGTTTTAGTATCAAAAGATTGCTGTGCAGATTTTTGTGAAGTTATAGCTTCTTTTTTGATAGCTGATGTTTTTTGAGCGCTTTGATTAATTGATTCAGCTTTGACAGCTTTCTTTTGCACGTCTTTAGCATCTGACATAGAGACTTGTGCTTGAGTGATTTTGGGTTGTTCGGTTTTTTGAGCAGTCTGGTTTATTTCAACTTTCTTTTGTACAACTTTGGGTTCTGCGACGATTTTGGTTTGTTCTTTCTTTTGTGATGTCTCCACAGATTTGACATCCACTTTCTTATCGAATACCTCAGATTTCCTTCTCACACTGCCAGATTCAATAATTTCTTCAATCTCCTGCTTAGTAGATAGTCTTCTTTCATCCACAACCTGTTCCTTCTTGTCTAAATTCTCAATCTTTTTAACTTCTTCACTAACTTTCAATTCGGATTTGCTTCCGTTATACGAAATGATTTCGTCTGTGGTTTGGTCAATTAACTCAACAAGTTCACTGGCTTCTTTGCTGGATTTTTTAACCGATTTAGTTACTTGAGAAGATTCCGATGCGGTCATTTCTATGGAAGCTTTAGAAGATTCTTTGACAGACGATGACTGTTCAATTTTGGATGAAGTTATAGAAGATTCGTGCAGTTCAACGTCTATTTCCTTCTTAATCTCGTCCGTAACAGACACAGCTCGTTCAATACTTTCGTTGACCAAATTGACAGCTGTCATTTCAATTTTATCCAAATCAATCTCCTTCTTCATTTTTTCCATATACTTCTTCTCTTCTAACGCCGTTTTCTGCTTCAGATCTTTAGAAAATTTGCTCTCTGATACTGTCACGTCTTCTTTTAAGTTGACTTCAGCAAACTTCACCTTACTCGCCTCACTGCTGGCTCTTTCCTTCTTCTTCTTAATGCCATCAGGGTCATACTGCTCCGAAATGGGAAGCTTAAACTTCGTTTCAGGTAGACCTCTAAACTCATCATCATCGTCGTCAAGCTTACCGAATTGGTCTTTATAATTAGGGTTCAATATAATAGGGTCTTCTAGAGGAGGAATTAGTAGGGGTTCAGTGGAAAAGGGTCTGTAGGGTTTCGTTGATAAAACAAAGGGTGATGCAGTCAAAGATCTGGATTGGTCTAGATCTAGGCCATTGCTTAGAGGGGTGAGTCCAGGCTCGATATCTTTTAGTTCTGAGGCCTCCCGGGAAGGTTGTTTGGGGTCCAGGAACTGCTGTATTTTAAAGGGGTCTACCTCAGTCGGCTGCGATGGTTGGTCGAAATCTTCCTGGTCTATGGTCTCGTAAATTGGCTCGTAGTCGTCCAGGACCGGGTCGTAGAGACCACTGGAAAAGAAAAATTGTTTTAGAGTGGCAATTTTTTAAATATTTAACATTACTAGATATTTTACGAGTAATAACTAGTTTGATACACAAATTACTGATAAATAAGGAGTGATGTCATAATAGTTGGGCACATAATAAACACAACAGTAACACAAGTAACCTAGGTACCGATGCGACCCCAAATCGGTAGTTTGAATCGAATTTATACTACCAGAAAGTAATTATATTAAAATTAATCATACCTATCCCATAATCTGTAATTGTTATATGGATCTCATTTAATTTTACATTTTAATGAATTTCGGAAAAAGAAAGTTTTATTTTTCATCTTATAATTTAAGGTAAACGGCTACTAGTTCGTGATAGTACGTAAGTTCGTAAGTTTTTTTTCTAGCTCAAATAATAAGCAAATGGAATATTATTTATAAAATTCTTCATTACTACAAAAACTCTATTATTTAAGCTATCTAAAAAACCAAGTACCAACATTGTGGCGCCAAAAATGAGAGCAATACGAAGCTTCAAACTCTCAGAGAGCCAAGAANTCTAAATTTTATGGGTACGAGGGGGGGGGGGTAAGATTCCCCCCCCCCTACATTTCTAATGGTTATAGAAATATTTTCACATATTGTTATAATTAACAAACCAAAATATTTTACTAGACTCACATTATTTCTTATGAATATTTCAGGTAAGTAATATCGTCAATTTCACATAATTACTTTATTCTAAATTTTTATTATCGTTTTTAAATTTATTAAACCCTTAATCATTATTAAAATATCCTAACTGTATGCATAAAACCTTATCCCGAAATAGGGGACATGAGTTCACGAACTTAGAAACAGAGCAAAATTTTGTCACGAAACAGGATCCAAACAAGAGGTCCGCAGAACAATTAATAAAAAAAAAAGTTCAAACTATATAACTATAAATTATGTATTAACTTACTGTCAAAAGACCAAAGTTTAGCATACAAAAGCTTTCATACTGATATCATGCTTGGTTATTTTTAAATAAAATGTTAAAGTCGTAAGAGCCTTAATATACCGAAGTAGGGGGCACTTACCTTACGCATACGACCTATTCAGAGGCATGGATTAAAAGTATTCAGGAACTCTTGTGAAAAAACATAAATAAAATATAATTAGAATACATTAATTTATTGGGTCAAGGTCAAGAACAAAATTACTAAGAAAAATTAAAATGTAGGTAGGTAGTCATCATTAAAGCTTTGAAAGAGTTATCTACATACAAATGCGTATGCGCGGATATGTTAAAAATTCTTCGTACACAACGCTAGGTGGCGCTAGCGTACATTCAAACTCGCATTTACTAAAAGATAAAAACTCGCATACACTGTGTTACTATGATTATTCTACTAATATTAATGTGAAAGTTTGTGAAAATAAATGGTTTTCCCAGATTTAAAAGGGAAACACGCGCTCACAAGTCATTTCGAGACCAAAATACGGTTGAAGCCACGGGCAAAAGTCATGCAATAAATCCCAAAAAGAATGAAAATCATACACTATAATCATGTCTATATCGTGTGATCACAATCGCTAACAACGACACTTTGGGTATATCCTCTGAACTCATTTTAAATCACACACAAACACAAAAAAAGTACGCTCACTTATTTTTATAGACCAAGAAAAACTTCATTGCGACCAACCAAAATTCGTTTTTAAAACTCAAACTGTCGCTTTACCAAACCAAATCGCAAATGAGTAAAAAAAACCCTCACCTAATAAAGATTATTTATAAATACTGACCTTTAAAGGCTAATTTAATTTGGCAAAACAACGTACTACCGTTTTTTAAGTAATCACATAGACAGTAGCTCCCTCTATAAATTGGCAGCCATGATTGATCTGTCAATTTTGACATATCTAAAAAAGAAATACTGGCATCGTTGCTGAGCTAAAAATAATCCTACCTGACCATCAGTAATTCAAGTTATGTATGACCAGTGTTGCCAGAAGGTTACTTTTGTAACCTTTTTGGTTACTTTTGAACTGCTGTGGTTACTTTTAGGTTACACTAATGAAAAGGTTACTTTTAGGTGATTTTTCAGAAATTGTAGAATTAACTTTACAGGTTGTTCAGTAAAAAATATTAATAGTGACAATTTAAAAATTATGTCATAAAGTGCATTTAAACTTGAATTTGATTTATTATTTGTTAAGAAAAATGAGTTTTAGCGAATGTTTTTCGATAATAAAACGCAAATCCATGAAACGTTTTTATACGACTGGTCACTTTTCGTATTTAGATGATCTTTTTATATTTCTGGTAATTTCTGACTAGACCCGACTGGCAACACTGTGTATGACTCAAATGTATGAAATCGGTAATCAATGCTTAAAATAATTATGTTAAAGATAGACAAAACTGTGAAGGTTACATTTATTATTGGCCCAATTTAAGGACTTAGCACACTTATCAACCCGGAAAAGGATCGTAACCTCTATCTTATTCTTATTACCTCGAGGCGGACAGTATTCTTTGCATGAAACACCATACTGCAACGTACACTTATAGTAGGCGCACACCGTTGATTTTTCGTCGGCCGATAGTTTAGTCGGGCAGTTGATCAGTATGGGTATGTATGGGAGTGCGCACACTACGCCGATTCGATTTGGCCGATTCTTCATACAAATTAAAATCGGGCACAACTATCGGCCAACTAAAAATCAACGGTGTACGCCTACTCTTATCGCGCAGTTGACAACGCGCGAAAGACGATGACATGCTCGCGAAAGGTGATACGGTGTTGATCCCTTTCCGAGTTGATAAGTCTGCTATGACCTTAAAGTCGCTTTTCGGAAGATCGAAGTAGCGACAGCAGTTGCTAAAACCTGCGATTCCAATACCGCGATGCTGCATCGATATAGTCGCAAAATCGCCGATCGTCGGTGCTAAAATAGCATGTGTGCTATAGCTCATCAAGTAGGTACGAAGCACACCTATCAACCCGGAAAGGGATCGTAACCGTATCAACTCGAAGCGGTCAGTATTCTTTGTATGAAACTCCATACTGACCCGCACTTATCCGCACCGTAACGTAAACGCCTTACCTCGCGGTTGATAGCGCGGCGAAAGGCATACTTTTGATCCGTATTGATCCCTTTCCGAGTTGATAAGTGTGCTATGACCTTAATTCTACATCAGATTTGTCATTACCGCTTAACACCAAGCTCCAAAGTGTCCCTTGCTTCAGCCACGAACTGCTTCGCGCTGTCGTGCGACATTTCAGAAGCGTCTGTGCCGGTCACGTGACACAGTACGTCGCCATTTTGGAGGCCCGCGCGCGACGCCGGCGAATCTGGTGCCACCTGGAGGAAGAGAGTGGAATTAGTACAACATATTCAAAAATCTAAGTATAATCTAAAGGTAGCCTTTCGAAGCTAGTTAGTGACGCGGCGTTGGTGGCACAAGACCAAAGCTAAAGACGCTGCGTCTATGACGCTTAGTTCGAAAGGCTACCTTTAAGGTGGGAATCGAACCCATGACCCATAAACTTTTTATAATACACTAGCGGCCACCCGCGACTTCGTACGCGTGGATCCCATTTTACCCCCTTAGGGGTTGAATTTTGCAAAATCCCGTCTTATTGAGCATCTACGTTCTAAAAGGAAGTCCATGCAAAATTTCAGACTCTTAGCACTTGTATTTTCTGGAATTTCGTGATGTAGAGTGAGTGAGTCAATCAGTGACCTTTCGCTTTTATAAATATTTAGGAGACAAGCTTTTGACACTTTTTAAATACATAAAGCTAGTATAGAACAGCATTGTTGTTTTCGCTGACGAATTGCGTATCGATCCAAGAGCGAAATCAATAACTGCCAATGCTGACATTGACACGGCACGAATAGATTGGCAGCGCTCCTATTGATCTTGTGCAATGGCCGACATACTGTTAAATAATCGATTTCGATCTACTTCGTATACAGGGCGAATATTCCGAAGTGGCAATATACTACACAAGGTGAACCGACGATGGCACATAGCTCGTAGAGACGATGGCCGTTGGGGCAGAAAAGTTCTCGAGTGGCGACCACGGGCTGGAAGACGTAGCGTGGGCAGGCCTCCTACTAGGTGGACTGACGATCTGGTAAAGGTCGCGGGAAGAGCCTGGATGCGGGCAGCGCAGGACCGTGCATTGTGGAAAACCTTGGACGAGGCCTTTGTCCAGCAGTGGACGTCATTTGGCTGAAACGAACGAACGAACGAACCGACGATGGAGGTACGGGATATTCGCACCTCTCGTTACCACCTGCAACTCCTGTGTAGCCAGGATCTACAGCTTGACCGCCAATAACCCAACCAGTGAAGGCCAAGTTTGTCCCGGGGGAAAGTTAAACTGTCATTGGACCCGCAACGACAATGGAGGTAGTTGGAAGGCGCTGGATGTAGGCTTCATCATCATCATCATTTCAGCCACAGGACGTCCACTGCTGAACATAGGCCTACCCGAATGACTTCCACATCGTCCGGTTTGTAGCGGCCTGCATCCAGTGCCTATGAGGGCGTCGGTCCACCTTGTATACACCAGCGAATATACACGTCCCAAAAAGCAATACCTCGCCTCACTATCTATCTTAAAAGCGAAAGGTCACTGACTGACTCACTCATCACGAAATCTCAGAAACTACAAGGGCTAGAAGTCTCAAATTTTGCATGGGGGTTCCTTTTAGAACGTAGGTGCTCACTAAGACGGGATTTTGCAAAATTCAACCCTTATAGAGGTAAAACGGGGTCCACGCGTACGAAGTCGCGGGCGCCCGCTTAGTATCTTATAGGCTACGCTCGGGAATCGAACTCGGGACCTTCATTGTACATACCTTGACCACCGTGAGGGGCATCTTGGAGTCTTTGCCCCCAACGAGGCGGAAGCCCCAGGATTCGTCGCCTTCTCTCTTCAGATGAACGTCTAGCTCCATCTAGCGGCAGAAACGAACGTATCTATAATTCTTGTGACGACAGAAAATATTCTATTTATGTAGTCCTATTATAAGTAACAATTCAAATTCGTAATTACTATAGGTTTAGCCCTTAACTAAGTGCCTGAGGTATGGGAGCGGCACCTACCTTGTCTGTACATCCTTGAGGTAGCTTTGTTTGTGGGAAGTAATATTAATTTATTCAAAAAGCGAAAAGATGTTGTAAACTTCAATGTTAGAGACCCTAGTCATCTAGTATATGATAGCTTACCAAAACTTAAACATTATCTTGATCAGTGTGATGCCATGTGTGTTAAGATATACAATTTATTGTATCCCGAACCATATCAAAAACCTACCAAATGCAAGATTCAAAAGGTCGCTTATAATATGGCTAAGTGACATGAATTTTTATAGGGTAAAGGACTTTCTTAGTATGAGACATTGTAATAAGAAATTTTGACTAATTATTTTTGACATCATAATTTTAATTGGAAATTGTAATTTTTTTGACATTAATAATTAATCTTCATCATTAATATTATTATTAAATTGTAAATATTTGCATGCCATTTATAGTAAGGTAAAACATGAGCACAGTTATTATTAATATCCAATGATATTTAGTTCTATAATATCATTGTTAATATCTATCTACATTTATGTATATCACCATGTTTTAAGCAAATAAATTTATTTGATTTGATTTGGCATGGGAGGCTGGTTTTTTACGTTTACGCTTGTTTAAAACGTTAGCGACACTTCCAAATCTTCAGATTTTTATGCTCAGTCACGTCATAATAATACTCAAAATTCCGTGGAGGGTAGTTGAACGGGAAGCATGGTCGATCTGTTTTAATGGTTTCAATTTATTATTTAATGGACTTTAGTGTACAAATTTGGTGTTATTTTGTGTTCTAAAGTGCAGTGAAGTGATAAATTATAAAAAAATTGAAATAATTCGAATTTGAGCGCGCATCGAGTGTCGAATGGGTTGTCGTATGAACAACCCGCTTTGGACCCGGTGGCGTCTCGAAACCTGCTTACGGGCATACTTAACTCCACGGAATCCATGAAAAATCAATAGAACTGAAACACCCACGTTCTATTGATAACTATGTCAATTATTTTTCACTCGACATTGGCAGAAATAAACCTCCCAGAGAGGTTTGGTTGCCATTAAAAAAAAAAAACTCAATCTTTCCCCTCCCGTGCCGCTCCCATACCTACTTATCTTCCAGCACTAAGTTATGAACTAGACCTATTCAGCAGGTAAAGTTCATACAATAGGCAGGTAGAGTTATGTTAAAACTCCTTGGCTGAGTTCCACCATCTTACTTTAACTTTGACAAACGTCAAATATCTGTCAAACTCCATAAAAAGCACTGAGCCCCGATTACGGTAACTTTTAACGTCAACAATCCAGACACGCTTCTCGATTCTGCGATACGATTGGTCGTTCAACAGCGTACGTCAGCTGTTTTGACCAATCGTATTGCAGAATCGAGAAGCGTGTCTGGATTGTTGACGTTAAAAGTTACCGTAATCGGGGCTCTGGTCATTGTTATTTTTACGGTTAAAAAAACCGGCCAAATGCGAGTCGGACTCGCGCACCGAGGGTTCCGTACCATTGATTTATGAAATTAAAATTATTATTTTTTATTTAAGTTATTAGTATGAAAGATTACGCGGTAATAAGCGGTTTACGATTTACGAGGTATTAAAAAAAACTACTTACTAGATATCGTTCAAAACAATTTTCGTTGGTAGTTTTTATAGTAATGTACATCATAATGTTTTTTTTAGATTTTTCATTTTCTTATTTTAGAAGTTAGAGGGGGGGGGGGGACCAACATTTTTCCACTTTGGAAGCGTCTGTGACGCAAACTATTCGGTTTAGAAAGAAAAAAAGTATTTTAGAAACCTCGATATCATTTTTGAAGACCTATCCATAGATACCCCACACGTATGTGTTTTACGAAAAAAAAATTTTTGAGTTTCAGTGGCGAGCCCCCAATATTTTTTTATTTTTTTTTATTTTTGCATCAAAATCTTAATGCGGTTCACAGAATACATCTACTTACCAAGTTTAAACAGTATAGCTCTTATAGTTTCGGAAAAAAATGGCTGTGACATACGGACGGACAGACAGACATGACGAATCTATAAGGGTTCCGTTTTTTGCCATTTGGCTACGGAAACTTAAAAAGGTGGTGCAACTCAGCCCTAATATACTATTGAGTTAAGTTAAAACTCGTAGAACAAATAAGTACTTATTGTTGTTGGTTTCGGTCTAGTACCTACTAGTGTTTTACAAATAACCCCGTAAAGAGTCCCTAAAAATGTGAATACAAAAGAAAATCTCTAAAAGCTTATATTCGGTGTTACGTTATAACTCGACAAAGTTTGCACTTCGGTCTTACGAGGCTAAAACTTGTGATCAAAGTACGAGCAATGACATACCATTATAAAAACATCTTAGGCTGACTTATCTTTGACCATAACTATAACGATAACCGGTGCTTTTTGTATGGAGTTTGACATATTTTTTAAGTTTGTCAAAGTTAAAGTAAGATGGTGCAACCCAGCCTTAGAGTACGAACGAGTAGGTATTTATTTAGAAATTGAAAAATGCTTCAGGTGGGATGCCACGAAAACTTGCTTTAAAATTTTACTCTGACCACTGAACTATGGAGCATTCGTAAACCTACAAAAAAACAGTCATTGAAAAATAGGATCCTACCCAAAACTTTTTCATATAAAATGTAGCCAAGACTGTGGCTATCGTTTGTGTGGAAGCAGTTAGCTAGAGACCTTTAGCTTATTATTTTTTTATGTGTTTAACACTGTATCTCATGTTGATAGCCCAATCCCTGTCAAATACCTGCCTTGTTCTGCATAGAAAAAATGTATGATGCTATTTGAACTTCAAATTAGATAGTTACTTATGTGCCATCAAGAGTGATATGGGGGATTACTGGGGTCAAATTAGCCAATAAGATTACCTGGTTTCCACTGTTAATAATATAAAAGAAAGTTCTACATCACCTTATTCCTGTAACACTTTGTAGCACTTCACAACACTGCAGTTAAACATTAACTGAACCAATATTTGGCAGAGTACCTCGTGACCGCATTTCTAAACAGACCACTGGGACACTAACTGCTGTTTGGACACTAATGATTTAGATGTCTAATCGATTGATCAAAAGTCATAAGTAATAGGCTTTTCATCATCATCATCATCATCATTTCAGCCATAGGACGTCCACTGCTGAACATAGCCTTTCCCAATGATTTCCTGACCGGTTGGTAGCGGCCTGCATGCAGCGCCTTCCTGCTACCTTTATGAGGTCGTCGGAACCCCTCGTAATCGTTATGTGTTACCATAGGGGTCACTTAAAAATTAGGGATTGATGGTGAAAACGGGCATAAATAGGTTTAAAATCTATTTTATGAAGTTTGAAAAACCAAAATCCGATAAGTTGTTTTTGAAAGAAAAAAGAAAGAAAAATAGTTTACCTATTTGGTTCAAACATAATACGTTTTACACAATTTAAATAATATACATACGAGTAATTTATTGAACCAAAATGGCTCCTACTCAGCTTGTATCATGTTCCATTCAGAACAAGAATGCTGGGATTCTATCCATCTATCCTTACAAACTATCACAATTACTTTACTTATTATTAGTAGAAGGATATTTCAGTCGTCGTCATCCCTGTCTTGATTTTCTCTCGTCTCAAAGTAGATGTCTTCAGCTTCCACCTTCTGCATGTACATCCTCTCTGTTAAAGAAAATATATATTTAATCATCATCAAGTCACTTTCAACCCGGAAAGGGATCGTAACCGTATCAAATACAGGCGGTCAGTATTATTTGTATGAGACTCCATACTGCAACGCACACTTATCCGCACCCTAATCCAAATGACAGCTCGCGAAAGGCGATACGGTGTTAATCCCTTTCAGAGTTGATAAGCTATGACCTTTAGCCTCCACTGTAAAAGCATGTCCCTCTCTAATTTACCAGAGGCAAATAGAGGATTTGGGCTTCACTCCCCACGCTGGTCAAACGAGTTGGGGAGACAGTTTAATATTTAATAAATAATAATAATAAATAGTACACACTACGTCGTTCGGCTAGTGGTGCCACTCGAGAACTTTTCTGCCCCAACGGCCATCAGTTCTACTAGCTATGTGCCACGCCCAGTTTGGCTATTATATTCTCTTATTCTTCGTCGCTACACTTTTGCTAGAGTGGTAGTGGTCGTCACACCAGGTCCGGTGGCAAGCCTCACAATCCGTCGTCATTCCTCCCGCACTGCAGCCTTTCTTGTGCACTCGTGGAGTGGACCATTGAGTGTGGTTTTGACTTGGTCAGTCCAGCGCACGGGCGACCTGCCGCGCGCTCTTGTGCCCTCAACCTTCCCCTGCACGACACGTCTCCAAGTGTAATATGGCCAAAGAAAATGAGAATACGACTTTAGCTTTAGCTGGGAATCGAATCGACTTACCGACTGGTACAACAGCCGCCAACATGTCTGGATGGTGATGATTGGCGTAACCTATAATTGAATATTGTACGTTTTTTAGAAATATCTTGATACCTTCATCTATTTATTATAATTATAAAAGCTCTACTCTATGTCTATAAAAGCGAAAGGTCACTGACTGATTGACTCACAACTCACACATCATGAAATCTCAGAAACCACAAGTTCCTTTTTGAACGTAGGTGCTCACTAAGACGGGATTTTGTAAAATTCAACTACTAAGTAAGGGGGTAAAACGGGATCCACGCGTTCCAAGTCGCGGGCGGCCGCTAGTATAAATAAATATATGTAGAAAGGAAACCAGTGAATAGAAATTTTATTTTAATAAAACAGTAGTTAGGTCTAAAGGCAGGTACTACCAAGTTTTGGTTGCGACTTGGGAATGTCCAAAAATATTTAGACCATTAAAGAAAGAGAGACGGCGTAAAAATGTCGTAAGTACTAGTTTCAACTTAAAATTCTGTACTTACAATGATTTGCTGAGACAGGCTGAGACAAATAATAGAAGATGTGCGGTTGTTGCAAAATACGTTTTCATTGTTAACGTTTATGTTGTTAGTTACAATTCATAATACCTTTATATACCTACTTATACTTAGACTCTATATTATACAAAATACTTATATGGTAAAGAACGTTACAACTACCCGCATAACATTTATTTATTTAATCGGTTATTGCATTAACATAATATCAATACCTCTGGGCTCAAACTCACAACTCACTTTCGGGGTTTTTTATTTAGTTAGTAAAGGACATTGTCAGAAACCGCCTAAAAAACCGCCAAAAAACATTAACCCATCATAATTATTTTCTATTTTTTTTAATACATTAAGCACCCTTTCGTTCTAATGGACACTTAAGCATTGAAAAATGAAATAAATAAGTCTTTTAACGTTTATTCTATAATACTGTTACAACTTCCGGACGTTTTGGTGCGTGGCATGGTCTAAAACCTATCAAGTTTCATAATTTTTGCCGATAAAATCTGTACGAGGCATTACCGTACTTTATTGCTGGGAGTCCATGTATAGTGATGTTCCTGCGGCCATCATAGACAATCAAATATCAATTTTGAAAATAAAATAAATCGATTAAACTGCTTTGAAGACTAGATTTGCGTTAAAAGCTAAAAAGATATTGACACTATTACAAGAAGCTATCTAAAGTGTCCAGCTGGTCGAAGGTCGTAAATAAAATAAAAATAATTAGGACNNNATCTATGCGAATGAGGGTTTTCGCGATTGAAAAATCCGCCAGATGGCAATACGTAGACGTGAGGTCCAAATGCTGCATGATTGGTTAATTTTGACATGACATTGACAGATATCCACCAATCATGCAGCATTTGGACCTCGCGTCTACGTATTGCCATCTCGCGGATTTTTCAATCGCGAAAACCCTCATTCATAGCACATTAATAATAGACCAATGAACTTTTATAGATTGTGAAAGAGAAGATAAAGATTTTATTATTTTATTAAAATCTTGCCACGAAGTAGTTTTTCAGTAGAGACCAGGATTGGATAATCGCTACAGGCAAGTATCAGAACATTTAATAAATATTTTTAATCGATTATATCCTTGTGAATCGTTTTAATAAATTGTCATTTTACTTTTTCAATTAAAACTTTTGCAATCCCTAGTCTTGTCAAACTGTCATAATGTCAACAAATTATAAATGTCACGTCAGTTGACTCAATTTCAGTCTTCTGTGCGTTTATTGTATTTTTATTTCAATGAAATAGTGCTAAAGGGTTAGTATAGTTCTAAAATACTGGACTGTCCTGTCGATGACATTGACAGTGGGGCGCCACCGTCAATACCGGATCGCTGGTTCAGATTTTTGCCATGTTGGAAACCATATAGTTGAACGATGGTAGCGCCCCCCTGTCATTGAGTTTGGTGGGACAGTTCAGCGTGGGTCATCTATATAGATGATATTTCCAACATGGCAAAAATCGGAAGCAGCGATCTGGTATTGACGGTGGCGCCACGCTGTCAATGTCATGGATAGGACAGTTCAGTATTTTGGAACTATACTAAAAGTGAAAGCCTTTTTTTCAGAAAGAAAACCAATGTGGTGCCCTTTTTATTCATACTGTTTGAAAGTTACAAGTCAGTGATACAGAGTTGCCGACATTATAACTCCATAGTGATACCATACCAAAGAAGAAGGTTTCCTAAACACACACACTTGTGTTATTTTTATATGTGATCAAATAAAAAGGATTAATTCTACTGCTCAAATGGAATAACTTATCCCAAGAGACCGAATATAAAAAAAAAACCTCTCCATAGAAATTCAAATACTTTGAACTGTAAAATTGTATAAATTGTTTTGGACCAAATAAAAATTTTTCTTTCTTTCTTTCTTTCTAAATTATCACCATCACGAGGATGTGAATTTTTTGGAGAATTTGATATTGGTCCTGTAAGAAAAGTAGTTGTATTTCAGTAGTAGAATCAACCCTTCTTGTTTCATCAGCAAGAGTAACTATAGAAACGCCCTGTAGGTAGGTATTATTAAGCTGAAGAGTTTGTTTAGTGTCAAAGACTGTCACACAGTGTAACTTAAATTGGCATATTATGATAATGAACATAAAAACTTAAATAAATATTTATGTTAATATTTTTTCTATTTATTTATTTTCCCAAAGCTTCACAGTGACAGCTGAAACAGCAATACTGTTGTAAAACTAAACTTGGAACAAACTGTTACAAATATTTTACAAATTAAAATAAAACCGCATGTTGCTTTACTTTCTCGTATAGGTAATAAATGTAATTAATGGCTAGATTATTAATGTTACTTTGTTACCCTCAATAGTGAGGAGATCTTATAAAATGGTAACCCTGATTTTCATTGTCATTCAAGTGCTCTTTCTTCGCATAGGCTTCTGTGATTTGGCCAAGGGCCACACACATTGCGATAACATTATGCGACATTGATTTGACAGCAGCGGAGTGAAGTCTTGCGACTATGCAAAATGATACCCTGTAATCGTAGCGCATATAGACATAGACGGGGCGGGGCACATAGCTCGTAGAGCTGATGGCCGCTGGGGCAGGAAAGTTCTTGAGTGGCGACCACGAGCCGAAAGACGTAGCGTGGGCAGGCCTCCCACTAGGTGGACCGACGATCTGGTGAAGGTCGCGGGAGGTGCCTGTATGCGAGCGGTGCAGGATCGGTCTTCGTGGAAATCCTTGGGGGAGGCCTTTGTCCAGCAGTGGACGTCTTTTCGGCTGAAACGAACGAACGAACGATACGTATTACCACTATTTACCAGACATTACTATTTATTGCATACTCGCCGGATTACACGTAGGAGCACGCGCGTTACAGCTTCGGCCTTGCATTATTATAAGATCTTGTTCCGCCCTTTTACGAACTTCCTCCGTGAGGATATCCCCGCCGAATTCTATGATGAACCTATCAAAAGTCATATTCTGCAATGTCAACCCACCACAAGGTGGACCGACGACCTGATAAAGGTAGCGGGAAGGCGCTGGATGCAGGCCGCTACCAACCGTGCGATGTGGAAGTCATTGGGGGAGGCCTATGTTCAGTAGTGGACGTCCTG